TGCATCCCATTATGTTTCATTTCCACTGATGTACTACAAGTGTGCCTCCCATGAGATACGGGTAAAACGTTCCCTTCATTGCACACATTTACTCATTTTGTTGTTGACAAGTTGCATATCATGCACTTAGACTCCCCTCCACGCCATATCGGGGTACACAGAGCTCATTGCGCACACCCCTCTAACAGAAGAGCAAAAAATCTACCTGGATTGCATCAAAACGGGATGCTATACAATCCAACTCATCACAAACAATGTCCTTGATTTCGCCAAACTCGAACGCGGGAACGCCGAGACTCGGGCACGACCTGTTGAATTGGATATGAGGCGATTGGCGGCGGATGTAGTGAGAAGTTGTGCGCCGGTCAAGGATGAAGGGAAATGCGTAGACGTCATATTAAGTGTTGAGCAGAGTGTGCCGTTGATGGTGTTTGTGGATGAGATTTATGTTACGAGGGTATGTACTTTGTCGTTTATCTGCGTTCAAACGTACGTTTGTAGTGACTTTGTATCAGATTATTATGAACCTTGTGAGCAACGCAGTAAAGTTTACGTCAACGGGGTACGTGCTTGTACGTATTCTCTGGGATCGACAGGATGGCGATGCGTTAGTGATGCGAGTTGAAGATACGGGGGAAGGGATTCCAGAGAGTTTTCTGGGGACAGTGTTTGAGCCGTTTCGACAAGCCGACACGTCCTTGACTGTAAGTATCATTGTTCATTTTCCTCAACCATGTGAACAAAAGACTTAAAAGTGCTCATAATAGCGAAAACACGCTGGAACTGGGCTGGGACTCTCTATTTGCAAACAACTCGTTCAACGCATGTCGGGCACCGTCCATGTGGAATCTACGCACGGCCTCGGCTCAGCATTTACGATCCGCCTCCCAATGGCCGATGAGACGCATGCCGAGCTTGTACATACACCCGTGCGACGTGTGAGTGTACCCACCGTGAAACCCGTCATGTGGTTTTGGTGTCGGAGTGAGCGTACAGAAAGGTTGTTGGCGAGGATTTGGGAGGGGTGGGGGTACGAGACGGCCAGTGTGGATCGACGTGTACAGACCCGTGGCGCTATTGTGTGGACGGATATAGAGTTGTGTCGACGGGATCCGAGTACATTGGAGGGTCTTTTAGCGTCAATGCCTAAACTTGTTTTGGTTTGTTATGATGAATTGGGGTCTGAGGATGCGTGGGTGACGAGGTGTGATGGGATCCTACTCGTCAAGAGACCTGTAATTGTCCATGTTGTTGCGGCAATGGTGGAAGAGACGCTGGTAATACCGAATGGGACGGCGATTCCAGACGAGAACGCTCCAGTCGAGAACGGGGCGGTTTTTCCGGCTGGACGACGACGATCAGTCTCGGAACCCATCTTTTCTTCTGGGCCTGATACGACTCCTCAGAGCGGTGTATCGGGCAGTGCACAGAGTAAGGACGAAAAGGGAGAGCCTGGAATGCACAAGGGGCGAATTCTCCTCGTCGAAGACAATGTGGTGAGTTTGTTTACTCAATAGTACAACCCCTTCATCCACATACTCACATCTAGACAAGGTCAAATCAAAAAACTCGGTATCCCGCATCCTAACCAAAAATGTCCCTACCAAGTCGACCTTGCGTCCAATGGGCCAAGAAGCCCTCGACAAAACTCTCGCACAATCGTATGACTGCATCCCTCATGCACTGCCAAATGCCCATCATGTCTGGCCTGGAATCCACACGACGGATACGAGCACTCGAAGAACGCGGGGTCCAACTCTGTCGGCGTCAGAACAAGAGAATACCGATTATTGCGTTGACTGCCAATGTATCAGCAGAGAGTAGAGAAGAGTGCGACAAGGCGGGGATGGATGGGTTTTTACCAAAACCGTTGAATCTAAAAGAGTTGGGGGAGGTTGTTGGGAGGTTTGTTGGGGGTTGAGATGCAGCGCTTTTTCTTGCGTGTGTGCCCGTTGTACATTTCAAGGTTAGAGCATTTAAACATACCCAAGTGTTAGAATGTAGCACTGTTTTTTTTATATGTATCTTTATTCAAACGAATACGTGAAATAGTGAATTGAAATCGTAAAATAACTTAATAGCTCTATAAAAAACATTCGTTTCTCTGCACCTTCCATTAACAGTTTAAACCAGTCAATTTACCTCCTCTTGATGCCCACCAACCCCATACACCTTGGACACAAATGCCTGGAATCCTTGAACGAGTCATTCATGAGAGGAATCAAACAGCACCCAAACACACATCCGGAGAAACACAGTGCAATGGACGAAAACCATGCAACGATGCCAGGGTCCTTTTGGACAATGGTTGTGATGGGTGTGTGGCAGTGAGGACAAGTTGTTGGGGTTGGGTGGTGCGAAAGCGGTTGAGATGCATGGGCGACGTAGATGATGGTGGTGGTTGTGGGTTGTTGGCTGAATTGTTGCGGTGTAAGGTACTGGACTTGGACGCCTTGTGGTAAGATGCCTGGAGGGAGGACGACTTGCGGGTGTGCTTGGAGGCTTGGAGGAGGAATCGCTGGTGCTGCGTACTGCGGTTGCGGTTGTGGAGCGTATTGCGGTTGCTGCTGTTGCTGTTGTTGTTGGTGTGGTTGAGGAAATGGAATTTGAGCATGTTGCCCTTGGAATTGACTTGGGCCAGCGGGCTGATACGCCGGAGGAGCTTCCATGCCAGGATAACCTCGCGGTAGCTGCTGCTGCTGCTGCTGCTGCATCTTCTTTTCATTGGACGACGACGACATGGTTTAAAGGTAGTGTGTGAAAAAGTGCCTACTGCAAGTGTGCTTTTGCTTTTAAATGCGTTGTTCGCGCGTTATTTTCCTTGGCGCTTCGTAGCGTCCTTCTGCACCATACCCCTCTTGTATTTGCGTATCCCCATTTGATCCCCTTTTGCTTATCCCGTTTAATCATCCCATCCAATGCTTCTTGCCTGCCAAGAATACGCCATCAACATACAAGATATAAATAGAAATGTCACCACGTGCCGGCCACATCACATCATCTGCATAAAATGCATACGGCATGACCGCGCTAAAGCAATGGTTTATCACTCTCTCCCATCCATTGGCACCGCCCAACGACTGCAGAAAGAAGACGCAAAGAATTGAATGCAGCCGACAAAGGGCGCTCTCAACTCCCCACCTCCCCTTCCAATGCACGTAAAGAACAGCAATTTGACCACTTTGCGTGTGAATGAGATTGAAAAACTCTAAAGAAACAGAAAAAACGACGACGAGGAGCTATTTATAGGCCCAGTTTCTTTTTTCTCTTGTGCACGTGGAATGAATGTCATTGGATGGAAATATGACTTGAGAGTGGCTTGTACTTGTTACATAAGCGAGAGATCCCGCCAGGATTCTTTGTTTCTCGCCTTTGGTGAGGAAAAGATTTGGTCGTTGTAATCGATAAAGAATGTTTCCATGTTGAAACAAGCGCCTGCATTTGCGACGACAAGTATGTGCTCCGAGTAAACAAGGGTGGACAACTGCCAATCGTGAGTTCCAAGTTGCTTGCGTGAGCGAGTGACCACTGCATTGACTGTCCATGTCATTATATCCTTCATGTATTTCATATCATGGATATTAAACTATAAAGTATGCTTGTATTGACAATGATCGAGTCGTGTACGGATCAGGAGGGGAATTGCAAGGAGGCCCCTTCCAAACCCCTCCGCACGCTCTCCATCCTCTCATGAACCAATCCAGTAACAACCCGCTCCACAGCGGCTTCCGTCTCCAATATCCATTCCCTGTCCTCCAAGTCCTTGCTGTCATTCCCATTTATCCCATTTAGTCGCTGTATCATTTCCCTTACAAGATCGCGAGCACAAAGCGCACTCACGAGCGCCTGGTGTAGATTTCCCTGTCGTGCCCAAAACAGTGAAAAGTGCATGTGTGAGATCAAGGCATGCGTCGGTGTTGGTGAGGCTTGTGTTGCGTGGGCTACCCTCGCGGGAACGAGCAACAAAATTGAATAACATTGCACGGAATGGAGGTTGTATATGCGAATAGGTTGCAGTCAAGACATGGAAATTGAGGATATAAGCGAAGAGACAACTACGAACACTTTATAAACGACATGTGCATACCAATCAACCATCGCAACTCTTTCTCAACATCTCCCCGCCTCCTCGCACGTCCCGCCATCCACAACGCCCTCTTGCCATTCTCCTTTGCCATCTTCCGATTCCGATATGCGGCCTTTTGATGCGCTTGCACAAGATCCGCAGAAGTTACAGCCCACGCCGTCAACCGAATTTGAGAAATAAAATGTGACGTTGATGTTTTCCAAAACCCGGATAGAGTCGACATGGGCGGTCGTCGGTCGATTCGGCCGTACCCGGATGATACGCCCTTATTGTGTCGCTCTTGTCGACGCTTGCGTGCGTACGCTACTTTCCAGGGCCATCGGACTCGACGCCCAGTTGACACAATAGGTACGGAGGTATATTTTTCTGGCAAGATAGAAAGATTTGTCCAATTTGTTTTTATCTCTGGTATTGAACAAGACAACGTACTGTTAAAGGCACACAACAATGCCTTCCCCTCCTTTTTGACATTTTGCGCATCTGCCAATCGTTTCCCCACAGGGGTCGCAAAAGGAGGCCGTCGCACGACTTTGGGACCCGACACAATGTTCGTTTTTGACGACACCGACGACACTACAGGTGGCCGTGCAATGTGCACTTTGGGTAATGCATGAGGAGGCTTTGATCGAGGTTGCCCGCCAGATTTCTCATTGGTTTTCCTAAAACGTTGCGTTTCTGCGGGAAGTGCTGGAAGTTTATCCTTGTTCTTTATCATCCCTCTCTCTCTCGCCCTCTCGCATTTGTGTGTGTGTTCAGTTCTCATGGATAAAGCCCACAACAGCAGGCAACCACATTTTCAACCAAAACAATCGACCCGCACAACCCTTCTTGCATACCCTCATCTATTCAATTCATTGTGTAATCATCCTGTCTCACGATTGCATCGGCTTTTTGGGCAGCAAAGTACCAAGTAAGTGGGATCTTGTCTACCCTTATGGTTGCCCTTGAAAGCGAGGTTGCATTACTATATATAAAACAGCATCACGCTTACACATAGTCCATCGACATAACATTCTCAAACATTCAGAATACGTTCGTTCCATTGCCATGATTGCTATCTCGTAAAAAGGACGGAAAGCCATGTCATTACATCCGCTTGAAAACTTTGAAATCGGAGATTGGCATCTTGAAAAGTCATGCCAACAAACCAGAACTGTCTGCTCATCCTCTGAGGAGCAATATTCCACGTAGCGAGTGCATGTATATGGCAATGTTGGCTTCATTTATGGGTCTACTGGCTAGTGAAATCAGTAGTCAAATGCAGAATAACATTTTACATGATTTCCATGGAATCCCTTAAAATGCTCCTCATCCCACTGCTGGACTAGAGATAAGATGACCGTACCGTACCATACTTTGCGGTATTATTTACCGTACCCTACCTTACTATACCTTACTTTATCTCACCTTACCTTGGCGCTTACCTTACCGAATGCGTTCTGGCTACGGCCAGCCCGGAAAGTGAGGTTCGGTAGGTATCAGTGAACCAATTCCCTAGTCTCTGCACCGCTCCGAATTTTGTTGGGCTGTTAACAACCTAGAGCGACCTGCCTGAATCGGACAAGGCTTATTAGTAGATCTTCAGTCCGGAGTCGATGTAAGCAGACATTTTGGGGTGACTTACAAGGTTACATCAAAAAGCACTAGATATGTATTTTCAAATGGGACGGGTCCTTGTAATCAGAAATCTGGAAGTTCAAAGATGGAAGGAAGAGACGCTGCTATAGTGGCAGACACAGGAAATCAATCAATATGTCGTACTTTGATACAATGATACCCGATCATTCTTTTTTTGACTTGCCGCCGAGGAGACAGAATTCTATAACAAAACCAGGATTTTGACTCCTGTATTTGAAGCGAGAATACGCAAGAAAACAAGAAGGCAACCTGTCAGACGTCAAACTTTTGCGCTCATAGCTCAGCCAACAGGTTATTCTTTCGAACCAGAGGACATCCGGACCCAACAGGCTGTTCCATCCGTGTTGTTTTACTGGCTAGCATTCGGTTAGGTAGTTTGTGTGATCAACCGATTTTGATAGTCCTTTCAGAAGGTTCGCCCGTAAGAGCCGACAAACCGATACCTCCGAATGAAGAGACTCCTGTCAGCGGAGGAAGCCATGTTACTACAATCATAAAAGGAGAACCCGTGCCAGTAAAGTCATTTGAAAGCCCCCACCGACAATGAGACCAGTTACAGCTGCATTCCATTTCAATATGATTTTCCCTTAGATTACTTGTCAAGGAACCTCATATTACTCCTCCAAGAAGATTGGGTGACTTTTGGCTGTACCATCTTGCATTCCAGTCGAAAGAGGCCTCTCCATTGATAACTCTACGCAACGGTTTTGAGTATTGTGAGATTCGGATTCGGTCGGGCTTCCATATCATCTCAATGCTTGCACATGAATTGGGTCACGATGTTGGCCACTTGCAGTGCTGTCCATCCCAGAAATCTTGCAAGCCGAATTCCTTTTAGCGTACAGTACACACGGAATCTGTACAGCCGTGTCACTCTTGGCGGTGGGGTAGCTCTCGGGTACTCAATTCGTCTGTTTAGACGCTACGGACAGGATCATAATGCATCGATTGACTAGCCGGTATGATCGCAGTAGATTTTACATTGTGCAGATATTTCCAGGTTGCAGCCAACATATCTAGGCGCTCCGACGTTTATAGATTTGCTTGATTGTAATAAAACATCAGTCATTATAATTATCATCTCACACATTTCACTGGATGAATGAGCAAGTCCTTCTGAGAGGGTCATTTCTTATCTCGGCCCCCCCCACTGACGACAAGAGCAGCACATCACAACCAATTAATATATTTCTACATGGTCACTTCTGATGTCAAGGGAGCATTAGAGTATAGTGCTGAGATGCTACAATCAAAACGGCACCGATTGTGTTGAGGTCGGCACCGCGAACAAGGGGACCGAACATCAAGCAGTAGGCGGGAAGGGCCATGAGGAACGGTACAGGGAAATCCATCTGAAGCCGTCAAGCAACTCGAAGGACCAAAGCCTTAAGGACTCGTTTCTTCCATCCTTCTCGCCATCTTCCCAAAAACGACGGAGGACGCGTCGGGTCTGCCGCGTAGGTCACATCACCATAACAACAACGACCCTCCACCTCATCCCATCTCGCCATTTCACACCTCCAACAGCAAACATCCCACTATGCGTCTCCTCCGCCCCCTCCTCCGCAGGAAACCTCTCCCTCTATCTCGCCTCCATAGCACCGCTAGCAACACGCCCCCGACACCTACACCCACACCCACCCCAACACCAACGTCCAACACAACGCATTTCGGGTTCAAGACTGTGCGAGAGGATGAAAAGGAGTCGCTAGGTATGAACACTACAGTCCATTCTTATCTTTACACACATTCAATGACTCAGCTTCCACCCCTCAGTCGGCCAAGTTTTTGGTAATGTGGCATCGTCATATGATCTCATGAACGATGTCATGAGCGGTGGAGTCCACCGGTTATGGAAAGATCATTTCATTCGTACACTGGCTCCAGGTCCTACTACCAAATTACTCGATGTCGCTGGCGGAACAGGTACACTTGATCATTCCCTTTATCCTTAATCCAATTCCTGACCGTTCATTTAAATAGGCGACATTGCATTCCGCTTCCTTGATTACATTTCCGCTACACACCCTAACCCCTCCCCTCACGTTACTCTCCTCGATATCAACCCCGCCATGCTTGCTGTCGGCCAGCAACGGGCCCAACAGCTCGGACATACGAATATTGCGTTTACGGAAGGCAATGCAGAGCGACTAGAGGGAATTGAAGATGCGAGTGTGGATGCTTATACCATTGCGTTTGGGATACGGAATTGTACCCATGTCGATCGTGTCTTGCGTGAGGCTTATCGGGTGTTGAAACCTGGTGGGCGGTTCATGTGTTTGGAGTTTGGGAGTGTGGAGAATCCTGTTGTTGCAAGGTACGCTTATCGGTTTTTCGTCTTATTTACTTTTACTTATCATGCGTTTGTTAGAATGTACGATCTTTACTCGTTCCATCTCATTCCAACCATGGGGGGTCTCATTGCAAATGATAGAGAGTCCTACCAGTACCTAGTCGAGTCCATTCGGAAATTCCCTCCTCAACCCGTTTTTGCAGACATGATTAAAGAAGCGGGGTTTAAAGTCGTTGGCAAGGGGTGGGAGGATCTGACCTTTGGTGTTGCGGCCATACATTCCGGGTTTAAATTGTAAAGTGTTCATACATACATGTAGTTTCACCATATTATCTACACAAAAGACTAGTACACATCCTTCAACTCATAATATTGTCTAAACAAATGTTCATTCCTTAGTTTTGTTTCTGATACGACGTAATAGACATGTAAGAGCAACGAGGGGAATCTAGACGTGAAATACGTCAAGAATCCTTCGGGCAGGGGTCCGAGGGCTTTTTGCACGGGTGGTGGAAGGTCTTGGTAATGGTGTTTCTGCAATTTTCAAAAAACAAAAAAAAAGTCAGTAAAAACAAACACAAAGCACACATATCGCAGCCAACAAACCTTATTTCTCAAAGCCCTCAACAAATCCCTCACGCACGCCCCATCATATTTTCGATATTTTCCCAAATTATCCAGCAACATCCGATCCATCCTCCTGTACCAATCATTTCCAATCACTTTATGACCTCCCCGTTCCAACACCTTTAGAACAGCACTCGGTGGATCCCGTTCCTCCACTTCAAACCTATCCGAGGCATCCTGCAAAAACCCTAAACGCATCGCAGGTGTCCAAAAATACGGATGCATCAAAATCCGACTTGCGTCCGGTCGTTTTGTAGGATCCTTGGCTATCATTCGGCGTATCAAGTCTTTGGCTTCGTACCCTTCTTCACCATTCAAATCCAATTTATCCAATCGGAAATTCCCTTTGAGAATATTCATTTCTCGCATGTATGTGTCGCCAAAGGGGTGTGCACCGTTTGTGAGTATGTAGTAAAACACGCAACCCGCAGAGAAGATGTCAATGGCTTTCGTAATGCGTGGTGTATCAGAGGGTGTTGCTTCAGTTGTTGCTGTAGTGGTGGTTGAGAGAATGCATTCGGGCGCACGCCATCCGACTGTTCCACCCGCTGTCATGTGGGTATGCTGAAAGAAGGATTGGTCCTCCGCTAGCCGCTTTCCTAACCCGAAATCTGAAATCAGGATCCGCGGATGCGGGTTTTTACTCTTTCCAGCCGCAACCAAAATATTCTACAAAAGAAATCATGAGCCATTCCATACACATTTAACCTCAAATATAACAACAACAAAAAAGATACCTGCGGCTTGATATCCCTATGTACAATCTTTAACGAATGCAAATGGCGAATCCCAGCCATGATTTGATACAGGACTACCGCCGGCTTCAACTTTACTCGTAACTCGGCACAAAACGATTCATGAGGCTTCTCAATCACATCATATAATGAGGCCGGACAGAGTTCAAGTGCAATGTACATGAATCCCGCATTCTTCTCCTACAAGAAATAAATCAGTACATTGTCCGTATGTCTACCGCGGAGACACATACCCGAAAATAATACCGAACAACATTGGGATGGTCATCGCTCTCTTGCAACATTTTCACTTCGTGATCAGCCACGTCGTAGAAATCCAACAGGAGGCGTTTGATGGCTACATCCCGGCCTTCAAAGGTTCCTTTGTACACGACGGTGCCGTGGGAACCGTACCCGAGAATATGGTCGCTGACGGTTAGGGAACGCAGACCGGTAGGTGCAGGTAACGTTGGTTCAGTCAGCGGTGGAGTTGGAAGTGGAAGAGATCCTGAGTCGGCCAAGGCTGGGAGAACAGTGGAAAAGGAGGACTCGGTCAACGATTGGATTGGGGAAGGGGAAGAAGGAGGTGGGGTGGGCAGAGGCGATTCTTTTCTGGATGTTTTACCGTTCTTTCGTCGTTTCCGGACGGTTTTGGTGGGAGTTTCTGGTTGAGATGGCAGTGATATGCCTTCGTCCGCTGGCGATTCGTTCAATTTCGTATCCGTATCTAATGCTGTTTTCACAGGAGGTCCATCGGCTTTATCTTTCTGGCCGTTTCCATCCGATTCCTCAGGCTGTACAAGATTTTCCTTCTCGGTCTCTGGAGTCTTTTTTGCATTTGTATCCACAACATTCTCAGTACGACGCACCCTCCACCTCCAAAATCCCACGATCCCTACGACCACCACTGCCAGCAATTTCACCCAACCAAGAACCCAACTCTGGCCATGAATACTTTCCCTCGCATGCATCCCCAACTCCTTGACCCGCTCCGCCAACGTTCGATGCTCCACAACCGTATGCGCTCCAACCAAACATTGCGGAAGAACCACCCCGTTCGGCAGCGATCGACACACATCGGTCTCGGAAGCCGGCAAACTGGGTCCCGATAAAACACCCAACGGCGCATGCGACATGTCGGGGAAGTTTTTCGAAGAGAGGAGGTAGAAACTCCCATTGTGGTACCCCACATACGCATCCGTCTTTCGAATGGCTGTCATGGATGGAGGTGAGGGTCGAGGGGGATACGTTTTCCGGAGATGATATCCTTGAGGGTTGGTACCCACGTTAAAAGCACCTACGGCGGGCGTATCGAATTGCATTCGCATTGCTAATTCTATAACACGCACATTGGTAACCATTTCTGTTGTTTGATAGCACACAAGACGGAGCATACAAACATACCTAAATCCCGATCAAGACCATCCAACGGATCCTCCTTTGGTGTAATTTGCGCATTGACTTTTCTGGGTGGGGCAAGGATACCCGGATGTGGACCGTCCAATATCTCCCCTCCGAGATCGAAATGCGGCTGATGCGGGGCTGAAAATTCCCCGTATGTAATATTGAACCTAGTCCTATCGTTAAAACGTGCTTTCTCTAGTCTGGTTTTGTGCATAGAATGTGTACCTCAATTTGGACGTTCGACGATCCCACATGCTCAATATGTATTCTGCAAACGCCAATAACGATTAACACATTCACCAATGGTCCATGTCCAGTCATGATGGCCACTTACGTGTTCTAGAAATATACACAGCGTCCCGCTCGTCACCCAACTCTTCAACTTTGTCTTCAGTATCACCACCGTAGACACGGACAATCTTGCCCGTAAATGGATCAATAGCAACGAGACGATTAACCTTTTTTCCCGTGAAAACATAGTCACCGAACATGAAGGCGTGGTTATCGTCTACAATGCGTTTGATTGGAAGTGGCAGTTTCTGCAAGCGATGGTAAATGCTATGCACAGGTAATGCAAAAAAAAAAAAAAAAAAGAGAAGATGCATACCTTGATGGGCTTTCCGGGTTCGTAATAATATAAATCTCCGTTGCCAGTTGGTTCCGGAATATAGATACCCTGGGAGTACAGGTCCTCTTCCTCGCCAACCGGAAGCAAATGATCATAGATATTGCCCCCCAATATAGTCTCATCCATCACCCGTGCATTCTCGTCCGTCTCTCGATGATCATCCGAATCTTCAATGACCTCCACCTCACCTAGAACCATCCCATCTCCAAACCTCTCCACATTTTCCCCCAAAACCGGCTCCTGTATGACCTCAACACCACCGGCAACCAACCCATTCTTTGTTCCCAAATTGACGTCCGTCACCTTGACCAATGGCCCCCACCCATCATCCTTCCGACTCCAAACAACCCGTCCAGTGGGTCGATGAACACCATGCAATGCTCCATCCAACGTCGTCACAACAAGCAAGTCGGTTGGATGTATCGTCTTTGGCAGTAACGGTTGGTTTTGGATATGGTCCAAGGGAACCAATTCACTAGGGCCTTTGGGTGTCGGTTTAAGGCCGAGCCAACCCCCGCCTGGGCGGCCAAGGACGACGGATGCTAGTGCGTAGAGGAGGAGAAGGATAAAGTGGAGGTGGGTTGGCATGTGTGCCTCGGAAAGACAGTGTAGGTTGACACTGTGACGATATACAAGAATGTGACTGCAGACACGTTATTCACCAAGGGTTCTTTCAGTAAACAAAGATACCAATAACTTTTTAGCTCATACTGTAATTTGCATTTGGAAAATTGGGCAAATAACAGCAAGCACCCAGAAAGCTGTGCGTCGGAGGAAGGTGAGACGCCAAGCATCCAAGCCCCATGCAGCACGTGACTCTGCACCTGATTTGTTAGTCACGTGATTGTAACCTGCTGGTTACAGTGCTCTCGTAAGCGTATCACTTTGCGGAACTTGTGCTTGCAGGGCAGCACGTTTTTTTTTTTACTTTCTACGGTTGTTGTTGAAGACGATTCGGCTGTGTGGAAGAGCGGAACTTTGTCTTTTCGGAATGGGAAACCAATAGCGAATCGAGCGATGAGTTGCGATCCATGATGGGGGCCTATCCTCAACCTAAAGTTGCATTAACAATGAAATTTGTCACACTTTTTTGTATTTAGGAATGCCTGACCTTTTGTACCAAAAAGTGTTATTCTCCAATGGAATGAATGGAAGAATTAAACAATTATTAGGCTAAAGTCTAATAATATCTGCGAGTTACCAATCTTGCGGATCCGAAAAACAAATAATCCATGTGTGCACAATAGCTGTTTGTTTCGAATTGTTTATCCTTGCCCAGATGGACCCAGCATTAAACAAAGACCAACACAACTGTACCTGAATGGTCACAACCCATTCAAACGCCTCGTATGCTTTACCAAAGGTTTAAACGTGTTCCAACTTAGGGCAAACAGCCTCAAAAGCGCCAGGGAGACTCTATATCTCCCCCAGGCATAAGAGGGGATAAAGTTCAAGTTCACTTACGGGAATAACAAAAAAAAAAGTAAATCTCATAGATGGTCGGATTGAACTTTGTTGACGATCCAGGTTGCGTGTACGGCCCCAACACCACCGATGCGACCTACGCTGGTCCTTTGGGTGCCTACCACAGCGCTTCAAGCGCCTGTCATGGCCTCAATCTTCGCAGCATCAATGTCATATTTGCACTTGTATCCATCTGCGCCAACCTCACCTGCCTCTACTTTGCCTACCGCATCCTACTATCCCGTCGCAAAACTCGATACAACATTTTTATGACACTCTGCCCGATTGCCGGTGCTATGGGTTCGACAGTCGACCTCTTTGCTGCGTCGACCTATTTTCACTGCGGCGGTATGCCCGACTTGACGCAATTGACCAAAATCTGCTTCTACATTGGCACGTTCTTTATGATTTGGGTGCAAGAGTTTCGGTTCGATTTTATTTTGATTGTGATGGGAAAGAATAGGGCAATTGCGAGGAGAGCGGTGTGGGTGAACGTTGGGATTTGGTGTGCTTTGGGAGTTTTTACCATCGCAATGTGGATTCAAGGACGTTGGAATCAGCCAAAGCTAATCTCTTATGCCATTCCGTGAGTTTGCGATTGTTTCGTTGTTCGAGTTGTTTATTCTGTTTGTATTTGCCTAACGAATTTTTGGTCATAACTTAGGTACGCTTTCTGGCTCTTTTACGTCACATTCCTTGATTCTACGCTGTCCATGGTCCTCCTTCACATTTCTCTCCGCCAAACCGCCCTTCTCCGATCCTACGATCTACTCACAATCGCCCAGGTTAAATCGTTTTCAACCCGTTTCCGCCGCGCAGCCCTCCTGCACCTCACCATCATTGTCATCGCAACAGCTCTCTTTATGTTGGCTGGTTCGACTGAAGTCGGATACTCGATTGGTATGATTACAACCCCGACGATTCCTGCCCAATTGGCCGTAACTATTTATTCGATTCATACGTTGCAGAAAATGGAGAGATTGAGGTCGGGAGGACACAAACCGCAGAATGCAAACAGCAAACGCCAGGACAAATCTGCTACAGCGGGATCGAAGGTCGTGAGTTCCGCACAGGGACTCGTCGATCCGTCGGGAATGGGGAAGATGTCTACGTGCATCGAGAGCCAGACGGCTGCGTCGAGCAGCGCAGTAGCGAGGATTTAATTAGAATCTTAAAAGTTTTAGAAACACCAGATACACTAACGTCTAGCTCCCTCCAATTAGTGTTTTTGAAACAGTCTTTATTTTCACCACTCCAATATATCTTAATAAATTAGATATGAATATGACAGTCAAATATCTCAGCACTGTAATTCTATCCAATGGGTTTCATTTCCCCAACCACTGCCTTTGACTCTGGTCTCTGTCTCATATCGTGTTTATCGATATGATTGACTCTTATCCAGTCTACAAGAGTGTTATTTCCAACTGCATTGACTTTACGCACAAAAAAGTATTTTGCTTCTGTTCCCGGTGGATCTTCGGGTGGGAAATAGCTTTTGTCTTCCAAGGTGAGTGAAACGGGATGCTGTGTCGCGAAACGGAGGTATCGTTTTTTGTCGTATACAACATTTTGTGAAAAGTGAGCGTGGTTTGCTATCACTGAAAAGCACCCTGGTCAGATTTGCGGAGGATTATAACCGTTTTTATCGGAACTTACCCATGCAGAAATATGATTCGTCTGGGATCCACGTATGTTCCATAAAGGCCAGTAAATGCATCGCGTCCACGTTTGTTCGCAAATCTCTTATAAAGTTGCTGGTGAGGATCATCCATTGGTGTTGCTTACATGCTCGCCATGCGGGAAAAGGGTAGAATGAAAGTCCCACATCCGGTGGATGGTATAGAGACCATTCGACCGCGGGTCGGTCCGAGCGGCCCATATGGGGACGGACCAATCGGCCTGCCGAATCAGCTAAACGGTACCAATATGGATATCAGCCAACGTGCATCATCATAAGCCAATTTAGACATACAAGGTTCCGTCCAAAACTCGATATGTTCCTTCCCCTGGTGATCTGAGCTGTTCAGCGTCCGATACATTTCAGTGCTGGTTCGCAACGGCCAATCGTGTCCCGAAAGATTGATGACAAAGTCCCAATCGGCCAAGTCTAACAACTCCCAATATCCACTAAGCTGCATCCACACGAGACTCGCATGGCCCCACATGCCTTCATATGATGTTTTTGCGATAAATAAGTTGCCCACTGCGTCTGGCTGCAGCTTTTTCTTGAATCGCTCTGCTTGTCGCTGTTCTATCCAGTCCTTTAGGGCAGTACGGAGCTTGTTCGAACGTGCATCAACGTGAATTAGAAAGATGGCGGATCCGTCATCTAGTTGATTTATAAGTAGCTGGGCTTGTTGTAAGGTAGCAATATCGTGTAACATGAGAAGGTAGGCGAGTGGATATTTTCTCCTCGGGCCGGGAATACGTGATGGTAAGGAAGGCCTGATAGCGGGGATGAGCGAGGAGTAGTATGAAATGGGATCAATGCGGTGTATCAGAGGACTGGAGGTGATGTTGACAAACGAGTTTGCGCCTTCTGCGACAGAATAACAAATGTATCGATGTACATCCTGGGCGCCGATATATGAACGTCAATGTCAGGTACTTGAAATATAATCAAGGAAGAAACTCACTCTCTCCATCAAAACAGGGTATTTGTTCGACAATCTCTCCTGCGCCTCCCGGGCTACTCCATCCAGCAATTCCACAAACTCTTGCTCAGTCGGGTTGACTTGAGCCACCGATCCACCCAATGGAGCAATCTCCACCAACCCGTCAAATGTTGCACCGTTCAATATATCGCAAAACTCAAATCCACTTGCTCTAAACAGCCGCGAGGTGTAGCTTTGTGCAAGGCGCAATGCATCCACAGAGGTAAATATGCCATCCTTTCTTGTCCCTTCTTCGTCCCCTTCGTTCCCACACCCCGACGGGCTTGTGCACGTATTAACAGTTCGGGTTCTGCCCACAATAGCTTGCATTAGCATTTGTATTCGATCAGTAAACGTCATATAAACGCGCGAGTCGTTTACCCTTTTGCGCCGAAAGGCCCAACTTCCCAGCCATCTGTATATGACGCTCCGGTCATGAGGAGCATGACGACCCCTGCCACGAGGGAAATGACCATAATTCCCCGGTTCCATTTTCTACCCATCAACCGAGAAAGAGGATGCCTTGCTCTCAGTATCTTTATGGGGGTGTCTGGTATGGAAATGTTCATTCCTCCCGGCAGTATCTTCATCGTGCGGAGCCGTCAAGAACAATGTAAACAAGTTGCTGCGCGCGTTATCAGTCCCGATCTAACCCAATACGTGGCTGGAATGCATATTATTCAGGATAATATGTCCCTAAAGGGATAAATGAAATCGAACACCTTCGTCATGCCCGTTTTTGAACTGTGCAAAGCTTCAAGGTATGCGAGGGCACTGGGCCAAGGACCACCACAGCCATGCGTTGGCAAAAGAGCCCGAGCAAGCAGCGGGGAAAGATGAGAGCGTGGAAGCCTTTTGATGGGTATCGTTCAATGATAATGACACACACAAGGTCAGCGGGTGACAAGATCCACGGTATGGTTTCGGGTAAAGGTTTTGAAAGGAGTGTTCGATCAAGAAAAGCCCAATAACGAAATTACGATGATTAAAGGGGGGTCAAAAGGGAACTTGGGGAAAGTCCTTTGGTGGTTGCATGCGTCTTTTTCCTCTTGGCCCATCTGGCGTCTTTGTTGCATCAGCCTCGTTATGTCTTTTCCAATCGTCATCACCTGCGTCATTCCTCAAGCCTTCCCTTTGACTTTCCCCTTTCTCCCCGTCTCCATCTCACGGTTATTCCAATGATGAAAAAAAAGGAGGATACAGTTGGGTTCATGCATGTTCCAATTGTAAAGGTGAGACACAAGAAGCGATGTTGGGCGGCTGGGTCATGTTGCTCGGCAAACGGACTCTTTTCTGAGGCTATACATCATACGTCAACGTCAATATCCCTTTTTTTTATTTTCATTTCGCGCTAATATAAATAAGCATATGGTTTTGGCATTTCACCTCCTGTGCACTTGACCCCTGTCACTCCTCATCTCCCCCTCGTTTTTTCTTGCCTACGTAGTTGATCGTCGATCGTCGTCGTGGTCGTTTTTGTTTTTGGTCTATAAAAGCAGGACAACTTGAGAGCTCTCCCTTCCTCATATTCTACATTCAGTGCTTCTGTGTTATCTTTATTTTATACTTTTAACCTCGTCCCCAAATCATCATCATGTTGTTCAAGACGATTTTGACGGCCATTGCCGTGGCGGCTACTGCTGTCGGAACCAGTGCCTCTGGTATGTTTGATGTGTTTGGTTGCACTGAGCCGTATTCCCATGCTAATTGTCGACCTTGTCATTTGGTAGGCATTCTATTCCAGGAGCCTCGAGCGGGTTCACAATACGTTGCCGGTGGTCCCATTACCATTTCCTGGTTTTTTGATCCCAACGGCAACACATTTGCGGCTCAAGGAACAGATCCTGTGGAGTTCCACTTGTCTGATTTGCGCAACGGAGTCAACACTGGACAACTCATTGGTGGGCCCATTGCCCAAACGACTCTCCAAGCCCTCAACGCAACCGGCAATCTTCCCGCTGTTGTGGATGGCACAAACTATACACTTCGCGCTTCGGCCGGAAACCCTCCCACCTACGCGTATTCCCCCATGTTCACCATCAAGGCGACCGGGGGTGCCACTACCTCTGGTGCTCCCGCCCCGGCGCCGGCCACAAGTGCAGCTGCTCCTCCTGCTTCTACGGGTGGATCGACACAGGCGACCGCCAGCCGCGCACCCGCATCCAGTACCCCCAGTAGTAGCAGCACAGCTGGTCAGCAAGGTCAATCTTCCGCGCAAAAATCGGGGGCACACTCTAATATTCCTATGTGGGGCGTGGGCAGTGCAGTCTTTGCTTTTGCAGGTGCCGCTTTGCTGTAAAGGTCACGGCATTGTTATTGACAAGGAAATATTTGTCTATTGTGTATGAAATCAGTGAACGTGTACAGGAGAGGAGGATGTACTTTTTTTTTTAGTACTGTATAGTTGTTTACAAATAGGATAATTGCGATTTGGTTTTTTTTGCATTGCCCAATTCCCCTCGAGACATTTCTTTAGCAGATGAATTAATCGCCAAAGAACGAGTGGTTTGCAGCTCGTTGTCGATAAGGATATGTGCTGCATTTGGACTGGCTGTCGTAAAAACTGCCAGCACTCTGATTGCTCGCGCACGGACGGCCACGTTGAAGGCGGGTAAGACACGGCGGTAGTGTTCTCCTTGACCCTGACCAAAGATGCTCGTTCCCCCCAAGTGTCTCTTGCACCTGCCTGGTCCCTCCTTGATCATTTGTGCCCATGCGTTGCGCATACCAGTTGCCGCCTTGGAAATCGCACGAACGTCCGAGAGTTCCTGATAACCATCTATCACTTGCGAGCCAGGAACTCTTGCACGCAACGCGTCAGAGGTTGGGAGATATCTCCCCTCTCGCGCACGACGATCTTTGGATTGCAATCATCCACCAAAGACAGACAAAGAAAACCTTGGCTTTGAGAATCAAACCCTGGAAAGGTGCCATTGCTCATGATGATGGCATCATGCTACATAGGAGACAAGCACCTTGTTTGTGAGCAGGAAACCCCTACCACGGTGGCCTAGGATTCCATTCACTCTTCTGGTCGGAGAACAACCTCCACTGTTTTAACTTGTTTCTCCTCCATCAATTCCATCATCTCCTCTGATACAACCTAATGCTCCAAAAATATCTTTGAAGGCCACTCTGCACGGCGGTGGCCATCGCAGGACAGTCACGTGTACATTCGCTTATTCCAGAGCTCCCAGCTCTAAGTGCCGTTCCGCCAAGTGCCTCGTCCGCCGTCTAGTTTCGACGTGGCATTTCCTCTTCAAGATAACTTTGTAAATGAACTTTTTTAACAAGGCCCAATTACCGCAGACTCGACCTGCTAGTGGTGGTGGGGCTGGGAACCGAGGGATGCCTTCGGGACACGCGCACAGGACTTCGGCTAGTAATCTTGCCGTCAGCCCCGCTCCACCTGGTAAGTTGATGGTAGATAAGCAAAATGTTGTCGAACGTAGCAAGGAATGGCTCTGCTGTACGATGAACGTTGGATGAACCATTTTACGGCCATATCGTAGGAACCTACGCGCCTGGAACTGTCCTGTCCGTAAATGCAACCAAAGTTGTGGTGGAACGATTTCTAGCTCAAGGTAACATGATAACATGGCGTGTATGGGATGGGTCTCAATCACTCTATAATTGATGAATCGGACCTGTTTTACGTGTCCTAGGCGGCTTTGCGCATGTCTATGTCGTGCTGGTGGGTAACGAACAGTTCCAGGCCGTGCTGAAGCGAGGAGCTTGTCCCGATCAAGAATCTCTAAAAGATTTGGAAAAAGAAATACATTTTATGGTCTGTCAGATCCATTGTTGAATGAAGTGAATGTTCATGCGCGCAACATTCACTCAAGATCGGATCTCTTCGTGTAGCGCCAATTGAATGGTCACAAGAATATCGTAAAGTATGTCGATTCGTCAATACAAAAGGCACGGAACGGTGGATTTGAAGTATTTATTCTGATGGAGTACTGTCGAGGTGATTCCTTTGTCAAGATGATCGGTGGCCAGACAGACCGTTAATGAAGATTATAGGCGGCCACCTTGTAGACTTTCTCAATACCCGCCTCTCCAACCGACTGACGGAGCCCGAAATCCTGACCATCTTCTCTGATGTCTGCGAAGCTGTAGCTCACATGCACTACAGCAACCCACCAATCATACACCGGGACATCAAGGTCGAAAATGTCTTGATAGCCAACGACGGCTACAAGCTTTGCGATTTCGGATCTGCCACAACTCAGATTGTTCTGCCCGGAACTTCCATGTCTGCAGCGGATATTCGGCTATTGGAAGATGAAATTGGGAAATATACCACATTGCAGTACCGTGCTCCAGAGTTGTGCGATTTGTATCAAAAGCGCGGATTGACAGAAAAGATGGATATGTGGGTGAGTATCGCATTGAATACATTGCAAGGGAGAGGTTTGTGCAGTGCGAACGTGGTTGACGGGTCAGTTATCAGGCTCTCGGTGTCCTCCTGTACAAGCTTTGTTTCTTTGTAAGTGAGAGCCGGGAGCACCTTACATCGCTTTGTCAACCGCTCATCTGGAGAATTTGGACAGACAACACCGTTTGAGGACAGCGGCACGCTAGCAATTCTGAACGTTCGATACACAATGCCTAGTCATCCGAGTTATTCTCGAAATCTTCTTAATTTGATAGGTAATTTTGGGATTGAATACGCTGTCAGTTCTGCATTCTTCTCTAGACGCATCCTTCCTTCGTTATAGAATTGATGCTCGTGGCCGACGTGAGCGCTAGAGCCGATATTTATCAGATTTACTCAACTGTATGTCGGCTACGGGGTTTGCCCTGCACTTTAAGAAATGTGAGTATCCACGGAAGACTAGTTCACCGCAGCTGAAGTTATTAAACGTTGGGTCCGTGTTCAGAAATATGCCGATGGACCATCTACGCACTCAACCTCTCGGACAAACACACCTCCCCATACGCCGTTTGGCGATCAATCCGCCCACACTGATGCACGCCGCTTGTCATCCAATATTTCTTCTCCTACCACACTAAATAACATGAGCGCAAGCACACCTGACTTAATGACTCTCTCATCCAATCCCAACCTCGCGACGCAGCAAGTAATGCCCATGCGCAGAGGCCGTCCTCCCAAGCACGGCAAAACGCTATCAAATAGCACGAATGTTGCAGATTTGACTGCAAGTGTGTCCCTTTTGAACGTTAGCTCACCTCACAACCCCTTTGCGGAATCGCGGTCGGTTAGTTCGAATCGGCTCACTGCTCCGCCAGAGTTCTTTAACAATGCGGATTTGTCTGCTCCTAAGCCTGGGAACGTGAATCGGCTGACCGCTCCACCAGAGTTTTTTGATCGGGTGGAAGGATTTGGCGCGCAACCGGGAAAGATGTTCTCGCCGGGGACGTTTCCGGCTGGGGAGGCATTTCAGGGTAGTGCTTCTGATCCTTTTTCGGTAGTAGACCGACAGCCGGTACAGCAACAACAAGACCAACGAGTAAACCACCAACAGCAACGACAACAGCAACCCCGTGTGAACTTCCAGCAACAGGAAGACCAACAACCCCAATTCAATCCCTTTGATCCCTTCCGACCCGTTCCCCTTCGTCGGGACACCACCCGATCTATTCCAGACCTCAAAATCAACACTACGACTCCTTCTATTCCTTCCCCACTCCCGTCCAATCTCTTCTCTCCTCAGCGCCCTTTTCAAAAATCAACATCTGAAATCCGCCTAAATGCCGTCGATCTCTCCACACGCATTCATGGACACTCTCGAAACAAAAGCTGGGCACAGGGTCGGTCGCCGGGCGACGCATCGGGTTCAGAGAGTGCCAGTCGAGAGTCGTTGAACTCGTCAGGCTCTAGCTTTGGGGTCAATGTGGCGGGATTGGTTCGGCAGTTTCATCAGATGGAGGGAGCGGGAGCAACACCACATGTCAGGGCCGGTGTCGACGGCAGGGACAGGTCTGGTTATGCCACTGGACCTCCTCGCCTGCGACGGGATTTCAGCAACTCACTGGATCTGGTACACCCTCACCGGCTCTTCTCCCGTTCGATCTTTAACTGGCATTGTCAACGTGTCGGCACCGATGCCTGGTCAAACACATATTACTCACCCATCCGTTCCCACATCTCACTTACCCATGCCGCTGCAGACAACGTACGCCCCCCCACCACCCAAACCACCCCGCGGAACTGTGCCATCCCAGCAACCTAGCCCAATGTCGCCTCTCCCAGGTACCACTTTCCCGCAATCGGACCCATTCACTCTTTTGGCTTCGAACTCTGTGTTGAATACTCCTTCCTCATCTGTTGGACCTGCAGAATGGACCCCGCTGTCACCTTCCCTCGCTGGAAACTTTGCGAGTTCCCAACCAAGGCCGCAGATGGACCCGAGAATGACGTCGCAACAGCAGCATCAGCAGAACCAGCAGAGATTGAGTAGGGGGGATGAATTTTTGAGGGGCTTGATGGATGGCAAGTCGTGACGTTTTTTTTTTTTTTTCCTGTGTATATTTTTTGTTGGATGATTGGATCTTGTTGACTAGATATATTTTAAAACAAAGTTGCGCGACAGTGTTGATTATATTCTCCTTTTGTTCGTGCATGTCTGAACAAGGATCTTTTTTCATCTGGCTTTTACTTAACAGTCGTCTTTGATAATCTTATGGGCTCTGATGTATGCCTGCACTATTTCCCTGTTCTTTAAGTTGAAACAACATATAGTCAATTTCTTGGCATGCTGCTTTTATACGCAGCTCGTTCGCCCGTATGTAGAAAGCCATGGGTTAAGAGTAATTCTCCGCTTAAAGGGTACATCCCCCTTTCGCATCTTCGCCAATCCCCGTCGCTGTAAATAGCAACAACCTAATAGCTCTTACTGTCCGTCCATTTTCTATTTCATATCATTAGCAGTGTCACCCATGCCGGGAATCAAAACGGCCAGTGTCCCGCAGCCAGCGGCGGAGAGTACTGTGAAACTCAAGATAGGAAAGTCTGAATGGGATAAAGCTGTGCAGGTTCAAGTAACGGGCGATGTGGCCGAACCCGAGTTTCATCAGTGTAGGATTGTCGCCGAGGTAAGGGAAAATGGGAATCTATGCTATATGTTGAGATCCATTGTTTCTTTCCTCGCTTTTTCAACCCCCCACTCTTGAATCTACTAGTCACTAGCCACTGAACAGCTCAAAACAATTATAACCCCCCTCCCAGCCCACCTTTACAAAGCATACCGTCAAAATCTTAAGAAAAACTACCACGTCCTCGATACCTTATTCCCAACTACCCTCATCGAATTCCACACACCCACCAAAACCACCCTCCTCACCTCGCTCGAGTTCCTTTCCTTGGCTGCAGTGCACACCTCCGCCAGTCCTCCTCCTCTTGATTTCTCAGAGATTGCTAAACAACAGGTGGAGAAATATGTCAAGGAGTTGGGGAATCCTGTTGTGTACTTGACGTTAGCGGATGGAGATGAGGTTTTGGGGGAGAAGATTGTGATAGAGTTGTTTGCAAAGACGTGTCCAAAGAGTACTGAGCATTTTTTGAAGCTGTTGGAGCGGTATGTTGGCGTGAAGCTGAAGCGGGTTGTGGAAGGGGGATGGGCTGAGTTTGGGGGTGAGTATTGTCTGATATGGGTTTGTATTTTGAACGACAAGATGAAGCTTTTGGTTCTTTGCTGGATTTGTTTAGACATACTGGATGAATCTGGCCATCCCGTCCGCGAACCGATTCTCGAAGGTAAGCTGCTACTTCTGTCACCCAAAGACGACAAAGCCTGATACAAATACCTTCAACCAGACGAAAACTTTATTCACTCCCATGAAGCATATACACTCTCCTACATCTCCCCTTGTGCACATCAAAACACGACCCCCTTCTTCATAACACTGGCACCTGTCCCGACATTTGATCGGAGATTCGTTGTGTTTGGCCGGGTTTTGTTTGGAACCGGTGTGTGCGGGCGTGTGCAGGGTGCTAAAGGCGAGGTAAAGATTGCCGAGGCAGGCGTTTGGAAGGGCGTTGGCTGAAAGGTTGGGTGATGCGGTATGGGGTTGTACGAGTTGAACGTTCAGTGGGGACAGAAAGCGATCCATATAATGAGATAAGCGTCAAAGTATAATGATGCAAGAAATTCTAGCAAATTGACAGGATTAAAGAGTAGAAGCAGATGTATATGCGCTCCCACAGTCACTAAATATGCCTAGCACATCTACGCAAACCCCGCCAGAACTGACTCCCAAACTGCAAGCTCTTTTTTAGCACCCTCCTTCTGGGCCTCCACATAAGAATCCACAACCTCTCTCACTTCCACATCCAATTCCGAACAAAACCTCACATACTCGTCCTTTAACCGCTCACTAACAGTCCGAAATTGCGCTCGACATTCCCCTTCCTGTTGTTTGACCTCTTGCAGGTCTACCAATGCCGCGTCAACGCGCTCTTGTTTTATGCTAGAGGACGACCGGAGTCGGTCGAGTGACGCCAGTTTCTTTTGGGTGGCTTTGCAGGCCGCTTCATAGGATTGCAGGGTTGTGAGGCGATATGTTAGAGCTGCCTAGGTGCGCGTAAGGCAAAAGAGCGATCAACGACTGCGTTATTGTAATCTTAGTATGAAATGACAGGCTATACCTGTGCAGCCTGCGTCTCCCGCATAAATGTCTTTGCATCAGCTGCAAATTGATGTGTCAGGTAGTTTGCCTTGAAATGGACTAGAGATTAGAACACCGTCTCCACACAACCTTGTTCAATATTCTGTCCGTACCTGGTCTACATGCGGCTTCTCGCTGGCAATAAATCCTTTTCCCAATTTCCGGAGGGCACTGTGACGTCGATATAGGTTACTACAACATCAATCTAGTGATGGAAACCGTCCATCTACGGATACGGACTCACCCTCCGAGCCCTTTCCGATCTCCCACATCCAATTCCAAAAGCAGATTTCCAACCTCTAACGCCGTAGCTCCCATTTCTGGCATCAGAACGTAAAGGCGTCAGATGGTACTTCATCACGCCCAAAACGCACCGTGCAGTAAAATAGTGCACACACCTCTTTCAACTCTTCCTGCCTTCTCACCAACTCTCGCGCACATCCCCAAAGCCGCCTCACATGCCCCAATCGATCCCTTGGCACTTTCAAAAAAGACATCAACCTCCTTCACATGGATACTTCCTCCCGAAAAAGCTCTCAAAAAACCGCTCTTTTTCGTCTGAAGTACACCGGAAGGTGCAAACTCAAACTCGCTCTCTACAAACGATACGACGGCATCAACGTCGCCAAAGCGGGCGGCGATGCGGTTCAAAAAGGTTTGAATTCGGGATCTGAACAGAGGAACGGATTCTTTTGTCGGGAGGGTGGGCGGAAAGGGAGGAAGGCGGTCAGGGAAACGAGCTGTGAGATGGCCTGACAGACGCTCGAGTTCTGTGTAGCTTCTAGTGGGTGTTGAGTGATCCCTGGTGTACGGCGGTTTAGGTGTCTGTTAAAGAACTGTGAGCACTACGTTCTCTGGAAACACTCCATGGATACTCACGTCGGCGGATATGTGAAAGACGGGTATGCGCGGGTCGGTGAGGTCTACGGATGTCAGGACAAGCGTAAGGATGGGTTCGGGTGGTGAATCCGACATTGGTGCTGAGGCGATAGCAAAGTTACTCATGGTCTGTGATAACCTACTCCAGTCCAGCGGTCGTTCTATTTGACCTCACGCGTCACCAGGCTTTAGCTTGTACAGCTGCGAAGGGGACCATAAAAGGTAGACTTTTTGCTAGTCGCAGTAGATTGAATGCTGATTATTGTTAGATAGTGCTTGCAGCTGCATTGCTTGCCTGGTGGAATTAGAAGCAGATTCGTTATGGTGACTTTTTCATTAGATATCGGACAATTTGTATGGTTTCCGATGAAAGGTTGAAACAACAGGCGGGTTCCACCTCGGAGAGATAAGCTCTTTCAGCGTGGATGCATGATGCTTGCGCATTAAAAAAAGCATACGCTTGCTACGCCGTGTCCAAAAACATGGTCTAAAACAATGAAATCTATAGGGCTTTGGGTACCCATAATAAAAACACCACTACACTACAGTCCAGTTCCCATTCCACGAACGTCAAATCCCTCCTTCTTCAAATACGACTTGACTTGCTCGATAGGCACCTCCTCCCGATGAAAAATTCCAGCCGCCAGAGCAGCTTCTACACCCGTCTGATTAAAAACTTCTCCAAAATGTTCAACGCATCCTGCCCCACTCGACGCAATCACAGGGATCTTGACCGCCCGTTTTACATCAGCAACTAATTCCAGGTCGTACCCGGAATTCGTGCCATCCTTGTCCATGCAATTTAGCAAGACTTCACCGGCGCCCAGTGCTTCGCAGGCAGTAACGAGCTGGTACACGTCCAGATCGCGCCCCTCTCGCCCTCCCTTAACGGTACATTGGTACCAACAGTATTGTTCACCATTGGGTCCGGGGAATTTGGTGGGTATGACATGATGGGTGGGAGCATCTTGTGGTGAATCAACATAGACTCGACGAGGATCAACGGATATGACAACAGCCTGAGCACCATATACCCGCGCTATCTGTTCAATGGCTGTTTGACCCGTCAACTGCCGACCGGATGCGTAGTACTGTTCGGCAGCGTAAACAGCGTCACTCCCAATCGAGACTTTATCAGCCCCAGATCGAAAGTATTCACCCGCAACTTGCAGAGCAGGAATGACTGTTCCATCTGGGTTAGTCAAATCTCTTATTCCGCCGCCGATGGTCAGTGGTACAAAAACGGACTCTGACGTGCGCTTGAGAACTTCGAGCATGGGAAGGTCGTGGAGGGGTATGTCACGGAATGCAGTGATGTTGAGGAAGGTAATTTCGTCCGCACCTTGTTCAAAGTACCTTCTGGCAAGTTCAACCGGTTTTCCAAGATTTCGGACGTCCGCACCCTCCGTGGCTCGCTCTCGCACATCGTATTGATCGCCCTTTGTCACCACAAGATCGCCTTTATCGTTCGCACGCACATCGAGGCAGGCAATGATACGTCGAGTGAGGTGATCCTTTGGAATTATTGATGAAGCATCCGCATGAGGCTGTGTCGAGTTTGCGAGGCCGTTGCCTTGTGGATTGTACGACAAGAATGATCTCAAAACTTTTAACCCGGCCCACCCACTTTTTTCAGGATGGAATTGTGTTGCAAACACATTCCCCTTCCTTACAGCAGAGACAAATGTCTCATCTCCGTAGGTTGTCGTAGAAAATGTCCAATCCTGTATCGCTTTCGAGGCAGGGACTGCGAACGAATGGACAAAATAGTATCTCGTGTCTTCGTCCCCGTCATGGTTCAGCTCCGCCAATCCACTATTTGGCTGAGCGAGAGCAGCACTGTTCCAACCCATGTGAGGTACAGATTTTGTGGCTGGGTTAAATTTCTTGACGGTGGATGGTATGAGTCCTAGACCTTTCACATTCGGCGACTCGTCGGAACCTTCAAACAAGCACTGCATTCCAACGCAAATACCCATAAAGGGTCGGCCGGATTCAATGTATTCTTTGAGTGCCTTGTCGTATCCTGTTGTATGTAATCGGACCATAGCGGCGCCGAATGCTCCAACACCCGGGAATATGAGTTTCTGTACAAAAACAAGCGTTTTAGTGACTTCTGGCCAAGGACATGTAGCTGCTACTTAAAGAATATTCTACCTCAGCTTTCAGCAGATCCTGTGGTGACTCAACATGCTTAATTTCATATCCAAGTTTGTTCACTGCATTCACAAGGGATCTAACATTTCCCGCTCCATAGTCGAGGAGGTAGACGCCCATGCTGAGATGTCGCGGGCAGACAGAACGGAAGTGCTTTGACGGATCTGAATATCTAGGCTAAAACCTCTGCGCACCGTACAGAATGATGACCGGTCAAGAAGTGGGCCAAGTCGACAAATGTCCGTTTGGAATGTAAGGTCGGTTGATATATCTAATGCCAGAGATGGGAGTTGAGTGGTGTCTGACTCACATCAGTCATCTTGTTACCGTGACAACGGTCATTGATCTATTGGAAATAAGCATTATTCGACGTCGAAACCTCCAAAGGCGAACAGCACCTGCTGTCGTATGGTATAAACATAGAGATGTGATGCCAGACAAAATATATTCTCAAAGGTACAAAGACATGCGCACAAGAACACATGCGAAACGCCATCGACCTCTGCGAACATTCGTTCACAATGATGATGTTTTGCTCAAATCGCTCGATACCTTTTCATGGACTGGGCTGGCTCTGTAGACAAGCAGCAATACAGCACCGAGACTTGCTTCATCTGCAGTACAGCTTCGTGGTCTCCACTACTCATATGGCGTCGCGTTAGATTCGGAAGGCCTCATGCCAGGCTTGTAATCTAAATCTCATGATAAAACATGCAAATCAATAACGGTACTCCAAAATATATTTCCAATACAAACGTGCTATCTTACACGGATAAGACCTAAACAGCCTCTCGCGCAGGGCAGCAGGTCAATCCACTGTGAATCTCAGTGCGTCAGTTGCGTAAAATAAGTTAGAAATGCATTCTTTATGAGGGACGCCTGGGGTTGTAGTATATATGTAAATCTTAAAAAAATGAGGGAAAGAACAGGCTGGAGTTTACATTTGGTGACAAAATATCCTGAAATTTGCTGTGATGTGAGCGGATACGACCCGCTGCATCATGTACGTGCTCCTTCCTCCACAACGAGCTAAATTAAGCCGCATTTAGATGCTTGAACTGTCACTCAGCGTCCCTGAAGAAGGTAGCACGCTTCCGCGCACAAGAAAGGATAGGGTGAGACGTTAACATGGCAGCTACGGTCACTGCCATGGATATACGAGATGGTCGTATTGATGAATGAAAAAGATCTGCCTGCTTGTTAGACATTATGGAGGTTTTGAGGGTATGGAAGCAGGCGGAAGTTTGGTTGATTTTCAAGGACGAGCAGCAAACTTATCCTCGAGATACGGTGCTAGGCAGAATTATTGCGATTGACGATCCGCTCGATGCATCATTGCAGAATGGAGGACCTGGCTTGGGCAATCGAAAGATCTTCAAGGGCAAACGCGCGACTAAGCCGTGGCTCAACCTATTTGTGGGCTGCGGAACAAGATGCAGGATACACTTTTGAGGATCATCCCTTACGAGTTCAGAGCAAAACATAACCTATCTAAAAATACCCATTAATAACTGCAAATAGGTACCTCAAAGTAGGTGTACCTCTGCGTCATCCGCTTTCAATCTACGGCACCCAGCACATACCAATGCGTACCCCGGATCTGCTCTCCCGTCTTCAAGAAGACTCTGAAAATGACTCTCCTATGTTGGAAACGCGCAAGGTTGGGGTTGGAGTGGATGCGCAACATAGTCTACTTCGCCGGCCCCCAGTGGTCGAGAAGCATATTAGACCAGGGTCTGCAAGGCTAGGGAGCAAACCTGTCGGAAAGGAAGGCACACCGCTAGAGTCCACGCCATCATCGTCTTTGGGGGCAACACCAGCTTCCTCCACGGGAAGGCTAACCACACGCTTAACAACCAAGTCAGACTTTTCCGATTCCAATTCCAAATTGAGATCGTCCACCCCACGTCTGATTTCCGAGACGAAATCAGTTTCGAAATCCAAGTCGCAATCTCTGACCAAAATTGGACGACGAAAGTCGGCCCCCAAGTCAGCACGTACAGGGAGTGCTGGTAGAAGAGCAGATAGTGCCATTGCCATCAGTAGCAGAGGAGCTGGAACCCGACCAGGATCAGGCCTCTCCGTTGGCAAAGGGAGTGGGCGGCCCGGAAGTGCCATGCGCTTATCTGCAAGAGGTGCCACTACAACACCGGGGACACTACCACTCTTGCCGGGGAAGTCGAAGGGGAAGAAACAGACGGAGATCGTGACAAAGCCATTAACTCAAAAGGAGCGAGGACTGTTGGATGCCTGTGAGGGTGACGATCTAGATGCGGTTAGTTGCCTACCCTGGAGGACGGTGACGATTTGTGAATTGTTTCATAATAGGACATTGGACTTTCCAGGTTTACAAAAGCTTATGGCAGAATCCAGACATCAACTGCCGCAAGCCCGTATTTGGGTCAAGGTAAGGCTCTTGAATAAATATGTATATGAGGTCAGATACTCAGAAAATCGCAATCGGATTAGTCCGCTCGCCGTCGCCTGTCGAAAGGGTAACCGTCATGTTGCCTCCATTCTCTTGTCATTTGGAGCAGACCTTAACATATCAGACGAGTATGGTGTGACCCCCCTGCACTGGTTCGTCTAGATCGAATCACGTTTTACACCTGTTCGAAACACTTATCTTGATATCGCAGGGCTGCAAACTCTGGTGATGCATCACTCGTTACTCTTCTTCTCCGCAAAGCTGTTTCAACCGGAACTTTAGCTTCCACGTTAGCTGCAACGTCTCCTATCCAAGCTCCATCGGGAGATGCACCGGGTCTTCTCAGTCGTAAGGATTTGTTTGGATCCACAGCGCTACATTTTGCTAGCGTCAATAATCTTACGGGAGTTGCAAGAGCTTTGGTGAGTAACGATCACAAAACATATCCAAAATGTCATTTTTTATATGACCACGAAACAGGTGGCAGCGGGCTGTGATCCAACGGCGACAAATAATGATGGACGCAGGGCCAGCGAGCTGACATCGGACGAGGAACTGCGACTGTATCTACAAGGTAAGCTTCAGTTTTTAAACATCGTAGGCCTGGTTGAGAATCTTATTCCGCTACATGCAGACGAAGAGCATCGTATTCAAAAGATGCAATCCGCTGCTCTACGTGCCGCACGTCGAGCAGCAGCTGCGTCCGCGACCTCTGGCGGGTCACCACGCAGACCGGGTACTCGGCCAGGAACTTCCAAATCCATCTCTCGGCCCACAACAGCACAGTCCACTCCCAATCTTTCGAAATCTAACACTAAGAAATCTACCGGCCGCTCCTCCTCTACATTAGTGAAGACCGCTAGCCGACCCAGCCGACCCACTACGGCCCTGCCCCGTTCCACGAGCGTAAAAAGCGGTCTATCGACAAGTAAAAGCAAAGACAAATCCAGGGAGTCCATCCCCGCTGAAGATGTTCTTACTGCCGAAGAAGTGGTTGTTGTTTCAACAACGCCTGTAGCGCCCGAACCCGCGCAACAGCCGGTCGCTGAAATGGAAAATGAAGAATCTGTAGTCGTGATGAAGCAGACTAGTGGTCCGCGAGGGTTCATGTCGGCGGTACAATCGGGAACAAAGGGCGTTGGCGTGGGAATGAGTGCTTAAAATGGGGCGGCGACGCCAATGGTATATTTATTCAGACTTGTGAATATCTTCTTTTTTTTCAATATAATTGCAGCATTATCCTACTTGCTTCCCAATTTCTGCGGTGCACATGCAATCATTTCAAGTGCTTTTCTCTAGGGACAGCCACCAAGGGGTTCAGACTAGCAAGATTTGGTAAATCCATCTTCCGATGATACGACCAGCCGGAAATTATCACACGCTCTCCAACAGTATAGCATTTGCATACAAGGAATGCTGCTTCTGGCAGTTAGCGGGAAAAGCTACGACTGAATTGGCGGTAGCGGCATCGTGTACGTTCAATAAGTGTCGCTGTAAATTATTCGACCAGTGGAACACTCTGTCCCCGAAGGGACAAAATGGACAAGCTGCCCATCATCACCACAGACCGACACGTCGCCTCCACTGATGGCGGGCGCTTCGCTCTCACCTCATAAGTCTCAAGAGTACGGAGGAGATGATAAACACCCATCCAATCGGGTCAATATACAACTAGATGTTTCTTTGCTGCAAAAATTCGAACGTCACCATAGGCAGGCGAGCCATAGCACCCAAACGGACATAGCAAACGGGAGAGCAATCAGTGCGTTCCCGTTGGCACTGGGACGTATGCGGATATATGGCATTCCGGCCAGGTCAGGAAGTCGCCATCACCATGTACTTTCGAGTGATTGAATAGGCAACCGCAAGGGACAACTGTAATTATGCAGAAACAGGTTCATATCCGTATATTACTGCCCAGCATATAACAGGAATGGGTGAGTGGACCGTCATTGGTCCGAGGGTAGCAGGTAAGCGATCATGGGCGTATATGGCAACAATCCAAAACAACGCACGACAGTCTGCAAAGTGTCTATTTATCCAAAAACATAGCTTACAGCGATCCGTTCAATATGGCTTAGAGTCCTCCTTTCGCTTCTTCTTCTTTGCACCCTTCTTCATAAACTGTCTCCAATTCCCCACCCTCTCTTCCCTTGTCTCCTCCCACAATTTGTCGTGTTCTTGTTTTTGCTTCCTTTCCTGCAACTTTTGCTCTGCCTCTGCGGCACGTCTATCAAACTCGTTTTTCATGCGCATCTTGATCCTACTCTCATCATCAGCAAACATTCGTCGTGTCTCCATCCGAATCGCGGCGATCAGTTCCTTATCATTCATCAATGTTTTCCATCTTTCTTCTGTCACTACAACGGGCCCCTTGATACCGCGCTTCTGAAATATGCCATCCCGCGCATCCGTCACAAACCCGATAAGAGTTTTTCGTTTTTCCTCATCCATTAGCTCACTCTCGGCCTTTTTGAGTATTTCGAATGTCTCTTGTGCACGGGGATGCTTGCATTTGTCGGGGTGGAGAAGGAGGGATCGCTTCCGGTACGAGACCTTGACTGCACGGTCATCTACTTGAAGAGTTATGAAAACGGAAGGGGGATGGTCAAGGATCTCGAGCGGGTTGCGGGTTTGGGCGTGGAGCTTTAGGATCCGGTCGACCTCTTGATCTTGGTTGAAGCTGTTTGCCTATGAAATTCGTGGAGAGTGAGAGTTAGACTCTGGCAAAAGCATTGTCAGCTGAGTCCAAATAGACCCTTACCTCAAGACGTAGGTACTTGTCCACGTCAAAGTCGTCGTCGTCGGCCATGGTGTTAATTGCTGCTGGAATCTGGTGCGTAACAGTGCATGTCTCAACCAATAGGAGACACTGGAACCGGTTATCTCTGGTAATCAATTGGATTGGTTTACTTAAGCGATCGTATCGTCGTGTTGGCTAACAAGCAATGCTGTTTTGTTTTTGTAGTTGAACTCAGTCATCATTCTATTGTTTGAATCACTAATTCCTGAGTCAACCTGACAACAGATGTATTTATGAGAAAAGGCGGTCTGTCAGCTACTAGCGCCTTGCACAGATTCTCCAAATCGTCAAAAATAAAGCAGCCGAATTCCTTGTACTATCACCGTTCAAGCCAAGCACTACATGGATACGCTACAGTCGAGCATCCTTCACAAACGGTATGCTTTGTTGCAGTACTAGTCCATATGAAAATGTTTTGTGCAGGATAAGCAGTTGCTTGGAGCGCACAGTTATACCTCCACCTTGCTTAGTGTTAGTGTTGTTCAGGGTATGCTACAGAGACTACACCAGTTGGCGGTGGAGACTCTGGGTCGGTCACAATGCGGCGGCTAGGCATATCGTGTATGTGGTTGTGCGAGTCGGGCTGAGAAAAGCGCGCGACAATGAGCAGCCGCCCTATGCACCCAGACGCACCCAGACCCTATCATTGTCTTCCATCTCGTCGTTCTTTTAAGATAGCCGCAGCGTATTCACTTTTTCTTTGTCATCTTTAATGTCATCCTTTCGTCGATCTGATAACACTAATGATCAGGTCGGCGGCGCCACACTGCGCCATACTGTCAGGAGACCTTCGCGCTCGTGGTGCTGGTTCATGTCGCTTTCCACCTCTGTTTTGTGCGGCCCGTTCCAGCAAACGCCCACTGTTTCTCGCTAGTCCCGGCAGCCGGACGACAGACGTTTTATGCCGCTATCCGTCCACCCTACGTCTGCAACAAGCTACGTGGCTGTATCCAGTTCAAGCGTTGACGCGGACACCTCACACACACAACTACTCCCGTCTTCATTGCACAGCGCACCACGCCCCCGTAGCAGGACAGAAGTTAAATCTCCCCCTTCACCGTATGTAGTTGCACTGTGTTCCTGTGCCGCGCTTGGCGGGTTCCTTTCCGGCTATGATGCAGGGATAATCAGCGGAGCAACGCTATTCATATCGGATGCATTCCAATTGACTCATTTTGAAATCGAAATTATCGTCAGCGGCGTCATTGCCGGTGCAGTGATAGGGGCGCTTTTCGCTGGGATTTTGACCGACAAATGGGGCCGCAAGCCTGTCATACTAGCAGCGGCTGTTGTCTTTGTTTTGGGGGCAGCCATGATGGGACTTGCCCAAAGTTTCGGTATGTTACTCCTGGGACGGCTCGTAGCAGGAGTTGGCGTAGGGCTGTCGGGCGGTGTGGTTCCTGTCTACGTTTCGGAAATTGCTCCCGCAGATATTCGTGGAGCCCTAGTGAGCCTGAACGTCTTCTTCATCACACTTGGGCAGCTTGTGAGTTATTTGACCGCGTATTCGCTCAGCCGTCCTCCAACAAATGAGAATAATTGGAGATGGATGTTTGGGCTTGCTGCCTTGCCCGCGATTGTCCAAATGGCTGGAATAGCATACTTACCCGAAAGTCCACGATACCTGGTGCAAACGGGGCGTAGCAAAGAGGCCTTGGACGTCCTAATGCTCGTGAGGCAATCGTCATGCACCCGAGAGGAGCTGGAGGATGAAGTAGATGCGATACAGCAGAGCTTGAATAGAGCAGTTGATACAGTCAAATGGCAAGATTTATTTCTTGTGGACGGTTACAGAAGGGCAATGATTGTTGCCATTGGCCTTCAAGCTTTGCAACAATTATCAGGGTGGGTTTAGTCTCTTTTTCTCTTTGTAACATATTTCGGCCCTTCATTCTAATTTTTTGTATCCCTTGAAACAAGGATAAACACCATCATGTATTATAGCGCTACCATTCTGACGATGGCAGGATTCCCTACTAAGGAGAGTGCTATTCTCTTTTCGAGCTTCATTGCTCTCGCCAATTGCCTCGCAACAGGTCTGGTCCGTAGCGATTTTGAAAAGATGCTACCATGTTGACAGATTAGCTATTTTAGTGTTGTCTATGCAACTCATCGACCGGACAGGACGGCGACCATTACTGCTGAGAACTCTGATCGGAGCAATAGTTGGGCTGGTAATTCTCTCTGTATCATTTCGAACGCCTTCCGGGAATGACGAGGAACACTTGCGAAATTCGGATGGTGCGGTCTCATGGGGGAGCTGGATATCGCTCAGCAGTTTAGTGTTTTATGTTGCATTCTATGCAACGGGGTTAGGTGCGTGGCCTGCTATCAAAGGCCATCCGTTGTCTCAATGTCCTGAATGACCTTCATTTAGGATGTGTACCATGGACCGTCATGTCCGAAATTCTTCCCCAGCAAATACGCGGAAAGGGGTCGGGTATTGCCATTGCCTTCAATTGGGTGCGTAAGATAAAGAAAGCCATGAGATGAAACCGTGCTAACGGTGCCGCTGCCGCTACATGTTTAACATGCAGCTCTGCAATTTTATCGTATCGATGACATTCCTGAGCCTAACAAACATCATTTCCCCTGGAGGTTGGTGTATCCTTTCTTTGCATGCATTTACGAGGTTGTACGCACTCATACTTGTTGTCTGCTTTTAGGTACCTTCATGCTCTATGCTCTGATTGTATGTGCCGGATGGATATTTGTGTACATGCGCGTTCCCGAGACAAAAGGGAGGAGCTTAGAGTATATTGAAGCGACAACTGCGACATGATCAGCTTGTCCTCCCCAGCGCAGCGAGCGTAGGTAGACTGCAATGTCTAAGGACAGCTGCGCGCCCAAGCATGTTACATTCAAAAAAAGTCAGAAGACGGAAGCGTCTTCTTTCGGACCAAATCTATTATGCTACCCGCTCCGATTCACCACAACACGGCGACTATTGTTTTCGCTTATGCAGCTACATGATTTAACGTGTGGAAGATGTTAGTTGTCGATAGGTGGAAATCTGTTGAGATGCACAGTGCTATTTTAGCTAGTTTAATAGAGAGAGTTATTTCATTTTTGCAGTCAGATCGGCATATTTGGTGCAGCTCGCCGTGGAGAAGCGGGACAGGCTGTATCGGCGGAAATTGGCGTTACTAGAAGGCGTAAACAAAAGATGGCGAAATGCGTCTAAACTGTGAATATACTGGAGACAAAAGCTATCGATGTAGAGCACAGAATTCTGGCTGGTTCGTCTTCATTAGCATCATCATGCCTCAGCACCAAAGCTGAGAGGAAGCCATTTTACCAGTGGCGCTGCCAAAGATCCCATTCTGGCGGACATAAAGCCTAAATCCCCGCACTCTGAATAAGCACTTGTTTTGATTTGAGTTTTAGTGATCGCCTCATGCAAAGGGGTTAGATTTACATTGCCCGAGGTAAAATAAACCTTTTATTACATAATGCCCTTCTTTTCTAGCGGCCTGATACTTTTTACAACTAGAAAGGTTTTAAGCATTTTCCTGATCATAAAGAATTGGACGGTTCACCACTTCTGTTACATCCAGGACTTTCGATCGACAAAAAGATCAGTCCTGAATTCAATCGACAAAAAGATTACCCTCCCTTCATTTTACGAGCCAGCCAGGGATCGAACCTGGGACCGCTCCCTCCGGAGGGGAGAATGCAGCCACTACACCACAAGCCCATAATGGATTGGATGACGCGGTGTAAAGCTTAACCACAGAAACATGAGCAGTCGGACAGCTTTGCCTGCTTCAGCTTTTACAGTGATGTATCTTGGAACCATAACGCACGAAATAATGAGTATATGCATCATAGTAGCTTACATCTGGATTCCTGGATCTTGTTGTGCTCCATAGCTGTATATTCTAGCTGAGCTGTCTATCGCAGTGTTTCCATTGGTAGAAGATGCGAGTGCCCAGTCGCCACAACAATATCCCTTGACAAATCGGTGGGTGACTGACATGTCAGAAATCGGGCCACATGAGGGTAGAATATACAATCATTTTTTTTGCCGCTCGTTCCAGACTCGTTGTCATTCCATCCTCTTCAGATGAGCATGTTACAGGTAACGAGGGCAGGAGTGCGCAAACACGTTCACCATTCCGCATCAATATTTTCGCTTGCTTAACTAGCCATAATGGTCAAGGCGCGACGCTTTCGTTTACCTTCACTCACACGAACGGCAAGTTACTGGTCACATCATAGCCAAGTCGCTGTAGCCAGAAGATCACCAATATTAGAGAATGTCGATCCGGAATGAGGATTTTCTTTTTGCGGCCGCTTAAGTGACTGAATGCCATATTCCATTCCCATAGCACGAGGTGCCAGTGATTATGATGTCCAGACATGCTGAGTAACAAAAACAAGATAGGCTGAACATGTGGGGTTACTCCGACGCCGATCAATGGTGTATCATACAACGCCTTCATCAAGTCGTTTTAACCAATTTGGACGATTGCTTACTACAAGAATCATACATGTGTCCATATGGCGGCGGTACGAGCTCTGCCAGCATTCGTTTACATCGTTTTGGTGGTCAAAGTCATCACGCTCTCGGCCAGTTTTCACGGTTGCTGGCACAAACTTCACCTCCTTATCTGCGCTGTTTCCACCCCTCGCCCGATCATTAATTGTGGGGTGTGATTGGTGTGCAGCACACTTCTGCGCCACAGCAAGCCACACTGTCATGAGACATCTTCCAGCTTTCGCTGCTTGAAACGACGCTGTCAAAGCTATCCTCAGATTGTAGAGTATTTTAATGGAGATGTGCGGTTGGAGACAAGTACGCCGGATTCCTCTCAGAAACATCTTCCTATGCCCACCTTTTGCTAGATCACTGGCAACAACATCCCCCAATCCAAATACTTATGATGCCATTATTGTAGGAGGTATGAATAACTTTATGTCTGGCTGGCGCTGAGAGCAAGTTGAATTGAATCCCCGGACCTTTTATATACATCTGCCATTCCTTCAGGCGGACATAATGGACTTGTTTCGGCCGCATACCTCGCCAAAAATGGTTTGCGTCCTCTGGTCCTTGAACGTCGGCCTGTGATTGGAGGTGCAGCGGTTACAGAAGAGATTTATCCTGGATATCGTGTATCGCGTGCTTCCTATCTTCTTAGTCTTCTCCGACCGCACATTATCTCAGATCTGGACCTGCATCGACACGGTCTCAAGATCCACACACGGCATACATCTTCATTTACTCCGCTCAGAGATGGTAGATATCTCCTTCTGGGAATGAACAGTGAGGAGAATAAGTTGGAAATCAGCAAGTTTTCCACTAAAGATGCAGAGGCCTACGATGCGTATGAGAAGTGGTTAGAGACCTTCGCCAAAGGAATAGAGGCACTGCTGGATGCCCCTCCCGCTGATTTGAAAGAGATTATGCAGGGAGGTGCTAGCTCGCTGCCGAAAGCTTGGAAAGCTGCAAAACCCTTCTACGAGATGTCCCGCGCAATGGGCATCAAGAATCTACCAGAGTTTTACGAGTTACTGACGGCGCCTGCCAGCAAGCTGTTGGGTAGATGGTTTGAGGTATTGACGATGCATTCTCATACTTACTGAGCAGCACCCATGATATGAACAGCCTACCTTTTTAGTCTGAACCTCTCATGTCAACATTGGGCACCGATGCAGTGATCGGTGCGTGGATGAGTCCTTCAACACCAGGGTCGTCGTACGTTCTACTTCATCATGTTATGGGCGGTGTCAATGGTATCAAAGGGGCATGGGGAGTTGTGGAGGGTGGAATGGGCGCGGTCTCAGAATCTATCGCACGGGCTGCTAAAGAGGCTGGTGCCGACATTCGAACAAGTGCGCCAGTTGAACGGATTCTCGTATCGGAAGCAGAAGGTAAAGCGGTTGGTGTGAGACTACGGAACGGAGAAGAGATACGTGCACCCATCGTACTATCCAATGCAACCCCAAAAGTCACATTTTTGGACTTGCTGCCGGAAAATGCATTACCACACGAGTTTCTCAATCAAGTTCGATCGATTTCCTACGCGTCTGGAACCACCAAAATCAATGTGGCTCTCGATGCTCTACCTTCATTCTCCTGCCTTCCAAACGACCCCAGCAACCCAGATAGGCCACTCCCGCATCATCAAGGTACTATACATCTGGGATGCGAATCTATCGCCGATCTTGACGCAGCATACAAGGACGCCCAAGCGGGCTACCCATCCAAGTTGCCATTAATAGAAATGACGATTCCATCTGCACTGGACCAAACCTTAACACCTGAGGGTAAACACGTTGCAACCATGTTTATACAATATGCTCCGTATGAGTGGTTTGCATGTCCGGAAAAGGGGGAAAAGAGGAAGAAGGAATTTGCAAAACAAGTCTTTCAGGTCGTCGAGGCGTACGCCCCAGGCTTCACGCAGTCAATTTTGGCCGCCGACGTCTTGACCCCGCCAGATTTGGAAAGAGTATTCGGCGTTACAGGAGGCAACAGTGAGTACTTTGTAAATGTATGTGTAATGGACCTCGCAATCGATCTTGAACGGTCGCTTCTTTTTGATCAGTTTTCCACGGGGCATTGACGCTGGACCAGCTTTACTGGGCTCGCCCGACTGTTGGTGCATCAGGATACAAAACGCCTGTAAAGAATCTATTTCTGTGTGGATCAGGCGCTCATCCAGGCGGGGGTGTAACTGGGTCTCCTGGAAGGAATGCTGCGTTGCTGGTGTTGGAAAGCGCTGTGTAATCGCCACTTGTGCTAATATGACTGCGCCATCGACGTGTTAATCGAACGATGTCCCCCACGGCAAATCTTTCCAACAATTACGAATATCCTAATACTTGCAACTGGGTCTGAACTTTCAGCAGTTGCACCTTCACAATGTCTCTAGCAACGCTCCCAACAAAAACTTCATATCCAATCACAACCCCTTCGTCTCCGCCACCAGTTCCAGATAACTGGCCGCGATGCCTTTACAATGAGGAGCAGATTGCGCAATTGGATCAGCTAAAGGAGCTGGTACCACCACTGCTGACAACTGGAGACGAGCGTACGGAAGAGGAGGCATGGTGTGATGATGCTTGTTTACTAAGGTACCTGAGAGCGACCAAGTGGAATGTACCCGCGGCAGGTAGGAATTGAATCGTGCGCATTGTGGGCAAGTCACAAAAGCTTGACTGATCACTTTTGGCTTTGCAGCGAAAAGGTTAGAGAATACCCTCATCTGGCGACGCGAGTACAAGCCGCATAAGATTGATCCTGCGGAAGTAGAGGAAGAGGCGAAAATGGGAAAGCAGATTGTTTCTGGTCAGTCAACGCGGTTCTGCGGGCGCCATCATTTCATGTGACATAGGCTCTAACCGACGGATATTGATTGGGATTTGTAGGATTTGACCTGCAAGGAAGGCCGTTGAGTATGTCTTTTGTGCTTCGGTAGAATCTTGGGATGATGGAAATTTATACATCTTATAATAGTCTACATGATTCCGCGAAAGGAGCACACAAAGACCTACGACCGGCAACTTCGCTTTGTCGTCTTCAACCTTGAGAGAGCAATACGGTAGTGCTTTCATTTTTGCGTTGCAAATTTTTTGTTGCACGTAGCTAATCACTCGGAGTAGTGCCATGCCGCCAGGAGTAGAGTCTTTGAACCTCGTAATTGACTACGAAGGAGTGTCCGTACGCACATCGCCTCCGTCCTCTCAAGCCAAGAAAGTATTGGCCATTCTTGGGGATCATTATCCCGAGCGATTGGGAATGGGCTTTATGATAAATCCCAGCTGGTACCTCTGGGTTTTCTTCAAGGTGCGACTCGTGTAGCATACCCCGCTGACTTTAGCATCGTTTCTTACCATTCTCTTTTCTTCCAGATCATCGGCCCATTCCTCGATCCAATCACCCGCTCCAAAATTCACTTTGTTAACCTTAAGAAGCAAGCCGATTTTAATACTAACACTAATGAAGGGGAATCAGGGAAAGAAGTCGAAGGAATGGGAGGATGGACGAACATCCGTTATTACATTGGACCTGACCAGTTACTCAAGGAGTATGGGGGTGAAGTAGAGTATGAACATGTTCACGATATCTACTGGAAAGCAATTACAGCGTGATCGATCTTCGACGTAGACGGGAAGTATATGGGAGACAACATAAACTTTAGGACAGAGCTTTTAGATATTATTTACAGAGAAGGACGAATACAAAAGAATTTATTCTTTAAATGCCTTTGGGTCCGTCTGTTTCCTTTTCCCCTACATAAGGACCAGTTTCACGACAACAATTTCTTATTATTGATTGTGCGGATTTTGCAGGACAATCAGAATATACTCTTTATCTAAAAAAGCCAAAATATATATGAAACTCCAGACCTTCGCGACCTAAAAAGGTGGTGACATTACCAGGTGCGACCATAATTTCATGCTTCTTTGACCGTATTCTGAGGAAACTCAAATCATTCTGCTCCAAGCAACGTAATAAGCACAAATCCAGATCCCGCTATAACCATTATGAATATCTCTCGTACCTGCGGATCTAAATCTCTCACGACGCTCCTAGCCTTTGCTGTCAACTGCGTTATCAGAGCAGCATACTGAACTGTCTTGTCATTGTCCAAAGTTGTTCGAATTGGGATGCCTTCCATATTGACAATGACGATACCCTCGACTCCCTTGTGAGAGGAAAGGCGCTTGATAGTTTCTTCCACTTCGGACTAGTTGTTTGAAGCTTGAACGAAAGGCAGCGCTCAACTACTTTCACGAAACGCGGGACGTACCATTGCTGATGTCAAAGGATGGGAGCTGAGCAGAGAATGCGAGACAGTAAATTATGCAAAGCTTTTGTGCTTGCTTATTAGCTCGTAGGTAAATGGGGTAGGTCTATCTTTGGCAAAAAGGAAAACTCTGATTGCAATGATTCGTTGGCAGCGGACGCTGCGTCGGAGTCGCGAGGAGTCGCGATTGTTCATCCTTGGGACGAATCACGTGCGTGGCGGAAGCTTGTGTGTCAGCGGCTTCCCGTCGTCGTAAAGCCAGTACAAACGTACTGAACGTGAGCCGCTTGAAAAGAAATATTAAATAGCGATGGATGCTGCACATCGCATGAGCCGCCAGCTTATCGGCTCATGCTTTGCAAAAAGCCAAGAAAGTGCAAATAGCGATATCCCACTTGTCATTGGGTTGGCATCAAATGAAAAGAAAGCAGACATTTCTCCACATTTCTTCAATGTTACTGACTAAACGGCAGGAAAGATAGATCCTGGCCAGTGAGCAGCATTTGTGCAAGAGATCATCGTCGAGGTTTGCCTTCGCCGTCCTTGAAGCAAGTTGAGCTGAAATCTGTTGGGTCATCTGGACCTATTGGAAAATCGATTACCAAGTCGCTGGCTCAGAATTATTTCTTTTTTACACTGCGCGTTTGCAAAGAGATTGCGCTTGCCTGCTTCAACAGTTTACACTAATGAGCAACTTGAAGCGCCCGTGGGAAGACGAAGTCGCCACTCAAGAAGCGACAGCTTCAGTGTCGGATTCCAGCGTAAAGAGGCCACGACCTGAAGCTACTTCCGACGACGCTGAGGTGCAGACCAACGAGAAGGTAGAAAGCAGCGAGCCATCCGCTGAACCGATGGTTCACCTACAGAAGACGGCAACCGAGTTGTCTGAAGACGCTCCTCCCAGCACACTCTCAAGCCAACTGTCATCTGAATCAGGTGATGCGGAGGCGCTCTCCCAAGATGCAGAGGCCGCCGAAAATGCAGATCAGCCAATGAGCCGCATGAAAGTCGACAATCTTCCCAACTTTTGCAGCAGAAAAGACATTCAAAAGTTTTGCAAGGCGAATGATGTGATCGTCCATCAGTTGAAGAAGGCCCCAAAATGGAACTATTGTTTCTTGGGGTTTAAGGTATGAGGAATGTCACTACGTAAATGTTGGACGTGTTTAAATTCATCTGGATATCGTCGACTTTTTGAAGACACAAGAACAGAGAAAGGACGCTTTGGAAAAGCTGAGAGGAAAGACGATCAAGGACAATGTCGTTCAAGTCTCAGAGGTTGAAGCAGTCGAGGTACGCCCATCAAACACTACTTTGTGTTGTGCGCGGGTAACCCATCTCACGCCTTGTTGTCGCAGCGACAAGGCACGGCACGCATGCAAGGAAAGGCACAGAAGGATGTGGTGGCAGAGAGCGCAACAGATACTCGCACTGCAGATGAGCAGCTGGCGGATCAAGTCACCCCGCTTTGGAGGTAAACTATTTCATGTCGTCCTTCCCAGCCACCGGAAGCTGAAAGTCCAGCACACAGAAAACCTTACGAAGAGCAACTCAAAAATAAGCGTACTGTCCTTAGACAGGCACTTTACAAATTCAAAAAGGAGATGTTCAAGTATTTCCCGAAAGAGTACATTCGAAACAGGTTTCCGGCCCCGACAACAACTGTCGTCACAAAAGACATGACGCCTGAAGAGAGAGCTATTGTTCAATTAGCTTGGTTTATGCCAGCGCTCAAGGCAAATGATGACATTCCATGTCCATTGTCCGACCCCCTTCCATCGCCAGTCGTGAACGGATACCGCAACAAATGCGAATTTACTTTTGGATGGAATTTGAAGAGAGAGAAGGTTGTTGGATTCCTTTTGGGTCTTTACAAAGAGGGTATTGTCAATGTGTTGGAACCAACAAATACCCTGAATGTATCACCAGCTGCGGTAAAGATCGCAGCGACGCTTCAAACGTTTCTACGGGCATCTGACCTCGACCTCTACGATCGAATCAACAAGAAAGGATTTTGGCGTATGGCTTTGGTGCGTACGCACCGGACCAACGAGTCCATGATCGTCGTTCAATACAGCCCATCCGACGTCAGTGTAGACAAGATTCAAGCAGCTAAGGATGCCCTTAAATCCCATTTCCAGCGCGCCATGGCTGATGGTGAGATTGCTGTCACCACTTTACTGGTGCAAGGTTGGGACGGCGTATTCAACGGTATGACAGACAAGAGCCCCTTGGAGATTCTCTATGGATCCGGCTACGTCCACGAGACTTTGTTGGGTATCAACTTTAGAATTTCGCCTAGCGCGTTTTTTCAGGTGAATACGGAGGCTACGGAGGTGCTGTACTCGACCGTGAAGGATTGGTGTGCTTTGGATGAAGTTGAACGGGAAAGAAAAGAAGCAGCGGACGAGGATAGTGGGAAGACCAAGTGCGAGGAAGCTCAAACGAAGATGGAAGAGACAGTTCCAGCGGAGACAAATGGAAGCGTGGCTGCTTCCACTGATCCGGCCAATATCTCCTCCGAAGCGCCTGTAACTCCACACCCGAAAGATCTCTCTCCTCCTGGCACAGTCCTCCTGGATCTCTGCTGCGGCACAGGTACAATCGGACTGACCATGACATCGCAGGTCAAAAAAGTCGTTGGGGTTGACATTATTAAAGACGCCATTGAGGACGCCGAATACAATGCAAAGCTGAATAATGCAACCAACGTATTTTATTATGCCGACAAGGTTGAAAATGCTATCAGAACAATTTTTGCGGAGCACGTTGGGAGCCGAGATGATGTTGTTGCAGTTTTGGATCCACCGAGGAATGGTGTGCACGCGGATGTGATAAAGGCTGTAAGGGCATGTGAGGGAGTCCGACGGGTGGTGTATGTGAGTTGTGATGCAGAACAGGCTTGTGGAAACTTTGTTGAGTAAGTGTCATTCTTTCTTTTGCTGGTTTCGAAACGTATCCTAATGGCTTGCTCATCATAGCCTATGTCGCCCGACATCGAACAAGTATCGTGGCCTACCATTCAAGCCGATTCGTGCGCAGCCTGTAGATTTGTTTCCACATACCAAGCACTGCGAATTAATTTTGGAGTTCCGGCGGTGAAGAGACTGGATAGAATATTGATAGATTGCAAGATAGTGTAGTTATTCTTGAGCATTTATTTATACAGTTGCCTGACAGGTGTCTACATGTATATACAACCGGCTTAAGTGATGATGTAGAACTACAAGCATCTCTGTGAACCGGTTACAGAATGTCCGTTTTAAGGACTCTATTTGCCTTCCGCTTTGGTTGCGGTGCTGCGACATGAAATCACCATTTTCAGTCGACTAGTAGTACTTCAATGTTCTTGTGGACAGTGACATACCATGATCATTCTCCCTCACGTAGAATTTCCTCAAAATTATAATCGCCTCTTCTCTAAAGTATCCTCCTTCAGCTTCGTAAGTTGGCTCGGATCTAACATGACTAGATGAACGACAGATATGAGCATGCCGGAACCAGACGAAAGGATACGCACGTTGCCACTCACTCTTTATTCACTTCAAACACCGACCCGCATCCTCCAAATTTATCATTCCCACATCCATAGTACACCTTTCGTATCCCAAGTATGCGTAACCCCGCTGCACACATAACACATGGCTCCACCGTTACATAGAGATCTGTTTCCGCAAAGACGGTCGGAGGGTGGGTATGGAGGATTTGGTCGATTGCTTCGAATTCTGCGTGGCGGGTTCCCTAGTTTAGATACTAGTGTTGAGTGGAGGGTAGGGTCGGTAGATCTGACGAAAGCAACGCACATTCAGCGACTCGTTAGTCCGATTTCGACCTCGACCTATTATCGTATTGTTGTGGACAAATACACAACCCACTGGAACTTCGCCGACCGAATAGGCTTCTTCAGCCTCGTCCAGCGCAGCTCGCATATATGTGTGGTGAAGGCTCGCAGTGTCCATTTTGTTGTCACTGAACTACGAGCAAAATCGAGAGTCCGCAGGTAATTGGGATTCTGCTGGCTGTGCCATCGGCGTGATTTGATGAGCGTTTGCGTTTTTGTGTGTCGGAGAGTGCTGGCACACTTTTGCATCCACAAGACCTTTTTGTACAATGTACGGGCCACAGTTACCGCCGTCCCGTAGGGAAAGCTCCCCAGAAGAAGCAGATATTGGACCAAAATCACCACCCTCACCCTCACCCTCACCCGAAATCGGCCCGTCGCGTCCACACATCACAGCAACCCCACCAGAACAGGAAGCTACAGCAAACGATGGCACCAATTCGAGCAGCGAAGAGGATACCTTTGGTCCGTCTCTTCCTCCCCGCCTCCTCGCTGCACGTCAAAAACAACGGCAAGGGGCATCTCCCCCAGCACGACGAAAACTCGTTGCGGGTCCAGCAGCTCCTCCTCCTCCAGGATTTTTACAGCATGCAGAAGTAGATAGTGACGATGAGGTGGGACCCAAACCTGCTCCGAGGAATGGGGAAGACGAGGTTTGTGGAAATATTACATAATGATGTTGTCCACCGTGATGTTGATACGAAGTATATGTCTAGTTAGACGATCTACAAAGTCGAATAGCAGAATTTGAGGAACGAGAGCGGCGAGCCAAGGAGGAAGCGGAGAATGCATCCCGTCCCGAGAAGATCGTGAGAGGAGATTGGATGCTGGTACCGCCAGAAGCGAATAGGCTACCAATAGGTGAGAAAGCATTAGTCTCTGTTCTCTCTGACTGGACAGTACCTAATGCTCCAAAATTGTAGCAATGGGGTCAATGAAATCACGCCAATTCAGCAAGTCGTCTACTGAGAAGGATATTGATCAATCTGGATGGACGGAGACACCGCAGGATAGAGAAAAGAATGCTGGCCAAAAGGTAGTTTGCAGTATTATTCAGCCCATGTCGGTAATGAAGGCGTAATGTATATTATCCTCAGCGTAAGCGACCACCTAAAGACGAACCCAGACCACCAACCGAAGAAGAGCTCCGAACTCGAGAATTTGTTAAAAGACACACTGTGAGTACCAATTACACATCCATCTGTATTATCATATCTCACAACAGTGATATAACAGGAAAAACACCGTGGAAAGGCATTAATGGACCAACATATGTCAACATACATTCGCAACGGACGACTGGACGAGGAAGACGTTAGCAAACGCAAGTTTGACAGGGAGCAGGATATGGGGGGCTCGCGGCGCATTGATGCAAAGTCTAGACAGGAGATGCTGGATCAAGCAAGAAAATTGGATTCAAAGTTTGGACATGGAAGGAAAACATTTTTGTAAAATGCGGCAGGCAATGCAAGTAATTGTAAATAGGAAATGATAGGTTTGGGATCTGAACCGATTGACAGATTTCTTCACAATGTCCAAGAACCACTGTCGTCTAATGTCCTTCATCCGAACCACGTCACCAGTCTCCATAACCATCAAACGTCGTCCAAAATTGGTTCCTCGGATTGGTATCTGTCGCCAACCTAAGCTTGTTCCTTATCGACTGTACGACATGCACGTCACCTCTTGCTAATTCTGTATAATGATTTTTGCCAACTAGCTCAGCTTATCAGATAGCGACGATCGGAAACAGCACTGTTTGCAAGCGTGTTTTGGGCCCACAACCCTTTAACGGCTAATGCGTGGACGCTGACAATAGTGCTGCCGAACATGAGAACACAAAAATGCAAAGAGTAAATGCAGTATCAAGCCCATAGAAACTGACAACTGAACCGATGCTTTCGTGGTGACATATCTTTAACAAATGTCCTCAACCCGACCCTAGATTTCGCGTAAGCGACGCCCAACCGACACGGAGCTAAGCCACCGATCCGGTTTCGAAAAGATCGGAAGACTTTGCCTCGTGTTCCGCCGTCATCTCCATCAAATGTCTTAGATTATACTCGACGATTCTCACTTGATATCCGATTCTTCATGTCCCGCCTAAAAGCTTTCAATCGCCGCTGGGATATTGCGTCCGACGACCTCTTTATACCTCTATTTTATTCCCTCCTATTCCACCTCATATGGCATGTTTTCCATATATTCTACCATTGCCAAACACTGATAACCTCCATGACAGGCTCATCTTTGTCACCATCGTGATTGCCACACATGGAGAATGGATTCCTATTCCATACATTCCGATATTTTATTGTTTTGTCGTCGCATGTTTACTTATTGAGGGAATTGGGATGATCATTTCTCTGAGGGGGACCGTGGCAGACGAGCGGCCAAGGAGGAGGATGAGGTGTGTTGATTTCTTTCATAAATTCAGGAGAGGATTTAGATTAATTTCAATGGGTTCGTCAGAAATCTGGTCGAGATACATTCAGTGATGACTCTTTTGGAACTGGTAAGGACTGCCACGCATGTTTGCTTTCAGAATTAAATAGCAAGGTTCCAACTATCATCTATAGCCACTCGAAATCTACACACTGTACTTTACAATTCACACACTTAAAACTATCACCCACCTCGCCCTGCTCATCCTCCTCATCATTTCGACGCTGTTAACAGCATTATTGACTCTGCTTCACCTTCTTGCTATCCTAGCTCTATATATTGTATCCTGCCCAGTAGTAAAAGATGAACAAGCAGCCTACGAATCGACGCAGAGACTTTGGCAAAGACGCTTACGCCGGCTATTCAGCTTTGGTGGAAAATGGGTGGCTGGACAGGACGTCATGGAAGAGGTTGCGAGATTTTTCGGGGAGTACTTTGACGGCGTTGATTTGGCACCATCAGATGTTTTGGTTGGCTGTATGTACGTAAGTTGGACCATGAACAGTTGACGCCGCCCTAACTGGCGTGTTTCAACAGTAGCGTTACTACGCAAAGTCCAGCAAGAAAGTGCAAAGCAGCACGCCCGAGAGCGCAGACAAGACGCGATTCCTTTGGTTGCTCAACAGAACCCACAAGGTGAAGATGCAGCACCAGTCAGCACTGGTCAAGGGACCGATTCCGCCCAACTGGAGGATAGGGAACTAAGTTCGAGGGAAGACGAACGGGAAGAAGAGGCGGAGCCCGTCCCACTGTCGCCCATTCACCAATCGGGGCGTGCTAACGAAGCGATCGTGGACAAAGCCGACCTAAGCAACGCCCTCCACTTTCTCAATTATGCGCAAGCAATCTATGGCCTTCCGCTCACCTTCGCGGAAAATCCATTTTCAACACTCAAGGCAACATGCGGTAGTCTTTGTTGCGCCTGCTGTGTTGGTTGCATCCCACACCCTAAGCCCACGCCTACCAAAGAAGTCTGGCAAGCCGTTGCAACGGAGGGTGGCCTGTTCCCATTTTTGGGCACAAGTACGGATTCGTTGGAATCAGGGGAGGTCGGCGAAGATATTCAAACAGTTCACAAGAAGCTTCATTCCGACCTCATCTACATATCGCACATCAACTCCCCTTTTCGATCACCATTCTTTGTCTCTCTTGATCACCAGTCCCGCAGCGTCGTAGTCGCGGTCCGCGGCACGTTCTCTACTGCCGATGTATTGGTGGATCTGAGTTTGCAGGTGACGGATTTGGAATTATGTGACGGAGGAAAGCATTGGGCTCATACGGGGATGCTGAAGACAGCGAAAAATTTGGTCAAAGAGATGGACAAAAGGGGCGTCTTAAAGAGACCCGAACTGGAAGCCGATGAGAACGGAAGAAGCAAGTATCGGGTTTGCGTTGTTGGACATTCACTTGGTGCTGGTATCGCAGCGCTAGTGTGTCACATTCTTCGTCGCACCTCGCATGCTGGTGCAATATGTTATGCATATTCCCCACCAGGATGTCTCCTCTCATCGGATGCATCAATTCACTTTCAGCAATTTTGCACCTCTATCATCCTCAACGATGATCTCGTACCACGTCTAAGCCGCACGTCCCTGGAGCGTGCAAAGAGAGATGTCGCATATCTGTGTGGGCATAGCAATGTGCATAAACTCCACGTGCTGGCTGCAGGTTTTGGTTTGGGGTGGACGAAGCGGTGGACAAGAGGAGAAGGTGTCGTGGAATGTGAGGAGGATGTATTACGAGTCAGAGAAAACGAAGAACAGAAAATGGCCGAGACGACCTCCAGTGAGTGTATTGTGGATCTTCCTCGCCAGGAGGAAGTGCCCGCAGACGACAACGTGCAGGCCGAGGCAGCATCACCCACGGGTGGAACTACTGTCGAAGTGCGCAAATCCGTACAGATGTATGTTCCTGGAACAATCATCCACATTGTCCGTCTATCACCTCTTGGCATCCCGAAAGCACGTTCAAACAAGAAGTACAATCGCCGACACCCTCCACCACGATACACAGCGCGCTGGGCAGATAAAGCGGACTTTACTGAAATTCTGCTCTCACGGAGTATGTTGATGGATCATTTCCCATATAACGTGCGCAAGGGCTTGAACGAGGCCTTAGAGACGTTCACTGCTGCGGAAGCAATCGGACACGACGTATTAGAGTAATCTCAAAAATGACAAGTACAACTGTATCTATCTTACTTCCAAATACATTACATTTATAACTTCCAATTATTTATTAAACCCAGGAAAGACTTCTTGAAAGGTTGGTGTTTGTCCCCATAGTGCCGTATTCACATCCAACTCCTTTCTCGAGAGAGTCTCCCTTCGGCTACAAATGTCCCGACAAATTGCCTCTCTGACCGTGTAATCCTTTTCCAGTGTACGGACATAGTCTACGCAAAGGAGAATCATGTCGCGGGGAATCTGTGCAGTTGGTGAAACATGCGAATCCTTCACATGCAAATTAGTCAGTGCACGTACAGCTTTCCAGCAAGGGACCACCTTGCAACTTACGCTAAGTTGATCGAGATCCAAATCTTGGGAGATGTATAGGAGAGTGCGACGATCGGCATAGAATGCGTGCAGCAGGTCTCGCACTAAAGCCAAATATGTTTGCCACATCTGTCATAAGGGAACAGTTCCGCCGACCCTTACGTTCATCCACAATTATTGCAAGTTTCATGGCGCCACTTCTTGTAACTAGTAACGTAGGATATCGGATGAACGATTATGGCCAGATACCATTGAATTTTACCATCTTGGAGAAACGCCCTACCATCTGCATCCATTAATCCCGCCAAAATCTTTTGCCCGTCTCGCACTTTGACATTCCAATCCTGCAATCTGTGCATCATCACTATTTTCCGCGCCATGCTGAGAACCGTGAGTGCACCAACCGTTCGCGTGACGCTAGGAATGTCTCTGTCAGAAGTTCCATTGCTCGTCCGTTGTGAATTGTGATCTGGTGTCTTTAGACTTGATCAGCAATGGGTAACTACATGGCAATTATGATCGTACTTGTGCCTATCCCGTTCTACAGATACCTTTGCATCCTGCTCGTTACGATAAATGTGACGTTATTTGCCAGGCGGTCAAGAGTAAAGATCTGGTTGCAATTCGGGCGACTTCTCCAGCGCAAGTCCCTCATCGCATCACGTGTGGAATGGGTTGGACGTGAGCAGACGCGGTTGCTGTCGATCTTGACGTCGTTTCCCGCTGCACACTCGGCTGCGGTGGGGCAGGAAATGCCACTTTTGCACCTTAAATTGCAACATTTGTAACTAGTCCACATCTCGTTAACATGAAATTCGGTAGAACGCTTGTCAAGTACCAGGTCCCAGAGTGGTCCGCGTAAGTTTTCTCGTCGTGTCCTTTGGTGCGTTCGGCCGTTCACCTTGAACCGGCAGACAATACATTGCATACAAGTCCCTCAAAAGAGCAATCAAGCATGCAAAGCGACTACTTGATGTCAAAGGTCCTAAAGACAGTGAAACGGAGGAGGCGATTACCGGTGCGAATGTCTTCGTGTGATCTACACATACAAGCCAGGAACGATACTCACTTCACCTTAAAGCATTTATCAAAATGGTGGAGATAGAGGCAAAGAAGATCAATGGATTTTGGTCGAACCAATACTCTGCAACAGAACGCCGACTTCGTTTGAGTGAGGTTCTCGCTAATGGGACTCCGACAGTTACGGTATTATTTACAGGTTCCCTTCAATGACAGGCAAAGAGCAACTAGAACAAAAAGATGTCAGATCGATTCCCAACGATGAGGTTGTAGAAACAATAAACGAAATCAAAGTGCAACTTTACCTAGTCCTTCGATATCTTGAAATGAACCGAACTGGATTTCGGAAGATCTTGAAAAAGTAGGTCTAGGCCTGCTTCTCCAAGAAGTAAACCATCAGTCTAATCGACCTGCAGATTTGACAAGAAACTAGATGTGGAGTTGAGCGAAAAACTATGGGCAGAAAAGGCAGGGGACCGTTTGATGTCGCTCTTGTATCAGCATCTAGAACTGATTCTGGGTCAAGGTCGCTGTGTACCCATTCTGCACAGACACATCTTTGGAGAACATGTTGCAGGTTGTCGATGATCTGAGCGAAAAGGCTCAGAGTATCCAACATAGTCTATGGGATGATGCACAAGCGACTCCGTCCCCCGATATCCATTATGCATTTCCGGCCGAAGTCCAGGCCGCGCTGAAAGCTGATGATGTCACGCTACTGAGTATAGTGATGGAAAAGATTCGATCACCGGCTCCGGGACAGGCTTTGAGTACAGCAGAGGTGGGCGAGTTCCTTTTGTGTATCATTTTACAATAATTCACCTTTTCTATGGCTACAGGAGAAGCGCACATACTGCTCTATTCTTGTCAAAGCGTGCCAGAGAAACGCATTGAAGTGCATTGCACATCTCGTTCAGCAACCGGATCTCGTTAGCACTCCTCTACCCGGTGATATCAATCAGCGAACTATTCTTCATCGGCTAGCTGTGTTGGGTCCGAACCTCCTTCGTCAACCCGGAGGTGGTATGGTCCCTTCGTCCGGCATCGGAAGGGATGATCCTACTTTACTTCAGTACATTCTCTCCCATATACCAAGCAACGTGGCGAACTCTGCTCTCCGCGTCAAGGATTTTCTCGGCAGAACGCCTTTGCATTACACAGCCCTTTACGGGATGCCGAGCACAGCGAAGGTGCTCCTTAACTTTTTGTCTGATGGCATCCTGAAAGGGAGCCAATGGGTAGATGATGATGGTCACTCCCCTCTTTTCTACGCTGTTGTAAGGGGATTTGTAGACGTTCTGTTGGTGCTATTGCCAAGATGGAACAATGTCGACGAGCTGGGTGATGGTGCGTCGAATCTTTTGGCACATTGCTTGAGACTGAGCTGACTATGTCATATTAGCCTTCCAAGACACGGATCTTGTAGAACATCGACAACTCCAATCGTACGTCGCGGGGCAACAGATCAATCCAGGGGAAAGCGTCTTATCATCTCCTCTCATAACACCATCCCAGTCCATGGCTGCCCTCATGGACATTCCTCTTCAGCCAACGCGGACGAACCCTAGCACTCCATTGGCATTAGCTTGCACCTTTGGCCATGCTGAAGTGGTCCGTGTTCTCTTGGAGCACGGGGCAAATAGCAATGTGTGCAATGACGATGGCGAGGTTGGTTGTACAGTTCGTGGTCAAATCCGAGCAATCTCCCTCATCTGAAATAAACTGGCAGAGCCCATTGCATCTTTGCGCCCGGGGTGGGCACATCGTCTGTGTGCGGTTGCTGCTAGGACAGGTAGATGGTGCAACATGGGCCAAAGCGAACTGTGACTCCAAAGATCGATCATTTGGGCGTACACCGCTTTTCTTGGCTGGTGAGCTCTGAAGTATTCTGTGACGGGTAATATTGTTGAGCTGATGTCGCCTGATCGATCTTCTGGAATAGCAATGGAGGGTCACATTGAATGCGTTAAAGCTTTGCTTGACGCCGGTGCGTCTGTACAAATTGTGGACTCAGCAGGATTGAATCCACATGAATACGCTGGTATGTTGGATGGCGCCTGTATAACTTACGCCGCATCTCATGGGCATCCTCAACCCAGTGTTCCGAGCTCATAACGAGGTTGCCGCCATTCTTCGTTCCCACGTTACCCCTTACACGGTCAAGCCCGCAAACATTGAAATCAGCTCGGTCGCGCAAGCTGTGGTCGTCGAAAGAGCCTACGGACATAGATATTTAAAAGGCCAATCAATGATTCGTCTATATCTTGGATCTCTGGACCTTCGGCGACGAGACCCGCCCGTTCGATTGGACGACAAACGTATTCCAGCGCAAATGGCACCAGGAACATTTCGTTTAACTATATCTGCAAAGAACGCGGTGGGAGACCCTGCAATCTTCGATCTTCCGCTTTTAGAGCCCGTTCCGGAGCCAATTGTGTTTTACGCGGAGAATTTTGAACAAGTCTCTCTGCAGTTTGATATCCACCCTGCATATGGGGAAGCGACAAAGAAAGCTCGGTTAATTGGCAGGGCCAGCGCGCTTCTTTCCACTGTCAAAACGTCGCTATGGCAGGAAAAGACGCCACTGGGTGGGAGTGTTGATGTACCGATTATGAGCTCCCATAGTTTGGAGATCATTGGATCCGTGACATTTGAGTTTGTGGTTGTGAAGCCATTTGTGCATGGTAACCTTAAAGGAGATGGAGCGAGAACCTGGAGATCGCAAATGACCAAGGTGCTGCCTGTATAATTTGCCCAGCACTAAAAGTCTTATTGATCAATCTGTTTGCCTTCACAGGTCGTTGGACACCGAGGATTGGGTATGAACAAGGCAGCTCACGTAGCCAACGGACGCGGCCATCTACAGCTAGGGGAGAACACATTGCTCTCCTTCATCACGGCGGGTGCCTTGGGCGCCGAATATGTTGAATTCGGTGCGTCATCAGTTGTATATTGTAGCCTTTCCAAAGAAACCATCCTGATGCATGTGGTTGACTACAGATGTGCAATTAACGAAGGATCTGGTTCCTGTACTGTACCATGACTGTAGGTTGTCTTCCTGGCGCTTGATGCAAGAAAAAATTCTCATCATTTTTCGTACAGTTAGGGTATGGGAAACCGGTTACCACCTACCTCTAAGTGCCCTAACAGTGGAAGAATTCCTCGCCCTCCGACCTAAAGAACGGCCCTCCCGTAAACTTGCTTGGGCAACCAACGGACATTTGCGGCGCACCATGAGTATGAGCGATGCATCCGAAGAGAGTTTGAAGGCGGCTGATGAGCGGGCTTCATGGCCTACTCGTGGGAATGATGACGGGTCGGTTCAGTTACCATTCGCAACGTTGGAGGAGACGCTAAAGGTGACGGACATGTTTTATGCAGGGCTTGAATAGGTCATTCCCGGGCTGATTTTGCTTGGTTTGTTTCATTACAGAAAGTGCCAACAAAGATCGGGTTTAATGTTGAAGTCAAATATCCTAATTTACAGGAAGCCGAACAGGATGAGCTCCAAAATGCGGAAATCAATGTCTTCTGCGACAAGATCTTGGAAGGTATCTTTGATAACGCTGGAGATAGGTATGGCCTTTCGATTGTGTGTGAGTGTGTGCAGACATCTATTCTTATGCTTACTGGACTGTGCTTATTAGAAATATATATTTCTCGTCCTTTCACCCGGAAGTCTGTTGGATGTTGAGTATGAAGCAGGTGACTTGTGCGTCGTTCTGCCCAACCATGAGATCGTAATATTTACACATCGTCATTGTTGCCTATTAAAAAAGAACCACTACCCCGTCTTTTTCTTAACCGAAGGTGGAACTGATACCACCTACGACGCTCGCTGCAATTCCCTCCTCGACGCCGTGCGATTCGCAACTCGAGCAGGATGTCTTGGCATCGTAACAAAGGTGGATCCGATTCTGGAAGCACCTGGGCTGATTCGCGCCATAAGAGAAAGCGGGCTCCTGCTTTTTACCTATGGTGGTTTGAATAACGAGGTGGAGAATGCGAAATTGCAAAGGAGTTACGGGGTTGATGCTATAATCGTTGATAAAGTTAGGAGTGTTTTTACCGAATTCCAGAAAGTGTAGATGATTGTGTGGATATTTTGGGTAGAATAGGACTACGGTAGATGTTGTATTGGACATTGTTTTGTATGAATTGGACTTGAATCATGAGAATTACTAGATCATGACAACGCCAATCGTTTATTCACCTAAGTATACTCAAACAACATAATTGTCTTGCAAACTTTGCAAAGAAATCATCTCTTATTTCTTACAACCGTTCCTTCAAATCTCTCCACTGCTTTTCTCTCACCATCTTCGTCCCTGCCATTCTTTTTGACCATGTTGTATGTGGAGGTGGATCAGATACATAGGCTGGTGGATCGTCCACATGCAGTTCGTAGAGGGCTTCTGAGTATTCCACGACTATTTGTTCCGCTGCTGTTGATATGGGAAGCACTGGTTTGCTTGCTCTTGATCGAGACGATGGTCGTGGTGTGTCACCAGTAGTTGGTGGAGGTGTGGGTGCTGGTGGGCGAGGCGGAACTTGCTGTTGTTCCTGTTGTGTTGTTTCACTCCCTTTATCCTTTTCGCGATCAATGGGGCCTTGTCCCTTTCCGATCGGCGGTAATGGATGGTTCTTGGTTTTGGTCCTTAGAGAAGCCTTGGAATGCACCGTATGTGTGGCAAGGGTGTATAATTCTTTCATATCCAGTTGCAATCCAGCAACGCTCAGGGCCTCTTGCACCAATTCACGCTCCGCCTTAAGATGGTCTATCTCAACCTGCTTCCGTTTGTTGTCCTCGTTGAGCCGGTCAATGAAGGCTGTGTACTTCTTTTTCTGTTGGTCTAGGAGGAGATAGAGGTGGGGTTCGGATGGGTCTGTTGGTAATGAGGAACCTGTGATTTGAGTCTCTGGATGGTTGTGGGAGGGCTTCGGGTCAAATGTGTGGACAGATGCTTGCAATTTACTCGTTGTAGGGTCATGCACGTCTAAAATAATCTAGATGGTTATGCACTGCTAATGTGAGCCCTTAAAGCTGCAGTACTACTGTACCTCCACCGTCTGCCTTTGTTACAAGTCTCACCGAGAGGTCTGCTCGACATCAGGCGTTAAGCAACAATCTGGAACAATATCATCTAGCCAAAACAGCACTGACAGTATTCATACCAGAACAAACACTCTGCAACCTTGTAATCTCGCTATGCAGTCCTTTCAGAACACCCGCATGCTCTTTCTGCAAAAACTCTATTGTCTTCTCTAACGATGTGATCTTCGCTAAAGCTCTTGCATGTGCTTGAGATGACACACTGCAGCAAGTCATTGTAGCTCGAATTCCAGTCTCTTGCATTGGTTGAAAGGATAGCCCCAGCTGGTTTAAGATTCGTCCTGCTGCATAACCGCTCCCTGTTTGTTGTTGCTGATGTTGTGGAAGACTGTATTCGGTTCCGCTGTGGAAAAGTGGTACAGGAAGTGGTGTAGTGGCAACGGCGGCAGGCATGAGTCGTCAGATACAGTAGAAATGAGACCGACAGGGGCGCGAAACAAGAAAAAGCACGAGGTTCAAGAATGTTGATAAATGTAAACGGGGTTTATACAGTCGATTGGGGTTTTGTTAGTAACTGATTCATTTTAGTTGCCCGTGAGCGTGGAACGAGGGTCTTGCGATGAGTTTATAACTATGCTGTCCCTTTGCATCAAAATATGTACAATCACAGCAGTCACCGGCACACTTTGTATTGTAAAGCCTTAAATCGCTCCCATCGTTGACCATCCGTCCCTTGTTATATGTCAACAGCGAGCAGCACAAGGTGCAAGCGAAAACGATCTTTATCCCGACCATTACATAAGCATTGTGGCAAACGGATGGCTGCATGTGGCGGGTGCTGGCTGTTCAGTCCAAAAGTCGCGAAAGAAGGACGCACTTTTCACCAAAACAAGCCGAGCTGCACAATAATAGAACGGGCGAGTTGAAATTTCCATCCCGTTTGGCAGAATCATTCTTCCCATCGGGGCGTCTTACTCTACGACCTTTTGAAGGATTTCCCCTCTCGTCACGTCGGGCTCATAATTTCTAGCCCATCAATAAACTTTTTGGTTGGTACACGGCCGAACGCGGTGCGCTGCAAAAGACGAAATCACCAGCGTGTCGGAGATGGGATCGTAGCTTGATAGTACTTGCTCAAAACATTCACACTATCTTGTATAGGCACCCCCTTTTTATTAAACCAACCATGAGCGCAGACTACGGGGACGTGGACAATTGGATATCGGTCTTGATGGCCTGTAAGCAGCTGTCGGAAGCCGACGTGAAAAAGCTCTGCGACAAGGTCAGACACCACGCACATGTTTTGGTTACGGGGAGGCATACGAGACCGTGTTATGATGAGCATGACGGGAAACTGATGCTCATCCGCTCCATCACAATTAGGCCCGAGAAATCCTCATGGAAGAGTCCAACGTCCAACCTGTTCGCTGCCCTGTAACAGTCTGCGGAGATATTCATGGCCAATTTCATGACTTAATGGAGCTTTTCCGTATTGGTGGTAACTCTCCAGACACAAATTACCTCTTCATGGGCGACTATGTCGACCGCGGTTATTACTCTGTGGAAACGGTCACTCTCCTCGTGGCACTCAAGGTCCGCTACAGGGATCGCGTTACCATTCTTCGCGGAAACCACGAGTCCAGGCAAATTACGCAGGTGTACGGGTTTTACGATGAGTGCTTGAGGAAATACGGGAACGCCAATGTGTGGAAGTATTTCACCGACCTGTTTGATTATTTGCCTTTGACCGCATTGATTGAAGATCAGGTATAGAACGTTTTGATGGCCACTGGGATCATTTGCTTTCTCAGAGCACTTATTTGAATTACGGAAATTTTTGAAAGATCTTCTGTCTTCATGGAGGCTTGTCTCCATCGATTGATACTCTAGACCACATTCGGTCACTTGACCGTATCCAGGAAGTCCCCCATGAAGGCCCCATGTGCGGTAAGGATCTCATGGACACGGTTAATTTGCATAAGCTCATCATTCTCATCTGGTTTGCTCGATGTTCTCTTGACATCTCCAGATCTGCTATGGTACGGGAGGTGAATCAACGTACTTTCGAGAAGCTTCTTTACTTATGGAACAATTTTTTCTAGGTCTGATCCTGACGATCGCTGCGGGTGGGGTATTTCTCCCCGTGGAGCTGGGTACACGTTCGGTCAAGATATCTCTGAGGCATTTAATCGCAATAATGGGTTGACTCTCATCTCTAGAGCCCATCAATTAGTAATGGAGGTATGGCGCACGTTGAATATTGGACTCTTCGTACATTATAATGTACACCGTTTGGTGTGATTTCCAGGGTTACAATTGGAGTCAAGATAAAAATGTCGTAACAATTTTCAGTGCGCCAAACTACTGCTACCGATGTGGTAACCAAGCTGCCATTATGGAGATAGATGAGCACTTGAAATATACCTTGTGAGTATCATCACCATGAATCTTTGACTTTGCAGCCGGTAACAAGAACTCATTCGACATTTGGTTCGCAGCTTGCAATTCGACCCAGCCCCCAGGCGCGGCGAGCCGCACGTCACTCGTCGGACCCCAGACTATTTCCTGTAGAAATTAAATCCCTCAAATTACCCAAAACGGATTTCATCACTCTGTTTTCTTTTTCTAAAAGGCAGTGATTGTACAGTTTTTGAAGCTTTCGCCTGCCTTTGGCTGACTTGGATGTGTGCTTGGGAGTTATGGGCTGTGCCCTGTCGGTTCTATCGTTATTACGACGCTTGGCCTGATTACATAGGCTGGGATTGAGAAGGAGAGCTGTATTTTGCTGCGAGTGGTGCTGTAACTCGTTTGCAATTTGATAGCAACAGTTTGAGCCTTCGAGGTGTAATATACCGATGTTCTTCGTTGAGGTGTGAAATCGTCCTGCTCTCTGTCGATGCATGTTTTGACGATGATTGGGGAGCAAAGGGGACAACCAAGGATGGTCACTGATAAGTTCGCCACAAACGTGGAATACACTAGTTGCATAGTTTTGGCTGTTCCCATATTTGTACATCACACTCTCAATCGCGCAAAAACACATTTACACAATATTCCTCAACACCAATACAACTATAAGGTGAAAGGGAAGCAGAACCGGATCAATATAGATTCAACAAAACATCATCAACAAAACCACAATGCACCCACCGGAATCTCCTCGTAAAAACATCTTTGATATAAAGCGGTCCTTGTTGATCGGCTTGGCCTTCTTCACCCCCTTTCCAGTCTTTGGTGTCTCTGCCAAATTAAAGTGTCAACCAATATGCGCCATTTGGGTAAAACATAATAGTTCCCAAAAAAACCAACCTGTCCACATCTCCTTTACGTTCTCCAAAACCATGTTACAGTGCCGGTCACTAGATTCGCAAATGGTGAGCTCAACGAAATTCTCGCACTACGATCAGTTGCGTTGTAGATATGCGTACAAAGCTTTTACTCGAGCAAGCAGTTTACGATTGTTTCGACACATGATTAAGATTTGAGAGTTGTTTTTGACAGACTAGATAGAGAGATGCTTTAATAACCATATTCCTCGGTGCACGTTGACGAAGCGAGGTAGGTTGCGTTGCACACAATAATGTTTACCTGCGTCAATACGGACAATGGTCCTGTTTGGAACTCGGCTTCCTCTTGGGCAGCGAGTTCCGCTTCTGTCATTTCGCTCTTTGCTTTTGCAGACATTTTTGAACGATGCTAGGGAAAGTTGTGTGTGTCGTGTGCTATTTTGCGGCTGGTGAGAGAGGATGGGGATGGGACTGGGATGTTGATCTGACCTGTGGGTCTCGTTGAGCTTGCCCCTCCAAGTCTTGTTGTCTTGGCAACCACGCACAGTCAACTGCAGCACCTCATCAGTTCCAATAACTGACCTTTCCACCCAAGAGCTCATGAGTGTCGCTGGGACATATCAAACACTCTCCTCAGTTCAACGCGCTGTTCGTACGGCCTGGACCGATCTTAAATATCACAGAACGTCATGGCAAGACCTCTCCGATGACGGCACGGGAGTCGCGAACAAGCTGCTGAATCTTGTTTTGAAGAAAAAGTAAGGTACGTTTTTAAGCTGTGCGTCACTCTCAAAAGTGCACACAGCACTTATTGGTTGACAGATATGCCCGTGAAACCACAGCGTGGACTCCAGGGTTGTCTGAATTTGAGGGAGTTACGGAGGAATATGAGAAGAAGTTGGAGGAAGCATTGAAGGCGCCCCTGGACGAGCTAAACGAGATTATCGTACGATTGGTAGGTCTTGGCTGGCAAGCATTGCAGCAGATATTCTTTCTGTGTTAGTAATAGCTGCACACAACATTCACAGACGCAACTGCTAAGGAAGATGCAAATTCTCTACCTCCAACTCGAAACCTTGATTGATGATACATCGAATAATGTTGGAGAACGGTATGCATATGAAACACCTCTATTTAGAAGCCAAACACTCGAAGGACATGGTATGCACAGCCTGTCTCCCGTTAGTTCTCTACTCCATAATAACTGGCTTGTATGATCAGTTGGCCTTTTCCGGAAGACGATAGACATGTATGCGACGGAATTGAGTCTCAAGCGACGAATAGCAGAATCCTTGCCGAATCTACGCGATCGACGAGAAGCTATGTTTCATTTGACTGCATGGCTGCAGGAGCCGTACCTAGACCTCGAAGCCTTACGCGAAATAGACGGTATATGGGAACTGGAGAGCTCAGTGGAGGGTGGTTCTTAGTCTGCAAAAATTTTGTAGTGCCTGAGGGTTCAATTTTCTCTTGTGATGCGCGGAGAACTGTTCATCGTTAGGTTTGTGGTGCTGTGTACATATTGAAAATTTGACGTAATGCGATGACACCGATAATGCGCGGACTAAGTGAATGAGGCAAATATTATTCCATTTCTTGACAATGTCTCTGTCCAATGTCCAAACCGCCATTCAAATCGTTTCAAGAGATTTCAAGAGTACGGGACGCGATCTATTGATGTATCCAACGTAGGAGACGCCAGAAACCCGTCCTCACAATGTTGAAACATTTCTCACCGCCCGAGGAGTATAACCTGCATTGTACATCCCACTGCTAAACGCGTCAGGTATATTTTAGCAGCCAAGAGATGGGTCCGCTTTGGTGTTCAAGATCAACGCGACTGCACGCAAAATAGGTTAAGAGGTGAGGACAGACAAAGGGCAGAAAAGCTACATACCAATAAGCCCGTAAAGACCCAAAACTTCCGCAAAAATGAGGATCAAGATCATACCTAAAGCGAATTGTAATTAGCACGCAGGAAAGCCCTGTTGGACAAGATTACTTCTACTCACCAACAAAGAGACGGGGTTGTTGGGCCGTTCCACGGACACCTGCGTCACCCACAACACCAATGGCGAAACCAGCGGCCAACCCGCTCAAGCCAACGCTAAGACCAGCGGCAAGTTGAATGAATCCGGCAAAGAGGGACATTTTTGGTTGTACTGAAACAGAGATTCTTCATAAGATGCCACGATCATGTCGCACGTCCGCATTGATGAAGCTACTCACGGCCACCGCTGAGCAACACGGATACGACCAACCCGTAAATACCAATGATACCAGCCTGCACGAGAAATTATTACTGATGTGCCCAAAAGAAATATCCTGACACAAGTTTGACCATACCATAACAACGGGGACAATGTTCTTGGTGATCAACTCGGGCCTCATGATACCCATAACAGAGATACCGACACCGGACTTTGCGGTTCCGTAAGCAGCTCCGAAACCTGTTTTGAGGAACAGAAATTCCATAAGCTCCAGGTTCAAGACTGGATGAAGAGTACGAGCTCTGCTGTCCACGACATCTCCCTGCAGGAAGAGTTGTGCTGGACACGCTTGATGATGATGAGACTTACAGCTGAAAACGATGGCGGCAGTGCATCCCATAGCTCCAAAGAAGGGGCTACATCAGACAACGATACAACGTCAGCGTTGAGTTTTTCATTACGTGACCCAATATCAACGCGTAAAAAACAGATACTCCACCTGTAAACAGGGCAACCCTCAGTAAACGTAGTCGACATCTTGATTGGCTAAAAACGAGAGGAATAGGGTATGTATTGTGTGCACAAAGAGGCTAGACAAGTCGCTTGAACAAGAGTGCTTTGTTTCTGAGGCACGAGTATGCAAGACTGCGCTTGAAAATACGCGAAGGATGAAATGTACAGATGGTCGATGGGATGAAAATCCAACTCCGCGCGAGACCAAACGACGGAAAGCGTTGGGGGGAGTCCAAAGCGCCTCCTTGAATTTCGTCGTGGATGGGCTTAGTAAGGCTGGAAGGCCCGCAGTTGAGATTTCCATATATGGCTATATACATGTGGCACATTGTGGCTAGGGTTGCCTACTGGTCTGAACAAGGAAGTCAGCTTTGTTCGTCGTTCGTTCGTTTTACTGTCCAAAATCATCAGCAATTTCCTTTTGGCAAAAACGAGCAAAGCCATGTCCACAGCCGCCATGAACATGAACGCTCAGCTTGAGCACTGTGAGTAGTTTGTATAGGTATGCTTTTACCGTACTAACTACTGATCTCTTGTAATTATCCCTGTAGTGCAGTCCAAGCATGTCGGAACAGGGCATGCCGACACCAACAAATTGTGAGCTTTTTTTCTTTGTCTGAGCATCAAACACTACAAGTGACTTTCTAACCACTATTCTGACCAGTGAGTGGGCAGTCAACCAGCATCGGGATACATACGCATCAGTTATTGGCCACAACACTTTGATCGCTTATTCGGCAGTGGCAGAGAATGAGAGTATTGGGAGAAAAAAGTTTGAAATGATTGAAAAAATGCTACAGCCATGGTGCGTTTCACATCGGGGGAATGCTATGCTTGGCGTACTGTGCTAACTTTATATCGTAATGTAGCGGTCTTCCCGTACCACGAGACGACTAATGATAGAATTTTTTCCCTCATGATTGCTTGCAAGAGGATCTGTACATAGTTCAAGTAGCGTGTCGATGAGTTGACGATGTATAATACTTTGGAGATGGCAGAGTAGAAGAGAATAAAGTCGCAAATTCCAAAATGTAACCTAATAGCACAATTACAAGCCTGTGACTACCTAAGGACGAAATCTAAATCTTGGTCAACGCATCCAAAAATCCCCTAGTTACATCCGCAATAATCGTTCTGTCCGGAACACTTGCTGCTGTTCCATAGATGGCTGCCACATCGCCGTTACCCGCCTTGGGATCTTTACGAATTTGACCAACCGCTTCACGAAGATCTGCAAGCAAGGCGTCCGCAGAGTTACGGGTGAGCATGGTGCACGCGATGTGAATTGCTGGTGGGTTTTGGAGAATGTTTAGATGCCAGTGTTTTCTAGACAAGAGGTCGGCCACTGCATAAGTGCTGATCGGTGCCTTTGCAGCGAAAGCCACGACAGATACGACAGGATCTCCAACCAGCTGGAGACCTTCAATTTCCTGAACCCTATTTGCATGGTGTCAGCTAAAAGGGTTTCTGAACTCCGTTAAAATATAAAGCGGCGAATACCCTTTTTTGATTTTCCGAGCAGTCTTCATGATTTGCTGGGTGGATTTTATATATCCATCTTCGCCAAAGTGAACCAAGGCCGCCCAACATCCAGCAACCAATGACCCAGGCCTAGACCCAGCGATGGTGGGTGATGCATAGATACCGCCTACATTCGAGTATTTAGTACATGTGTGAAACGCCGATACTGCCATATTTCACATCACACACCCGGCCATTCCGTCGTCACGAAATATTGATGGTCCCTAATGTCCTTGGACCGGTACATGATCACGGAAGATCCCTTTGGCGCGAACCCGTACTTGTGCGTGTCGACCGAAATTGAAGTAACGCCATCCACACGGAAATCACATGGATGCTCCAGAGGATAGCCTGCCTTTTCTAAGAATGGTACGATAAAGCCACCTAGGCAGCAGTCCACATGCATCCCTATCTTGTGCTTCTTCGCCAGAGCTGCAAGGGCCGGGATGTCGTCTACGATGCCATGAGGGAAATTGGGGGCTGATCCGGCAAGCTAGTCGGGCAAGTTAGTGGATACACCAGAAAAGAACTGGGAATCTAGTAAGTTGCTCACCATAATGGTGTTCCGGTTAATTGCGCGAGCCACCTTGCTGACGTCCACTTTCCCGGTAATAGGGTCAATGGGAATGTGAACAATCTTGACTCCAAAGTAGCTTTCGGCTTTGTCAAAGGCCGCATGGATAGTCACGGGAAGCACCCTGCACGCTAAGTTATAATCGTATTCTACCATTGCAGGTCTGGAGGGGTACCTACATCTCGGGCTCAGTCACGCCGCGTTTGACCCTTGCCATATCACGGTAGGCTTTGACAGCCATGAGCAAACTTTCTGTTCCACCGGACGTTACGCTACCACATCCACTGTCGGGGGCGTTGTACATGCGAAGAACCATAGATACAACCTCAGCCTCCATCCTACGTATCCCCGGAAAGATTTCGGGGTGTAAAGGCTATATTGAACGTGAAGAATAGGTTTGCGATTGCCTGTTTAGATGTACGGCGAACATTCCGATTGACGTACGTTGGTGACTGTGAAGCGTGCGAATGCATCGGTGATCAGCGAGGATACTTCCTCACCACCGTGATAGATGGCACCAGAAACTTTTCCTTCCTTCCAATCAACATCGCCCATTTTCTGATAACTTTGATACAAAAATATTAGAATGTTAATGTAAGCATGCGATACAGATCATTGCCGCTTACCGATCCAGTTCCGCACGAACTTCTGCCGGACTGAGTCCCTTGGAGGGCAGCGTCCGATAGATCTTCTCACCAGGAGTATACTGGACGACTTTCTTTTCAATGCTCTGTATTTGCTTAGCAACTTCACTTTTAACCATATCGTTTGCACCCGGGATGCTCTTTCTCGTCAAAGTAATGAGGATCTAGACACACGCTATTTACATGAGTTTATTTCCGCCTCTTTTGACAGGGACCTCACATACCTGCAGGATGTGCTTCACATAGTCTCTAATAGCCTCGCCGGGTCCCTTTACAGCAACTTTGAGAGCTATGGCAGTAGCATAACGGTACACAAATATGAGGAAGACGACATTTTTGAACAAAGCGATGTAAGGTTTGGAGGTGGCCGTTGCCACCGCGGCATTGAACTTTTGAACAAGCGACATTGTCACTAATAATATACGGATGTTTAGTTGAATAGCTTTGAGAAACAGGACTATGGAGTATGATAATACCTTTCTGCCCCAACCAAAAGCTTGCGAGATGCGTCGTGGTCTGCGTTTATCCGCTGTGATCGCTTACTTCATCCGCACTAGTGGCACAGCGTTCAAAGCGACTGGAATGGGAGTATGAAGGTGTTTTGTGTACGGATGCACATGAGAACCGCAAAGTGAACATGGCGGTAGATATCATGGCAATGAAGGTGTAGAAGGAATTGGAAGTAAGCGATAGATGCCTCACATACATCGGATGTAGAAGACGCTAAAGTCCTAGTTTATGTATTATAAATTCATTGCAATTGCATACACCAAGAACAAACGACTTTCTGCTACTAAAGGATGTCCTTGTCTATGAGATGCCATGACGATTGATCTTCTTGTCCAAACCTTGAATGAACCCAAAGGATAAAGTGCAATCCTCATTCTTGTTGCAAATTGAGTTCCGTCGTCAAGATCCAAGTCCCGACGACTAAGCACGCTGACTCACACCATGACACATTTGCCTATCAACCGAGCTGCCCTTGTCCCCGTCGCAGTCTCAATTTCCATCAAGTTCCACGCCATCTACGTTACCCTCAGTCCTGCAGTACAGCGCTGCATAGCTCCTTACGCAATGCTGCGGCCCGCACAAGAAGTTTTCCTCACATTCTCAAAAAGTGTCCCTCGTTCGGTTGTCCAGCGACTGACCGCCACAGGACAGCCTATTGTACTGCAACTGCAATGCGCTCCGTCTACATCTCCATTGGCTCGCTTTGCATCAACAACCACGTCATCCCATGCTCTTCGCGGATTTCAGTCGCTACCGACAAGAATTCCGACTCTTCTACGACCAAGAAACACGATAAATTCCCTGAATGAGCGGAGCTTTGCCACTGCTACTCGCCCTGTCCTGAGCTTTTGGTCCAACAGCGGTAGTGGGAAGAATGACGGTGGCGACGGAGAGGGCGGCGAAAATAAGCCGGATAAGGATGATACTACGCACAAGAAGGTGGACAAGGATTCCAAGGATGGTGGAGTGGCGGACGACGCAGATAACGCTAACGCAGCTGCTACTGGTGGTGCAAACGGAGCTGGGGCACCATCTGATGGAAGTGGTGACGGGAAGGGATCGGATAATGACTTTGTGGAAAAGTTGATCACACAAAATCCGGAGGGATCTGCAACAGAAATCAACACCAGCGCCCTTGAAACAATCACTGTACCTAAAGAGTATCCCCAATTAGTTGCTATACCACTGAATCGCCGACCTCTTTTCCCTGGATTTTATAAATCACTCTACATAAAGGACCCACAAGCGATTGCCGCCATCCAAGAACTCATGAATCGACGCCAACCGTATGTCGGCATTTTCCTATCTAAGGACGATGAAATGTCGGAGGATGTGATAACGGACGTGTCGCAAATTCACCGAGTTGGTGTATTCGCCCAAGTGACCAATGTTTACCAGGCGGGACCTGATAACTCAGCTCTCACCGTTGTTATCTACCCGCATCGCCGTATCCGTCTGAATAATCTGGTTGGACCTCCACCAGAAAAGGAAAAGGACAGCAAGTCCCCGCCTGCTGAGGAGCAATCCTCGGAAGAAGCGGCAGAAGGTATGTGCTCGTGCTTCACGGATGTCGTTAACGTAACCGCTCATTCCTCTTCACCGGTTTCTCAAAGATTACCTCCCGATCAATAAACATCTCGCAAACTATCGCGTCTCCCTTGCCAACGTCGAAAACTTGAACGACGAGCCTTTCAATGCCAGTAACAATGTCGTCAAAGCCATTACTTCGGAAATGCTCAATGTTCTGAAGGAGATTTCACAAATCAATCCATTAATCCGCGATCAAATTATCACGTTTTCCATACAAACAGGAGGCAATGCGTTTGCTGATCCAGCGAAACTTGCAGACTTTGCTGCTGCTATTTCTGCTGGGGAACCAAATGAGCTCCAGAGCGTTTTAGAGAGTTTGGTTATAGAAGAGCGACTACAAAAGGCTTTAGCAGTGGTAAAGAACGAGCTGTCTAATGCGAAGCTCCAGCAGGAGATCTCAAAAGAAGTGGACAAGAAGATTACGCGTAGACAGCAGGAGTATTTCCTCATGGAGCAGCTCAAGGGAATCAAAAAGGAACTCGGGATCGATACCGATGGGAAAGACAAGCTCATTGATAAGTTCAAGGAACGTGCCGCGAAGCTGGCGATGCCGGAGGCTGTAAAGAAGGTCTTCGATGAGGTACGACTAGGCAATTTTAATATCCCTGCGTGGTTAATCTCATCTGACACTGGCTGCCATTTTATTCTTCAGGAGTTGACCAAGTTGCAACACCTGGAAGCCGCAGCATCCGAGTTCAACGTTACGCGAAACTATCTCGACTGGTTGACTCAAATCCCATGGGGTCAATACAGCAAGGAGAACTTTGACATCAAGCATGCCACTACCGTTCTAGACGAAGATCATTATGGGCTGAAGGACGTCAAGGACCGAATCTTGGAATTCATTGCGGTTGGCAAACTAAGGGGGACAGTTGAAGGGAAGATCATTTGTTTACAGGGCCCACCAGGTACGTGGTGATTGTATCTTTAAACTCCATCGTACACGCTCTCACGGACTGTTAGGTGTGGGAAAAACCTCGATTGGTAAATCCATCGCGCGAGCACTCGGTCGAGAGTTTTTCCGGTTCAGCGTAGGGGGACTTACTGACGTCGCAGAGATCAAGGGTCATCGTCGAACATATGTGGGAGCGATGCCCGGAAAGGTTGTGCAGGCGTTGAAAAAAGTGCAAACCGAAAATCCTCTGATCATGATTGACGAGAGTAAGTTTGCATTGATATGAATTCTCATTCAGATATTAAATGGTGACATTTTTTCGTAGTCGATAAATTGGGTCGAGGCCATCAGGGTGACCCAGCTTCCGCACTGTTGGAGCTCTTAGATCCCGAACAGAACAACTCTTTCCTAGATCATTACATGGATGTTCCACTAGATCTCTCCAAAGTCCTGTTTGTCTGCACCGCCAACATGCTAGAAACCATCCCCGCACCGTTGTTGGACCGCATGGAAATAATCCGACTATCGGGTTACGTAGCAGAAGAGAAAGTCGCTATCGCTGGAAAGTACCTGGCGCCCACAGCGCGTGAAGCAGCCGGCCTGAAAGAACAGGATGTGCAGTTGTCTGATGAGGCTATCGAGACGCTGATTCGATATTACTGCAGAGAAAGCGGCGTCCGAAATTTAAAGAAACACATTGATAAGATTTACCGCAAGGCCGCATTTAAGATTGTGAAAGAAGAAGATGCTGAGGGAGGTGTGGAGAAGCCCCTCGCAGTAACACCGGACAACCTGAAAGACTATGTTGGATCGCCAGTGTATACAGCAGATCGGATGTATGATGAGACACCACCTGGTGTGGTAATGGGGTTGGCCTGGACATCCATGGGTGAGTTGATCTCCGCCATCTTGCTCCTTCCAGGGTTCTAAATGCAGTTTTACCAGGGGGTTCATCACTCTACGTCGAGTCTGTTTTGGAATCTGCGTTTACAGATAACGGTAAACCGTCCTTCCATCGCACGGGACAGATGGGCGATGTGATGAAAGAGAGCTCGATGATCGCGTACACGTACGCACGGTCATTTATGGCCCGAAAGTTCCCGGACAATAAGTTCTTTGACAAGGCCCATATTCATTTGCATGTTCCGGAAGGTGCTACCCCCAAAGATGGTTAGGATCTCTATTGTTGTTGATGGAACTACGACTTCATAGCTGATAGCGACGTTTTGCTAGGACCCTCTGCGGGGGGCACAATGGTCACATCCCTGTTATCCCTTGCGCAGAACCGACCAGTAATTCCAGATGTGGCAATGACAGGTGAAATCACACTCACAGGCAAGATTCTTAAGATTGGCGGTGTCAAAGAAAAAACTATTGCTGCAAAACGATCAGGAGTCAAGAAGATCATTTTCCCTGCTGCTAACCGGAGCGACTGGGATGAGCTAGCAGATTATATCAAGGAAGGACTCGAGCCCCATTTTGTGGGATGGTATGAAGAGATTTACGATGTGGTGTTCCCATCGCAAACTTGATGGGCCGGAGGGACGGGGAGAGACGTTTTCTATGTGGTATTTTTTTCGATTACTTCCCTTGTCTTCTTTTTGTACAATAGAAATACCTGCTGCTAACTTAAAACGAAATTATCGTCGTTTACGCTCGGCTTCCTACGCTGCTCTTGGATATTGTGTTCAGACGAAGGGTAGCAAGCACACAATTAGGCAGTCATTGTTTCATCTCTTTTTGCTCATTTGTCCAGTCAATTTCAAGACCTTGCCAGAATCAAATGCAATATCCACATCTCCCTCATTTTCCTCGTCGCACGTTACCACACTACGTCGCTTCAACCCATAAAACCTCACCCAGTCTCTTACAACAGCGCTCATCACATCCTCATCATCATCAGCCAACCAAAAACCCGATACCCCAGCACAAAAGCACAAAGATCGAAAATACCCGGCAAAGTCCTTGGCTAAATATCTTCTTTTCTCATCTTTCACGCACCATATTCCTCTCTCACATTCTTTAGTGCTAGTCAGAATCATGAGCACCCTTCCACTCTCGCCACCTTCCCATATGCAGTACCCTCGGGCGTCACCAATACAGTACACTTTCATCTCGGTCAATTGATTTACTCCACTGTGGCCCACGCAGATAACTTTTGCTGCCTTTGTTCTGACCTCCCACGTCAATTTCATTCCATCGCTAACCATTAAGAATGATCTCAAGTCTTGTGGGAGACGATCCGGAGCGTGTAGTCTATCCCAAGTGTCCAGGGAATGGGGTGTGAGCGGAAGACCAGAATCGAGATTGATGTTTGTTGTCAGAGGACAGGATTGAAGGTAGGCAATGAGAGGGGCAAGGAGAATTGTTAAAGGTCGATTGTGGGGCATGTTTTCAAGTAAAATGTGCGCCAGAAGGTGGTGAAGAAAGCTGTCAAATGGTAGATCTTCGGGGGTAGAGCTCGCGCGTTCGTGGCTTGGCTGATTAGATAACCCATTCGGACATTTGGCGCGCTCACCACTCTGGTAGACTTGCTGATTTTCAAACTTCAGATCCACCGAGGTTTGAGTTTATGCATCAAGATGAGTGCGACAGTCGCACCTCTCCCAGCGCTTCCTAGCAAATCCACACCTCTCAAACTATCTTCGTCTATCGCCAACCTCGCCGTTGCCTCCTCGTCCACAGTACCGAAGCAGAGTCCTAAAATATCGACACCAGGAGCTGGGGGTGCTGACGATGATGGCCGAAAGACATATTTTCTGGAAGGTGAGCTCTTGGGTGCGCAAAGTAAGTAATCTGTAGGCATTGCTGCTAATGCATTCCGGACTATGCCAGCGGCCGAGCCGGTCGACGATTTTGACGAAGACGACCTGAACTATGAAGAGGTTCCTATAGAGGAGTTTGAAGAGCTGGAGGATGATGATGAGGAAGAGACGCTGGAAAGTGCTGTTAGAAACATTCATGAGCGGAGCTTCTTCGGAGGTTGGAGTTTATACTATTTCTGGTCGTTGATGTTTATGATGTGCTCAATTCGCGGGCTTTATATCCCGTATAGTTCCGGTGGAGCCGTCTTCCAAGGCCGAGGAACTCACTCCTACCCTTACCAAGCGCCCTGAGGTGATCGATGACTACATCAGAAACTATCTGTCCAGTAAGGGATTGGTGAAGAGCTTGGATGCATTCCAGGTAGGGGCGCTATGCAAACACACGAGCAACGCCATCTTTTTCTTTTTCCGCCCACTGAATGCTCCACATTTTAGAACGAATGGTACGAATACCAGCAAAAGGGCCGATTGAGCATCGAAGACATCACAATTGTACCAGATGTTTACCAACGCAACCAAGAACTTGCAGACGCATTGCAAAAACTCCGGGTAGACGTCGAAAACTACAAAGACATCGCTAGGTAACCCTCTTAATTTAGATTGCCCAAAATTAGCCGAATCCAACACAAAACATCTTACGCTAGCAAAGCCCGCTCGACCTACGACAAACTCCGCAAAGAGCGGGATTTCCACCGTATGCATCACAAGCGGGTCGTTCAGGAAAAAAATAAGTTGATTGCGGATATCAAGCGACTGAAGAAGCACTATGAGAGTTATGAACCAATGTTGAAAGCTCTGCAAGTCAAGTATGAGACTGCAATGAAGGAGAAGATGTTGACGAGATTAGAACGTGATCGGCTCGCTGGAAAGGTATAGTAGTGTCTCAATACTTTCCTCGAACCAGTTTCCACATTGACATAGTGTGTCTAGGTAGTACAGCTGGAAAATGCAGCTAGAAATATAGATAGAAGGGAACGTGATCGAGACCGCGAGTCACCAACCGGTATGGACATGTCATCCACTACCTCGGGTTGTTTGCTGGTTACAATTAACAATCTACACAGGTCAATCCAGCCGGTCAAGCGCCAATCCTAAACGTGAAGCGCAACCTAAAGAGGGCACGGCAACCACCACGAATAAACCTACCAAAAAGAACATCAATTCCCGCGAATCCACTCTCCCGCTCGAAGATCGACCAAATCCCTACGCCAACGTTGACCTTCCCGTTGCCAAATGCGACCGGTTGCGACAGATTCATGTTGTCAAGGGACATGACATGGCGATTAGCTCGTACGTATAATCCGAGTCTCGTACGGATTGGATTAGTATATTTACAGTTTCATTTTGACCCCTAGCGTGAAATTCCACCCTAAAAAGATGATCCTTGCAACAGTCTCTGACGACAGGACGTGGAAAATGTGGGCTTTTCCGTCCGGAGAATTGATTATGAGCGGTTCGGGGCATAAGGATTGGGTGGCCGAATGTGACTTCCATCCGAGGTACAGAGCAGAGATTACTTCTATAAGTTGGATAGCTTCTTAACGTGCACCCACATTGTTCGCAGGGGAGCGCATCTGGCAACAGCTTCAGGAGACGGCACAATCAAGATTTGGGATTTCGGTAAAGGGTCGGTCACATCAACTCTGAGTGATCACACTCAAGCGGTATGGTCATGCGCATTTCACGATACGGGCGACTTTTTGGCGAGTAGCTCTATGGATCATACAGCAAAGCTGTGGGATATGCACACGTGAGTGCTTTTTCTATTTAGATGGAGATCGGCATGTCTGCATGGTAAACTGCGTTGATTCACAATGTTCTGTGTGTATCTCTATATAGAGGTCGCTGCCGACAAACTTTCAGAGGCCATGCGGATTCTGTCAACCAAGTCGGATTCGTACCTTACACCAACACCATTTTCACCTGCTCTGGAGATAAGACGATATCACTGTGGGATGCACGAACAGGACTATGTTCGCAGACGTTGTATGGGCACATGAATGCAATAAATTGCGTTTCTTTTTCAGTGAAGGTTGGTCGAATGATAGCATAATTCACACATTCAACATGATAACCAACATTTGATAACTAGGGAAACAAAGTTGCGTCCAGTGATGCAGACGGTGTTGTCAAATTTTGGGACATTCGGAACGTCTCCGAAGTAGCCAGCCTTGACGCCGGTCCACATCCGGCGAATCGCGTATCGTTTGACCCAAGTGGAACAGTTCTCGCTGTAGCTGGAAATGATGGCATTTGTCGATTATTTAATGTCAAGGACTTGGGTGCGCATGCGGCTTCCTCGAAGAGAGAAGTCCAAGCACACGACGATGGCTGTCAGGCAGCAGTGTTTGATCGAGCGGCTGAATTTTTGGTGACGGCTGGTGGTGGTAAGTTTCCTTGCCGTACAGGATCGTAATAGCCGAGATGTTGAAAGTTTATTTCTATTTTCTAGATGGGACATACCGAATCTTTCAATGAATTGAACTGGAGCTGCAGAGACCTTTTATTTATCTTTGTTTCGTAATATACAAGAATCTTTGGCGATTGCGTTGTTTTCTGTGGCCTCACCTACGTTCTCTGTATCCCCATGAGAATGCCCCATCACCTCACTAATTGAGACAGTAGAATACAGATAATCTATTGATCTCTAATGCCAATAAGAGTTACTTGACACAACGGGCGCTGCATATAACAGTTCGTCAAATTGACCATTGTTTGTTTGTTGGGGTTTCGTAATATAGTTTATACCGAGGCTCTATTGTGCAGGCCCAATTTGTGATTGATCTTGAAGGGAGTGTGCTGAGTCACCTCTGTCAGCCTTGGTCTTTTCCAATTCAACCTGCACAAGCTCCTCCATTGGGACGTCCTCCACACTCTCCTGTCTCTCAATCTCGTGTAGGACTTTCTTCTGTTCTTCAATCTGCTGACCATTCAAGTCCTCCGCAGCCGCCAATGCCAAGCATTGTCCGATCGTCCCCCTGTACTTTAAATGGCCCTCCACAATCGAGCTTACGTCAATATCTTCCACGCCCCGGACTTTAACAGGTGAGAGACCGGGTACCATGTATTTGATGTTCGTTGTGCGATAGAGAAAGGCGAGGAGCCAGTCATTTGTAGAGTAGCCGTTTACGATACGTCCTGAGACCACTCGTCGAATGGACCGCCAATAATCTCTGGATCCTGGCGCCGGAAGTCCGAACATGTAGGCATGCTCCACTATGCCATACGCGTTGCGGCGAGAGAGTTCGACAAGGCAATAAAAGATGGTACGGGCCCCCAGGGAATATCCTATCTAATATACGTGATATTTGAGTGACATCATGTCCAGAACAACCGGAGGTATTTCAATAACCATACCAAAGTAACGGGCCGCTCTCCTTGGACCTTCTCAATTAAAACATCGGCCAATACTGCCCCAGTTTTCTTGGCTAAATCCATAGCATTTGACCATGGATTATCAATCAGTTTCCCGACCTGCAAGAGGCTGAGCGGCCACAGTGCGGACATGAGGGAAGCCAGAACGGTTCGCTTAAGGATTTCGCTTTTAACATAGCCTATGGCCTGGGACTTGATCATCGCTGTCATTGCGCGACCAAGTTCCAAAAGAGATTGAACTTCCTGAAAAAGGAGGTCACAAGAGTCACCCCGAGGGAAATTTCCACAATATATGGCCACAAACCCATTGAAGAGCCTCGACATCTCCAGAACCATCAACAATCGTCCAGGGTTCTCCCACGTCGTCCGCTGAGTTGAGCCAGCCAGTGACAGCAATTGTAACGTGGAGCCGGCTGTTCACTTTTAACGGTTTGAAATCGAAATCAGTGACTTCTCGAGTTCGTTTCGCCACCATTTTGCCCGACATATCTATATTTCTGTAGTGGTCAGTAGATTCACAATGCACTGGCTGAAAGAATACTTACGTCCTCCGTAAGCCCCAAACAGGGAGCCAATGACCATGCCACTGCTCGCCAAACCTCCGATCATCATCCCCGCTGCAGTACCGCTCAGCCCAACGGCGCCTAACACCGAAGCGAGTCCTGCTCCAACAAGCGGAGCAGCCAATCCACCAGTAACCCCAATCGCCACACCGCCCGCCAAGGTTGCTAACCCAATTTTCCAATTCCGGGATATCCTTCCCGTCTCTTCCCGCTTTGCTGCTGCTTCCTTGGTAGCCTTTATGGCTTGATCGGGGTGTTTGAGAGCTTGTTCCACGGATTCCTCATAGTCGGATGGAAACTGAAGGTGCAGCGAGTCTGAAAGACGACGGAGGAGCACGCGAGTTCGCGCATCGTATCGCTTAACGGTGGTTAATATGAGGAGGAGGAATGTGCGGAGTAGCGAGGCACGAGATGTTGGTGGAAGCTTTTTCAAAGGACTTTGTGCATCGCGTACGGTAAATTTAGACAGGATCTCTTCCATAGAAGTGGGGTGCTCTATCAATCGACGATGATCAGCGGGACTACCAATTTCTTGTAAAGCACAGAAGCAGACCTTTTTTATCCTTCTCTACAATCCCCAGCCACACCACCTCCAATAATCCCTTTGCCCATAGATCAAAGCTATTTATTGCAATCTTCTCATCTTCTGTTAATTGTCGCTTCACTGAAGAGTTCTCGCCTTCCTCCAATGCTTCGACGAGCTCGATCCTCATCTGACTAATGCAACTGACGCAGACATTGTAGAATGCTTGTGCTTGAGGTCCTGGCAGCGCATTTGACATTTTCTTTGTTATCGGGTTTATCTTTTGTAAATTCAAGATACCTGCCTACTAAAAGCACCAGATGTTCGCGAGTCCGATCCCTGCGCCACGCTGATGTCATGCGCAGTCATCCTTAAACTCAGTGTTCCATCTACTGGGCAACTATCCATCTTAACGGACAGCTAGAGCAAACGTGAAGAGCAATCGCATGTGCTAAGAAGGATGGCCAGCACAAAGAAGCTGCTCGTAACGGACGAAGGGGCGGATTCCCAGCAGCTTCACTCTCCCATTTTACACGAACCTCAGACATTTTATGGACAAACAAAGAGGGATGTTTCAAGGGAAGTGACTGAACAGACAGCGTCTGGTCAAATGGAACACAAAGCTTCAGCAGCGGCTGCAGGTGCGAAGATGGACAGTGGAATTGGCAAACTCCCTGTTAAAGTAGAACAATTCTATTCTCATTATCAGGTTCGAAGAAACATTCTATCGCACCAGAGTCGAAAGGAGGGTATTTTGGGGTTATTCCTGGCGAATGAAATGTTGAAGAAATTCTCGTCTTTTGAATTGTATCATCACCTTATTTGTCTATCGATCATTTCGCTACATAACTACAGTGACAATTTCTACACTGCGAACCTTCCTAATCTACTACCTCACACTATGACTGCATAGAAACAGCGGTCTTTGATCGATTATGCTCAACCACGTCCACCTTTCTGCTTCCTTTGCGACTCTTCCTTCGTTTCTGTGGTTTCAGAATGGTTGCCGCTAAGGAGTCCTCTGCCGAAAAGGATGGCATAACAAATTCCACATCCTTGTCGTCAGATTTTTCTGGTGGCACCAGTGTGATGAATGAACTTTGTGGTCTTTCAGTGTCATGGCCGTAGCAGGCTGGATGAAGGGCATGTAACCATCGCCCAACAATCTTGTCGTTTTCCTGACGAGCTGCTTCTTGTCGGGCTCTCAGGCGTGCCAGGAGAATCTACGTTGAGAGATTGCACTGTTAGTCTCGCCCGATCTAAATTGCGACAAGAAAAGCTTACGTCAAGCCAATCCATGTGCGGACCGGTCATCTCTGCTGGTAACATTCGTAATTGTATCATCATACTACGAAGAGAATGCTTTGTATCTACGCCGAAAATTGCGAGACTTCTCATAGCAGATTTTCTAAGTGCATGCTTTAGAAATCTGGCCGTTGCTTCATCTGAGCCAAGCTTACCGAACGTCCTCAATCGGATCCACCAATCTCGCGATCAAAGCCTGAATCAAATACGGATTATATACGCCGTATTTGACCAAGTTTGAGCACATACGAGATCGGAGCTGCCAGTCGCGGTCATTGAAACTCTCTAGTTGGGGTAGGATGAAGTCTTGCACAGGGTTGCGAAAGTCGTCTTGAAATGTTTGGTAGAGATAGAGTAGGGAATCAGAAGCTTCGCATTTTTCGGACCAATATCCTGTTTTGAGAACTTTGAAGAGAGCTCCCAGAATGTTCTGAAGCGTAACATCTTTATCCTGGACATTGCAAAGATACTTAGAATAGTCGTTATGCAATACGAGCGTACCATGTCATACACTTACGCCAAGACCAGGAAACCAAAACTTGTCCATAATGGCTTGAAGCTCTGGCACAATCTCTGACTCTTCCCAAACCTCGTTCGGTTTCTTTGGCGTTCTTCCGTGCCGTTCGCGGTGCTTCTCGGCCGGGGCAGGCTGCTGATGTGGAACTGGCGACCGTCTTTTATTCTCAGACGCCAAACCGGATTTGGGCGTTTGAGTTAGCACATTTTGCAGAGGCTGTTTCTTCTTTCTGGTGACAGATTTTGGACTATCTTGTACTTCAGGAAGCTTTTGAGCATTGCCCCGCTTTTGACTGGGCTTCCCTCCAATGATGTGAATCGGAATCGGTTTCGAAGCCCCGAAATTGGTTTCGGTCACTCCTACTTTACCAGGAGTTATCTGTATGATCTGGCCTATGGCAACGCTCCCCGATCTGAGAATCTTTTTGGGGGTTGCAGCGGCAAGGGCTCGTTCAAAGAGCTCCTGCGCTCGCTGCGCAGCAGCTTGCTCTACAGCTGCCTCCATCTTTGCTTGGTTTGCAGCTTCCGCGGCTTCTATGGCGCTTTTCCGTGCTGCCTCTGCCGCTGCTGTTTTGGCTCGACCAAGAGCTTCTGCTTTAGCTGCCTCTTCAGTGTGTAGGGCCCTTATCCTCCAGGCTGCAGCTGCTTCCAGTGCCTCTTGCCGAATTCGCGCTGCCTCCGGGGATTCACTCTCTTCAACTCTGGTGCGCCCGGCATGAACAGATTTGGCCGTTGGATCTGGCTCGATCTCCACTGGCATTGTGGTGTCATCAACCGATCCCCTCGCAGCTCTCTCAGCTGCAAGCTGCGCCCGACGTCGTTCTATAATGGCTCTAGCCTTGGACACCATCTCCTTGTCCTTTTCTCGGCGCTCTTGCTCCTGCACAAGTCGCTTTTGTTCAAGAGCTGGTTTTGTTTGTCCTGCCATGACGGAGTTCGGGAGAACGCCTAGGCGCTCCATGCGGTTCCGGATATTGATTTGTCGAGATGGAGCTTCAGGCGTCTGTTGGCGTGGGGGTGGTGCTAAGGTGGACTTGCGCCCCTTGCGGGATAATGCTCTCGGGGAATGCCGAGTGCGAGGAGAGGGCGTTACCCGCTCTCCTGTACGAAGTTCTAATACTCTTCCTATAAAATATGTCAACCACACGAAATCATTCCGACAAAGTGTCTGAATTATGGTGCATCACCTTTTCGACGACCTAGTCCTGGTCCCTTGCCATCAGGATAATTTGGACCGAGCTGTGAAGGCGGCTCCAGTCCAGCTTCCCATATAGCTCCCCCTGTTCGCTGCAAGCAAAGCATTAAAGTAACCGCTCCGGAATAGCAATCTTCTGATACCTTATCTACCTTGACTCCATCTTCACCCCCAACCACGGAAACACGTCGCTGCTCATCTGAGCGGGCCACTGAAAAACGCCGTGGCTCATCTGGCCTAACGACTGAACGTCGTGGTTCATCAGACTTTACAACTGAACGTCGTGGTTCGTCATGTTTGATTGCTTTTGGCCTCTGCGTAGAATGTTTGAGGTCTGCAAAGGCAGAACAGTAGACCATTTGCATGCAGCTTACCGTGAGCATACCACCTCCTTCAACCTCTTGAACAAGTTCTCCTGGCTGGTGCAAGCTTTGTTCCCCTCCGTCTACCTGATGTGATGCTTATCGTTATAACGTTGCACACTTGCGCTATCAAGCCATCTCCTCACCTCCATTTCTCCTTCCTCATCCTCGTCGTCCCAAAGTCCCTTTCCCCGTCCTGGAAAATCTGCCGTGCTAACTCTTCGCCCACCCAAGCTGCCCCTCCGCATTGATAAACGTCTTTTATACCGGAATTTTCCAGCTATACACTCAATGGATTGGAGGCTCGATGATGTGGGAGCGGACACGGATAGGCGATGTGCGGTGATGGCTTGGGGAAAAGCCACGATTTCGGTAGACAAATCGACATCTTCTTCCGTTAAGGTATCCATGGGAAGTGTTGAGGGGGGGAAGAAGCTTACGGGGCTGAAATCTCGATGACCCGATGGGTCGTTGAGGGTTATCAATTCGTAGGAGTGACTAGATCTGCTGTATGAGCGGGTCACGGTAACGGCGGGTTTCTCCTTTATGACAATAAATGTTATATTGCGCCAAGGCAAAATTCGAGTATCCAATGGATTATACCTCGATCCTCTTCTCTTCCCTCCTCTTTTCCAATTCCTCTAGGGCAAGACTTGTTGGATCTGGTCCGTCATTTTTCAAACTTTACGGCAGTCTTAGTCTGCAGATACTGCTACCAATTAACAAAACGGAACTTACTTCTCATCAACATGCCATCTCACAGCCCCATCTCCTCCATTCGCTCGATACAATTCCCAGAAATCTAGACTGGAATCAAACATCGTTGGATCTTCCACGGGATCATCCGGCCAGTTTCCGTGGTCAAGCAGAACGCAAAGGTAAGGTACTGGTAGATAATCTTGTACCCGAACAACGACAATTTGCTCGGGGAGAGAAATGAGAAGATCCCCCCGTTGATTTGCAAATGTAAGAGTGGTGATAGGTTCGGCAAATTGAAGCTCACTGAAATTTAGGGATTCTATCAATTATGGTCAACACCTGTCGAAGCATGATCAATATGCAACTTGCCGTATGAGGGCATTGTCAACTGCATCCCAAATTTTAACGACCCCATCCGTGCTTGCCGACGCAAAGATTCTGATGGCCTCACACGAGGCAATTTTCGTGACGTCGTTAGTGTGATCATCATCGATTGGATGCGGCTTCTTTATGCCTTTAAGAAATACTCATGAGTATGCAACGTATGGTCAATTCGTAGCCCCTTGACTTGCCTATTTGCTTTCCATCACATTCAAGACAAAATATCCGTCCACCCACAGCACATGCCATTACCTCCTTTCGCGAATTCCAAGCCATTTGCTTCACGGGACCGCTAGGAATGGAAATGGCTGCGATTGAATTCAGCGTTACCACGAGTGGGCTGTCTGAAAAATATTCTGTAAGCGATTCCGGGGTTGAATTTGTAAGGATTGAGAGCGGGGTATCGGCAGGAACGCTGATTGACCAGATTCTGATGATGCTGTCTGATAGAGACAAATGTTAGCTGTACTGCATCGAGAAAGTGGGAAAGTAAGATACCTACCTTTTCCGCTGGTGAAGAGCTTTCTTTTTTCCACGTCATACAAGATTGCAGTGATTTCTGCTGCATGTGCCTACAAGACCATGGAGGTGAGCAATGTACGTACCACGAAACTCATTCAAGTAACTTACCTGCGCTACAATACTCTGTTTACCTTCCTGTCGTATATCAACCACCACAATCTGTCCGGTATCCGTCCCACCTAGCAGTGCGTAGACAGTGGGAGGTAGAGCAGCTCCTGAGTAGTATGGGACAGGAGGCCAAGGTGAAAGGGCCGCCATGCACATTATTCGTGTCTTGTTGGCTACCACTGGCTTGTAAGCTGGAGAAAAATGAGACAGGATACTGAGGAAAACTTACAGGCGACCTTCCATTCCCCAATAATCGCACAGGGGTTCGTATTGGTACCGTACACGGCAATGGTGCCGTTTTCGGATAACAGCCAGGCACGATCTGCCGAAATGTATTGAAATGGCAGATATTTATAAGTGGCTAGATCAATATCGCTTAAGGAAGAAAACATCCCTTACTTTGTGTGACATCATACACTGCATCCAAAGTTGCTATATCGCTCATCACCGGGAACCCCATTGCCAAGACTGCGCCAGTGACGGGTGACAAGAGTCGCAAGGAACCGTCTTCTGCGATGGATAGGATACGAGCCGGGAGGGAAGGATGCTCGCTGCGGTGAAGTTGCGTTGCCTGAGATCTGACGTAGAAGTCAGAAAGTGAAGAAGGATTGACAGAGGAGGGCGTGATTTACCGGATGTATGCAAACGTCGTATAAAAGCGGTTCAGATTCCATAGGCATATCCGATCCTTGGCATAGTGAAGAAAAGTCTCCTTATCCTGCTTGATCCACTGAATTCCCAGACATTCAGATGGGGTTTGCAAGCTTTTATCGTAAAATAAATAAACAAAATACTGTACATGCTTTCAATTAAAAGAGACATACCAGTAGGTGCAAACACCAACGTCAGCATTCCACATCCTGATCGTTCCATCTAAGGAGCACGACAAGAAAAAAGGTGTAGCCGCCAAAGCTTCTAAACTCCGTCCATTTCTTGCAGGAGGCGGGGGAATGATGGCTAACCCCGTCACAGCGTGTGAATGATCGTGGAGTTCATGAATAAGATTGTTTTGTCTATTCCATACTTTAACTAAAACATATATGGTAGTGTTAATTGTGGGAAGTGAACAGAGAACCCTTAAATTCATACTAGTAGAATCTCGCGAAGCCGTGATCAGAGTTCCGAGAGGTTCATAAAGAGCCATGGCGGTGATCGACAGTTCATGCATATCCCGGAGCACATCCAATCTTTCGCCAGATTCATAGTCGTATATCTATTTTACTGAACATATCAGCGAAATGATTTCTGGTAAAGAATTCCAGTGATTCTCACATGGATCCTGTTCCCCAGTGCGGCATAAATTCTGTTCGAGGGTTTTTGATATATTGTGTGTGAGACCCAATCCTCAACACCGAGATCTTCAATAGCGAGGCGAGGAGTGTCGAAGCCGTAGGCCAGACGGCTGCTGTTCAATTAAATCACTATTTAGTTTACCACAAGAAGATGAAGGAGATGCACTCTGCGCAAGGATGACGTTTACCCATCCGCGATTCGCTTAAACTTCCAAATCTAAGAACGAATAGTACTTCGTAAGTACGCTTGGAATACTTCAGTCCCACTTAAAATGGCCTAGTACCCTTATATTACCGACGCCGCCTGCAATAAGCTCGTCTGTATCGTCGCAGAATTCAAGGCTGCGGAGTAGTTGATTAACCACCGTTTCTAAGCCAATCTGAAACGTTTTTGTTTACCTTAGGACAGGCTTCACGCTCGAAACAGCAGCAAGCTCTTCAAAATTCGTATCCAAAATCTATCTCCCCAGCAAATTAGTATATCTCATGCAGAAATTGCTCAATGAGTCCTACCTTTAACTCCAAATGCAAGGTGGCAATCACCACCACCTTCCACTTGGCCACGTACAGCCACCTACTCAGTCCTGCCACAGATGTTTTGGCCGTCCCCTTTTCCCCGCCATTTGCAATCTGAGCAATCCTCGTGCTACCCCGCCAGATATTTACATTATGACTATCCAAACTGGCGATGCGGTCGTTGTGGGGAGATGAGATGTAGATGGCAGATTTGACCGTAGGGCGATGGTGTGGGAGGACTCGTGCTGGCTGGAAACCATGAGGTATTGTTGTAGGTAGGACAGGGGTGGGATTGGAGGATGGGGAAGCAGAGCGAAAAGTACCGGATTTGACAAGCGATTGTGTGCCGGCTAGCCCAAATTGGCTACTTGACGGCGAGGATGAGAAATGAGGTGATCGAGCTACGATCGATGCTATTTGGCGCTTGATAGTCCGCCATGGTTGAATGAGGAGGCCGACGAGTTGGGTCTCGTCCAATATCTCATCAAGGCTTTGTGTGCTTTCGCCTGACGTGGCGAAAGCTTCCAAGGATGGGGGATCTGATGAGTGGGTGTTCGATGAGTCACCATCGTCGATGGAGGTTTCTCTCCCTCCTTCTCGGGAAGCTGTCAATGCAATTCTTCCTTTGAGGGCGACCATCCGTCGAAAAACCAGGTCGAACCTGCCAAGATCAGCAATAGTTTTTAGTACAGCTTAGTTCCGCGTATTGAACTCTCTGATTACGAAATACAAACTTCATCTGATCGGACTATTTTCTTTGAATAAACAACCGACACGTGCAGCTCTCCCGTAGATTCAAGCATCATTTAAGGATATTGCAGACCCAAGGACCCAAAGGGTATTCCAGGTTTTGGATTTGTTGAAATGACACCATAGTCATTTGAATTAGATACATTTCTAGACCTATTATCATCAATGAATGCTGATGCAGCGGGCAGCGGCTAAAACTATCCATGTCCTTTACTTTCCGACGTACCCCATCATGACGCCAGATGCCAAACCTACCACCATGCGCGAGCAGGCGGGCCCCATCATGCTGAATCGAATAAGGAGATCCGCAACCTTCAAAAAATCTGGCAGTCCGAAGTGTCTGGACACGCCTGCTGGAAATCACATGAGTCGCGCGCTTCTTTACCAGAGCTCGCGTTCACTACACACGCACTGAGATTAACGACTTGGTGATCCAGCTTGGAGACTCGGTGCAGGACACTCAAGGAGGCGGGGATCTCGAGATTGACGTGATCTGGAAAGTATCTGATATGGCGCGTGGAGGCGCTGGACGAGCTGCTGCTGAAAAGGTATGTTGAGCGTACGCAGAAGCGGGACTCTCAAGCTTGTCAACCAACATGAGACCTTCGACGCACCGACCTTCTGTTATTCACCTAATGTAGACTGCAAAGTCCCAGAAGAAATCACTGACCGTAGACGACAAGGAAAATCTGTCACAAAAGCAAAAGGAGAAGGCGGCCAAACGCAAAACCTCGCTTGTGTCAGATATCGCGCATGGGAAACGGAAGAGGGTACCAGCTGTAACTATTGAAAACGTCGTGGGTAGTGTTATCAAACGTATGTTTCGGAGTTGCTTCGATATTATGGCCGATTTTGACCAGTTTTTTGGACAGCGCCGAAAAGGGTACCGAAGAAAACCGCGGCGGGAGCCAAGGCACAGCCAGAGGAGGATGACAGCGATCTGAACAATGATGAGCTCGTTGGAGTACCGATTCATTCGCGCATTATATCGAATGATTCAGAGGATGATTTGACTGCCAGTGGTAATTCTTCTTGTTGGAGACAAAGCGCAATGCAAAAGGAGACATACCAAGCAATACCTTTGATACAGCTCCTCCGCCAAAGAAGACAAAAAGTGGGACTGCACGAACGAATGATGAGCCATCCGATGTACCGTCTGCAATTAGCGTAGATATACCACGCAAAAGCAATGCTAGATCAAGCCAAGATAATCATAAATCAGACGCCTTGGGAAACAAGAATCAGCTGCCGCGTGAAAACCGCAAAACGCCGGTCGTAAGACAACCTCCAGTGCGAAAGTCGAAGGCGAAAAAGACAGTGAACAGAGAAAGCAGATCCTCCGTTGCCGCCCAGGCGGCCGATAATAATACTGAGACAAAATCCGATGCAGCACGTCGCTCTTCTGTCGAAGAGTCAGACGCGGATATGGATATAAATATTAGGCCAGAGGAAGCAGTAAGCAGTGATGATGGAGAACGAGTTATCGTAAAGGGGGCCGACGTGCGGCGAGCGAATGAAAATCGGAATAATGGACCAAAGCAGCGGGAATACATGAAACCGGTGGTTGTAGAGAAGAAGGTTGACATACCCGAGACGAATGACTATGAAACGGTTGGTACATAAGTGTGCTTGGGACATGCTGTATCCGTGATGCTTGGCCAACCGGTGCCTTAATCTTAGCTCAAAGCTGCATTCCAAGAATTGCAAGACCGATACGAGGCATTGAAAAATACGGGAGTAAAGGAGGCAGAGGAACGGTTTGAGCAGTACAAAAAGACCGCAGAGGCGCGTTTGAAAGGTATCCGATACTGTGCAAGAAATTAAGCCAAGCATTGTCGTAATCTGCCTCCTTTCAAACTCCAGCCTGTGAGGACTACAATGAAAGGCTCAAGCGGGACGTTGAACGCCTTCGAGAAGAGTCACAGGCCAATACACGCGTGCAGAAAGATCTGAAGAAGCAGTTGAAGACTGCTTTGGCAGATGCAGCAGAAGCGCAGGAGGCATTGGCGCGAAAGGAGGCTGAGGATACCGCTACTAAAAAAGCCCAACAAACAAAGCAGCAAAAGGAAGCTGATGCGGCAGCAGCAGGAAATGCAAGTAGAGAGGAGGTAGATGAGCTTCAGCGTGAGGTACATGAGCTACAGCAGAAGGAGAAGACCCTGTTGGAGCAAGTGGATAGTTTGAAAAAGAACGGTATGGAGGATGTAGTTCGACCAAGCGTGCACTGTTGCAAGACGAATGAACCTTTATTCTTGCGCGTTTTAGCTACGTTGCTCAAATCCGAGCTGCAGACCGCTAAACAGAATATCACTAAATTGGACCAAGAAGCAAAATCCCAAGGCTCTCAGATTCAGCGTCTGCAACAACACGACCGTTACCTCATTACCGTGGAGCGAATGGTACGGATATACGAGGAACTGACGGGTGTGACCATTCAATCCGTTGAAGATGTCAAGAGGACGGTTGAAAATGAGACCGGAGAGAACATGAAAGAGCAGGTTGTCGTCTACAAATGTCGGCAAAAGGGGCGAGGTGGAGGTGAGTCGCATACTGTCTTTAACGTCGCAGGATTTGTGTTGACCAGAATCTATCAGTGTTGGATTACAATCTAATGACACCATCCGATGCACCTTCCTCCTCCTCGAATAGCAGCAATGTAATGTACACCTACCAGCCCATCCTCCGCAATCAGCACAGCAGCGCTGCAGATGTACCAGACTGGCTCCAAACTCCGATTGAATTTGAAAAGGACATGTGTAGCATGTTCTTTTGGAGGGTTTGTGACTATTTGCAAGGACAGTAGGTCCGTGGGGTGTGATGCCCTGCTTTTTCAACAGCAGAGAACAAGATCTTTGCTCGCGCGCTTTGTAAAGTGTAGTTTTGGCTAGTAATGCCATTTGGTTATACGTATTATAGTAATCTAACTGTGTAATAGAATGCACTACGGCTTTTCGACGCCAACTCTTTGCAAGAGGCCGTTTCTCTCATTCCTTTTTCTTTCCCACCTCCATAATCCCATCCTCATCACCATACAATAATCTCTGAGGCAACTGGCGAAACTCTACGCCTCCCTTCCCGTCAAAGTCCGCTACCCACGTCACATCAAACCTCTTTTTATTCCATTTGGGTACCTTGTCATTGGGTACACCCAATGCCTTGACGAGATCGGGGAGCTGTTGATGGGCCCAGGAAATAAGTACTGTTTTATCCTTGTACACTCCGGAGCGAAGGAGTTGTACGAGGGAGGGGAGGTTAGATTTCGTGTAGAGGTGGAAGGGCACTTTATGGGGCTCCAATGCTTTGACGAGTCTAAAAGCAAAAATGTCACACACCTCGTCAACTCCTTTAATAAAAGAACGAAACACTCACGGCTCCACCGTCTCCTTTGGCCTCAAACTCAATCCCCACCCGCCAACCTCATCCACATTCTGCGCAACCACCGCCCCCCAAGGCCTCCGTTCCAGCAATTGGAGAATCTCTTCTCTATGCAAGAAATACGCAACGAGAGCTTGAGCGCGTTCGTATCCTTTTGGTGATAGAATGTGTGTATCGACGTATTCGGACTTTTGGAGGGCTGTGGGTTGGTTACCGGATGACCACGGGAGTTTTTCGGCGTGCCGGATGAGAAGGACGGTTATTGGGTGAGGGATTGGTGGGGCGGACATTGTGGGTGCCAGTGGTGATAGATGGGAGGTGAAGAAAGGTCGTCGGGAGAAAAGCGTTTTGCTGAATGACATGAAGTGAGGCTTGGGCCTCGGACGGTTTGCACGTGTGTTATGCAACTGCTTGGCCTTTTGGGACAGCGATGGCACTATGTCCTTCCATACGTCACTACCATCATTATATTATCGTCAATTATATACTAGTACTTGAATGTAAACCACTGGGTATTATCACCACTTTGTGTAGTTGTGATCTGTACGGACAAGACCACCAACAAATCCGATCCTTTTGAGAACAGGGCATCTATAGGAGATCCCAAAACACTAGCAGTATTCCACGTATATCTGTGGAGGTGAACTATACGCAGTATACGCAGTATACGCAAGCGGGGTGGGTATCAGTAACGGGTTTCGTATAAAGCGTTAAACCAAGAAGCGCTAGTGAGGGGACATTGTTCGATCTCGCAAGCGTACCAAGGATATCAGGATGATGAGTTTATAGACTGGTAAGCAGTGAGCGGACACATAATGATTGAACATGTGATCCAAAAGGATATAAACTATTCTAACATGTCTAAATCCAGGATAGGGAAAGAAAATCCCATCCAAAATATAAATATAATAAAAAAGAAAAAAAAACGACAAATAAAATCCTATACAAGAATTCTCCTAGCTAATGGAAGAAATAACGACTATCTTTCACTTGCTTGATCTCAAAATTTCCTCTAGCAGGTAACGGCAAAATCTCCAAGTCTACCCAAGTGGTCACCTTCTTTAGCTTGGTCTTTGGTCCAATCCCCGCTTTGCGGCCCTTGGATTCCAAATACTGTTTCCACTCCCACAGCTGGTCCCCTTCCAGGATGACCTCAACGGGGATCTTATGCCCAGCGTAGCGGTCAACAAATTCGTTACGCAAGCCAGTCATAATATCTCCAGAATGAAGTGTTACGAATTCGTTTCGGATGATTTCATTCATTCGGTTCACGTCGCATGCGTGCGTCCAATACGAGTCGTGTACCGACGCAAAGGACAAACCAGCGCGTTGGCATTGGATGGCGGAGAGCATCATATGGGCGGCGTCAAGAGAGTGGATAAAGTTGGGGGGAAAGGCGGTGGATTGTTTTTGGGCGTTGACGGGGGCGAGAGTGGTGAAATCGTAGATGGTAATGGTTTGAAGGAGAGTTTGCACGGAGCGGGGTTGGAAATTGCGGTAGGGCTGGACGATGGGGAGGCCGAGTGGAGTAGTCCATATGACGGAGGTGACGCGTGGTGGTTTTTTGCCGGGGGCGGCTGGGGCGGGGCAGGCGGAGGTGGGGGATGGTGTAGAGGTTGACGATAAGTCTTGTGCAGCAGCGTCCTCAAGATCTTCTGTCCAATCATCATCTTCTTCAACTTCGTCTCGCTTGCTCTGCTCCTGCTTAAGAGTGGCTGATATATCTTCATCAAACTGACTATCCTCCAAATCCTGCAGGGCAGCACCCAAGAGTCCCTCCTCATTTCCGATCTCACCCCTCCGTCGCTCCTCCCTTGCCAGCGTAAACGCACTGGGCAACACACCAAGACGCGCCAATTCTTCTGCATCCTCCAACTGCGCTGCTGGTATATCACTCTCATGCGTGCTGCGGGCAATCATACCGGCAGTGACGTTCAGCCAATTTTGGATAGCGCGAGCGCCTTCAAAGATTTGGCCCATGGAGGAAAATATTTGGCGGGTTATATACAAACTGCAGCGTTCGATATCATCGTCGGTGAGAAGACGCTCGGTGGTGGTCGAGTCGGAGGAAGAGTTGGTTTTGGCCGCTTCGATAGCAGCGGCACGACTTTCCTTTAAACGGTTCCGTACTTGTGCTCTTGCACCGACAAACGTCACACCATATGTATTGGTCATGACAGTCTGTTTGACCAACTTTCGGTTGATCCGATTCTGCATCAGGATCGCTTCGGGAACGCCATTAGCCACATCCTGATCCACCAGCAGCTGTACTCGCTCCGCAACACCAGTATACACATCAGCTGGTTTGTGCCCCGGCAAGAGATTGACCTGCTGAGCTCCAATCTCGTCTCCACCTAATGCAGCATAGTGCTGCAATCCGTTACAGGTACCATCTTGGTGTACGGGTAGTCGGGAAATGTACTGAAGGGGTTTACCAGATCGAAGGGCATTGACGAGTTCAAAACACGCTGCCAACAATTGCCATGGATTCTCGGCCTTCAACCACCACCGCTTCCCATCCAACGGACGATCCACCGAGTCTTCAATTTCCACCATATGATCATCGGTCCATCGCTCTCGTTCGCCAAAAGACGCTTTATCGAACCCCGCCAACGCAGCAACATGAATCTTGAGCCATCTCATCCCAGCTTCACCTAGTGGTTTTCCCTGGTCAAAGAGAAGAAGACCACGGCAGAGGTCATTTCCAATATGATTCAGGTGGGCGGGCATCGGGTAGGCACGACCACGGAAGTCGAGATTGTGCGGAAAGTAGATCGTTTCTCCAATGAACTGCAAGGAAAGCGTTAAGGTTTTGTTTACGAATACTACTAATTTGACTCTTACTGCTACATACCGCTTTAGCAATCTCAAGCTTATAATTCGTATCCGCCCTTTGTGAGAAATTTTCTCTCAACGCGGTGTCCCTCTTGTTGACCAAGAACCAATACTTTCTCTTGGCCAGTGAATCTGTCTCCAGATTGGCCGGCTTCTCCACTTCGGGCAAATCTAATTTGGCAGGCAATGACGGCGCATGCTCATTATTGTTCCACATTTGTGCTGCGACATTGAAAATGTCCTCGTTAACCCGCCACGGGATTGATCCCAGCACGTCGAGAGCTCGTGTGACAGTTCCGAGAATCTGCGCCCGGTCCGCTTCCCCCAAATACCGCTTGGCTTCGCCAGATTTTGTTCGAACCATACTTGAGCGGTGCTGCAGGTACCCTCCCGTTTGCCATGTGATCCATGGGCGTGGAGCAACTAGCATGGGGAGCAGCCACGGGTCCACAGAAACTCGAGTGTTGTTGAGAGCTTCATACAAGGCAGGATGATACTGGATCATACCCAACTTGTGTCCTTGACCAATACGTTTGAGAACATGGCTAAAGGCAGGAACTTGCTCCACAATCTCCTTTCCGGGTGCGTCGGGGTCAGGTCTGGTGACGCGGACTTTGGCAACTTGAAGCATGAGTTTAACCAGTACAGAACCGATCTTGACGCGGATGGCATCGGGCCATTTGGGTTTCCATTCCTCTTCATTGTATAGATGTTTGGAGGCAAGCTGCTGTATCACTCGACGGACCGTCAAATGGAAAAGTTTGCCTTCAGTGTGCATGTGATGAATCACTTTTTTGAGTTTCAACTTTTGCTTGGTGCTGTGCTTTTTGACCTGTTGGGCATTGTATTCTGCTTCGATACTTCGGGCTATACCGATTGTCAAGCTCGCAACACTCGTTTCTCCAGCGACGACACCGTTGCCCAAGTTTGCCCTCTTTGAAGGTGGTCGGATAAACTCGGTGATGACAATCCGGGAGAGTTGCTCCGGTTTTAGCAGCTTGAGGAAGGGGCCATACGCATGATCCTCGGCGTCTTCGGTCACCATATCAATCATTTGAATCTCTCGCTCAATGAGAGGCACGAGTGCCTGGTTCCACGAAGACGCAAGATCGCTGGGAATCTGAGAGAGACGGCGTACCTGCTCTGGCAGTCGTTTCTGAGCCTCTTCAAACTCCTCGAGAGCAGCGGCGTAGGTCCGCTCTTCTAGCCATTGTTGCTGATCGTATTTATTGGTACGTTCTCTTGCTTCCATATCCTTTAGGGCTTTGGTCAGGACATTGATGCCGAGTGAGTTTGTAGAGTTAATAGGAAGCAGCACACGCTCCTGTACTTTTGGCGCAGACTGTCCTGTTGCCATTTCCGTAAGGAGTAGCGACGGAAAAGACGACGAGGAGGACGAGGTATCCGTTGATCCGGCCTTGGCTTCCCCCGCCTCTTCCAAGGCAGACAAAAACAAACGATCTGCAGTCACGACACCGTCGACTTTTCTCCCCATCTCCCGCAAGATCGCTTCCAAAGGCGCCCTATCTTCCTTTTCCACAAAGCGGTCATTGTCCAACAAATCTGCGACCGTGACACCAGCTTTATCCATGTCCTCAATCAATCGTTTGACTTCATCCACCTTTCCCAACTTCAGATAGTACTGAATCAAAATGGCAAACGTGCTGCCGTTTCGCTGGATATCAAGATCTGTGAACCGCTCGTACCAATCCAATGCCCGATCGATGTTGGCTCCGGCCTCCGAATTCAAGTGAGTGTCGATGAAAGCATTTAGAATACGAGCATCAACAAGCTCTTTCATATCCTGAAAATTTGTTCTCCATGCTCGGTTGAATGTGACTTCAGCCCGATCTAGGTCGCCAGAGTGGATAGAGGCATAGATGAGCACGATCTTCTCTTCAAGCGCGTGGCGGGCGAGAGCGCGTTCTTCAGTGTAAGCTTGTGTCGTTTTTTCGACGGCTTTTTCTTGTGGCAGATAGAGGGCGTGTGTTTTGGGGAAGAGTTCTGGAAGGTTTATATCGGGCAGTTGGGACTGTGTTGGTTTTGATGATTCTGACTGCTCTTGAAAACTGTTGCGATGTGATGGCCGTAATGAGGCCGGGGAATTAGCCCACTGCGCTTTTGTTCTTTGTGGCCCCGCTGTTCTCTTGAAGGTGTGTTTGGGGGAATCGTATCGTACAAGGGGAGGGTCATGGGATGCTGAACGAGAGGGAAGTTCCAACTGGAGTTGAGCAAGAGACTTTTCCCGGGAGTTGAACCAACGTCGTCCACAGGGACATGTTCTTGTCGTCGTCGTCGTCGTCGTCGTTGCAGCTGGTCGGGTTTTGCGCGCATTATTCTTGAGCAGTCGCAGCATGACTAGAACTGGCACGACAAACTGGACAACTGGGTGGGGTTTGGCTGAGGGGTGAGGGGGTATCTATATCGAGTGCCGTGCGTCCTATTCTATGTTTTGTAAATGCTGAATGATGTGTAAATACAGTGAGGATGAATGTTTCAAATGACAAGAAATGCTGGCGGAGAATAATTATTTTTTTTTGCTTTTCGAAGCGTTCATCGCGTTGAAGTTGACATGTCATCCATTGGAATGCATTCTAATGACATTCTATTCATTATGTGTCATCATGGCAACAAGGCTTCGAGGTGCAGACAGCTGGCACAGGACACCAAAGCCCATGTCACACTATGGTCGTCATATCTGCATCTATGCGAATGATGATGAATAAAACGAGGACAAAATGCACATAAAACGTTCTCGAGGACTGGCAAGAGCGGTTATGGCAATCAAAAATTCCCTTGCTTCAAGGATAGACTTTTGAATGGAAAAAGTCTGTGACAATGCAATTGTATGGACATACACACTACATGTATTGAATCACATATTGGCAATGCCCTCACGACGTGCTAACCAACGCCTTCACCAAATCCTCAACGGAATTCCCACTCACGTCCTTCAAAAACTCGTTCACTTCCTCATCAGTAAGAGGCTCACCCACGCTCATCAAAATCCTCTTGAGCTCATTTCGATCCAACCCTCCGTCCTTGTTAAACGTTAACAAAGCATCTCGTACATCGGATTCAAGGCGCTGCGGCACGCTCTGTCGAGACACGAGGGCGAGGAATTCGGGAAAGTCAATCGTCTTTTTGTCCTTTGTCAGGCGTGTGAGCTCCGCTTGGGTAGGGAGTTTGCCGAGTGACCGCAAGAGTTTGCCGAGGAGATAGGTGGGAACGAGGCCGTCGCTGTCTTCGTCCAGGAGCGAAAAGGCTTCCTTGAACTCTGCAATCTGTTCATCGCTCAGTTGGTGGTCGGCCATTGTGGTAGAATAGAAAAGTAGTGGACGGGAAGAACGGACACGGACCGCCAACCACAAAGATCGGCCGCTGACTGGATGGCTTAGCTACGAGGTCTCTGTGCGGCTGCACACATTATGCCCGTTTATGGTTATATGACAAAAGGATTGGATAATCAGTGATCGGACACGTGACATATATCAGTCTCTTGTCGGTGGCTCTCCTGTGTGCATTTGATCACGACTACTAGGGTGAGGCTCGCGAATCTTTCATGTATTTACATGTGCAATTGTAATCGAAAAGTTTAGGATGACGATTCAAAGATAGCCGCCAATGCTCTAACACCCCCACCCTCCTTCTTGTCCTTGTGAAGACCGCTCCGCCACATATCCACACGATTTGACCCATTCGTGTCCCCGTGCGTATTTTTTGCGTCGCTCACGGGTTGGCTGCGTCGCGATGGAGATTCAGGGGTAGGTTCAGCAGCAGGTGCAGTGTGTTGGCGATCAAAGGATGAGGTGCGCCGGTGAATGACAGGGACAGAGAGTTTGGCCGTGCTTGCTGTTTGGCCTAGAAATGACACGGAGGATGTAGGTGGTACAGGACGTGGTGGGACGGGGGGGCTCTCGGTACGAATGGAATCAGGACTGGCAGTCGCTTGTGTACTCGCCGCTACTTGCCGGCCAGCTTCCTTCCAACCCATGTGTCCAGATGCATGCTCACCGCCCTCATTGACAGGCTCCTTGACAGCATGCTGCTTTGTTACAATTTCTGTAACAACATTACCAAATTGGACTCTCTTCTTTTCTTTCTTTCCGGGATCTCGAAGGGCCTCATCCGCTCGGGACTTATCTCGCTTCTCCTTTCGTCTCTTCTTTTCCAACTTTGCAGGATGCTCCCATATGGTGTCCTTGGTCTTGATATTATAATAATATACCTCGCCGTCTTCTGTCTTTAATGGATACCAGTCGGGGTACTCGGGTACTGGCGTGTCATCTACTCCTGGCTTCCACTCCCCCGCGTCATCTTCTATCTCGACAGACTCCCTGTTGCTCACTACGGGAGAATCATTCTTTTCACCATCGACGACGCTATGTCCCTCTTTCCGCATCAACTGACTCGCCACATCTGCCAACCCCATCGTTTCCGACGGTCGTCCCGGTAAAGGCGGCGGTGGTCCAGAAACAGGCGGATTCCATGTGGTCTCTTGGGTATCCTTATTATAATAGTACACTGTCCCATCCTCCTGTGTTACAATCATCCACCCCGGGCATTCGGCAAGTGGCTCCATATCCAGGTCGGGTGCACCCATCGCGCTCTCTGGATCGCCATGTCCAAACCATGGATGCTCGAGGGCTTTTTTGATACTAGGTCTTCGGGAGGGCTCCATCTGAAGGAGGCTGCGGACAAAGTCTTTAGCGAGGTCAGAGACTTGAATGTCAGGAGGAAATTCGAGCCCTTTACGTATCGCGTCGAGCTGTTGTTTTGGACCAATCTTTTTCGTCGCAAAGAACCCGCTCGATGGGACAGGTTTAAATGGGAGGCGACCGAAGAGAAGTTGGTAGGCTACTACCCCGCAAGACCATAGATCGACTGATTTGCCATAAAACGTCCGTGAGAGCATTTCTGGAGCCTTTGAATCCCATCAGTCGTTATCATCCAGGATGATACTTTTGAATATTCAAATAACAGACCTCATACCCCATAGTACCAGCAATTTGATTCAAATTGTCATACCCGACGTTCCCAACCGTAGCCCCAAAATCTGCCAGCTTCAATGAAGTAAAGTCGTTCTTTTCCATTAACATCAGATTGGCAGGCTTGATATCCCTTCAAGTATGTCACCATTCAGGATGAGCCAGGACGAAATCAAAAGCACGGTAGCGTCCAACAGTTTACATACCGATGCACGAGCTGTGCTGAGTGAACACAGTACACAGCTTCCAGCATACCAAATATCGCCTCTCGTGCATCAAGTTCGCTCAATACCTTTCGGTCGTACAGTACATCTTGCAATGTGCATGCAGCCCTAAAAGGACCTAATCAGTTATACTCCAAAAAAACCACAACGCAGGACAGACCACTACCTCTCCATAACTAAAACCAATTGATCCTCGTCATTTGCATAAAAATCCACAAACCCAATGATTCTCTTTGGATGTGCCCTGCACAGGTCTTTCAGAATCTTGACTTCCGCCAACACCTTTTCGTCTCGGACAGGACCCTCCGCGAAACGTTCGCGGTCAAACAATTTTAAGACGACTTGTTGGCCGGTTGCTTTGCAAACTCCGTACCAGACATGTTCGTCCCTATTTATGGGCTTTAGCACAAGATCCTTGTAAGACGATATTTGAACCAACTCACAGTCCAATCCTTCGTTGGGGCCAGTAGGGATCAGGCATTTTCCGTTTTGAGGAAAGAAGGTCTGAAATATGGTTTCAAATGTGAATTCTCGCCTTGACGGCGAATGTGGAGAATAGCGGAATAGTTGAAAGCGTGCGGTAGAAATGAAACCAGTGTCGTAATGCTGAAATGCTTTATCTACGCTGTTTGCAGTTGCTTCCAATGTGAAATGTTTTAGTGGCAAGCCCTCAAACAACCAACAAGGCGATGACAGCAACGCGCGGTCGCTAAGCCCCCCATTTGGTAATCGTCTGCGTTCACAGTCGGGACATGGCAGTGCCAAAAGATGGAGAATTGAACGACATGCTGTGGAGGACAATGCATTGAGCTGTAAAAGGCGGATCCAATATTGTCCAGCACATGCCTGAAGTTTATGAAATTGTAGATCGATTTCTCACAAACTCGATCGTACACAATCATACATTGACGGAAGGATTTCCTTCCAAGGGTTTCCTACAACCACTCAACTGTATCACAATATCTCAGAGTTCATTTACACCACCTACATACAATATGTGATGGGACACCACACAGCGGTTAACACAGCGATTTGAATTTAATATATTTGTAATTTCGTCCATCGTGGGTTCGTCTTCACTCAATGCACTATTTCATAGCAATTGCTAAGGCGGTATGGCCATGCCACCAAACCTGGTTTAACGCATGCGCTGCTGTGTTTCTGCTGTGTAACCCATTATCTGTCCCATAATATATTCGATACTAGTTGTATGTTTGGCTGACAGAAAGGCCGCAGGACATTTTTTGCTCGCTCCAGGGAATCAGCAGCACGAGTAACATTCAAATTGTCCATGCATTGTAAAGGATAAAAAGCAGGTGAAAATGGGTCGACTTGTCTGCAATCCGTATTGAAGGTGCTGAATGGCCTTGTGCGCAGTCCAGCCCCGTCCTTGGGATCTTCACGCGTAGGATATGGAGTCTTTTCCCTGGCCCAGTGCACTTGCCGTTGTTGATCAACTAGCACAAAGAGTACTCTATTTGACAGAGCGTAATGCCCAGCTCAATAATCACATCCTCGTACTTTTCAATTGTCCCACAAATGGAAACTTGGCTATGGGCTTGTGTGAATTTCATGACCTTACTAGTAGAGTCTTAATAGTCGGGGTGCCGTACGCTAGTTAGAGCTGGGGGGGGGGGGATCAGGGACGATTTCTCCGGAGTTTGTCATATGAATACAAAAAGTAGCTGACGGCATGTTTGTGGATTCCGTGTGAGTTTATGCGAATGCATGGCAAGTATCAGATCTGTCCATTAAGTCAACATTGCCCAACATGTTTATGCCATAACGTGAGAAATGCCCAATCTCCGCTATGAAAAGGGTACTCTTCACCTAAAACTGTCGCAGTCTTGGCAAAGATCACGTAGAAACTTTTGACAGCTCTATGACGAGGGACCCGATAAAGGGTTCTAACGCTCATCGATATCGACAAGCATCCAATGCAATACCTGAGATTCCATTAACAAGAACAAAGGCCAATCACAAAACGACGATGCAACATCATGCCTTGTCATCTTAACCCCCAAGACATTCCTTTTTACTCTTCAAAAGGTGACAACGCATTACTTTACCTTAGTTCCATAGTCGATCCTTTACATATCTGAGGTCGTGAGTCACAGTAGAATGCGAAACGTGATGGAGGGATTTTCGTTTAACATAACATAGAGTCTTTCTATCGAGCACAGCTTCTCAATCAGCCATTCCAAGTATTGAATCTGTGAGGATGGCTCTTTTGTTTCCCCTCTTGGCTTTTTCTTGCATCAACGGTCATTCTTAATAACTGTCATGGATGTGTAGAATGAGGAGAACCTATACCAGTGCACAGTTTTGGTAGATATTCAAACCTTCAGTTGTAGATGAAAGTTCATCAGTCTGAGCTCATTTCCTGATGGATTCGATGGTATCTTTTGTAGGCCATTTTCGAGTAATGCGAGAGAGTTGCCAGTATCTCGGCCTCACGCAACCTTATTAAAAGCGTAAAAACAAAAAAGTTCTAAATGCCATGTCCTAAATGCATGTCCAAAAACCGTGTGTGCAAAAAGTCCAAACAGTTTGTCCGAAATGTTCCTGTTGATCGAACGCGTTACGTAACGTTGACAATGGAAAATGACGTCCTGCTGGCGTTTGTTTAAACTTACCCCGTCGTGTAGGCTTTTTTTATGTGGATATTTCGTCCGCGGAGAGGGCAAAGGAAAACCTTAACGATTAGAATCCCTCCGGCCATGCTAAAAAAACGCATGTCGTCATTTATCCACCTTGGACCGGAGCTTGTCAGCTGGGATATAAAAAGGATGTGAACTGGATCTAGAAAGCCTCAATAGCTTTTTATTCAGAGTGCCAACGATTGCAAACTACAGTTGTCTTTCATAAACACAAATTTCATCACTACAACCACTTCATAACCACACCATGGCTGATTTGTCCTCTCAAGGAATTGGTCGTAGCGTTGCAAATGCAGCTGCCCACGCTGTCCAAGGTGTAAAGGGAGCCTTGGGTGTAGGCATGACAGAAAAGCGGCAGGTAAACTTGAGGAAAGCCATCCGTCGTCGTAGAAATCAATCAATCAATCTTATTCACCCCCCATCTTAGCAACTGAACCAAATCGCCGTCCAAGACAATGCAAATACCGTACTGACAACTTCCAGTGGTGTTCCTATCACCACCGTCGACGATTCACTTAAAGCCGGAGAACGGGGTCCGACTTTGATTGAAGATTTCCAGTTTCGGGATCGAATGGCTCACTTTGATCGGGAGAGGATACCTGAACGAGTTGTGCATGCTCGGGGAAGTGCTGCACATGGATATTTTCAGGTCTACGAGTCGCTGTCAGATTTGACGCGTGCTGCACCGTTCCAAGATCCCAGCAAAAAGACGCCTGTATTTGTTCGGCTCTCTACTGTTCAAGGATCCAAGGTAAAGAGAATGTCACCTCTCTAATACTGGCAACAGCCACAGCGTGTGTAACCTGTCCTTTCTGCTCTTAGGGATCAGCGGATACAGTCCGTGATGTCCGCGGCTTCGCTACCAAATTCTATACAGATGAAGGAAACTGGGATTTGGTTGGAAACAACATCCCAGTCTTCTTTATCCAAGATGCGGTAAAGTTTCCTGATCTGGTCCATGCGCTTAAACCTGAACCGCACAATGAAATCCCGCAAGGACAGGTATGTCATTCAGTCGCAGTTACCTTTTCTGGATGATCAATAACTCCAAATCGTGTATTTGTCAGACTGCCCACGACAACTTTTGGGACTTTGTTTCCCTCCTGCCGGAATCTACTCACATGGTATATATCACAATACGAATCGTATGACACTGCACGTTCGGCCCCTAACCTATCTATTCATCTAGTTGATGTGGATCATGTCAGATCGCACCATTCCCCGCTCATTCCGAATGATCAATGGATTCGGCGTGCACACCTTCCGCTTTGTGAACGCCGATGGAGTTTCACGATTTGTAAAGTTCCACTGGCGTCCGGTGCTTGGAGTTCATAGTTTTATTTGGGACGAAGCCCTCAAAACTGCCGGCCGGGATCCTGATTACTTGAGACGGGATCTATGGATGTCCATTGAGATGGGCGACTTTCCAGAGTGGGAGTTGGGTATTCAGGTATGATGGGTCCTGTTGAAGATCTAAACATTGAGGTTTGGACCTTACACACCACCCATTGTATAGGTCATTGAAGAGTCTGAAGCGGATAAGCTTCCTTTCGATATTTTGGATGCAACAAAATACATTCCAGAAGAAATTGTTCCGATTCGATACATTGGGAAAATGACACTCAATCGCAACCCCGATGAGTTTTTCCCAGAAACTGAACAGGCTGTTTTCCATCCTGGACACTTGATTCCAGGTAGGTCTTAGTCATATACCATATAAGAAAGTGTTCTAATATGGACTTCCCGTTTTTTTAGGTATCGACGTTAGTGAGGACCCCTTGTTGCAGGGTCGACTTTTCTCATACACGGATACTGCTTTCCATCGTGTGGGAACCAACTTTAATGGTAGATTGATGGCTTACACATGCACAGTGAAAGATTACCATAACATTAACGCCATCATTCCCTTGCTGTAGAACTTCCCATCAACCGACCTGTTTGCCCCGTTCACAACCATCAACGCGGTGGATTCATGCGCCATACCATCGTCAAAGGCCAGGCAAATTACCATCCGAACTCGCTCGGTGGGGGATGTCCCGCTTTAGCAAGCGCAAGCAAAGGCTACGTCCATTACCCAGCACCAGTGATTGGCCGCAAGACATCAAACCGCGCCGGCTCCTTTTCCGATCACTTTAGCCAAGCCCGCATGTTCTACAACTCGATGACTGATACTGAAAAGGGACACATCTTGGGCGCATTCTCTTTTGAGCTATCAAAGGTGTCTACCATGGGCATTCGACAGCGGATGGTGGATCTTTTGAACAAGGTTGATCATGACTTGTCAGTGAAGCTCGCCGACAATCTTGGTGTGAAAGCACCGGAAAAGTCAGAAGTGGAGTCGTCTACCAAAGTACTTGGCGTCGCGGCATCACCAGCCTTGTCCATCATAAAGTCAAACAAGTATGATACCATTCGGGGACGCATGGTTGGGATTTACATTATGCCTGGCTACGATTCCACTGTTAGTGAACTGATGGGAGCTCTGACGGCGGCTGGAGCGGTTCCTTTGACCTTATCTGCAAAAGGCGGTCCAGTTCCGGATGCTTCTGGCTCGTCGACGACGACACCTTCATTCACTTTCAGCGCATCCTCTTCCACTCAGTTTGACGCCTTGTTTATCCCGGGTGGACGTAAATCGGTTGATGCTCTACTGGAAAACGTTCCAGCACTCGTTCAGATCGCGGAAGGGTTCAAACACCTTAAAGCCATTGCAGCCGTTAACGAAGGTGTCGAAGTTGTGCAAAGGCTGAGCCTGATGGTCAAAACCGCCGAGGACAACTCTGTCGCTGTCGACTATGGGGTCATAACTGCTAAAGGTGTTGGAACTGGGATGAATGGCAAATTGGGCAAAGCTGCCGGTATGGCTGCTGGCGCTGTGAGTGGAGCAACAAGCAAAGCGTCGATCCAGCCGGGTGGCAATGCAGGAGGAACGAGCGAGTGGATCACAAAGTTTATTGAGACCATTGCAAAGCACAAGGTGTGGGAGAGGGAGGAACTGGCTTCCAAAATTGTCATTTAAACAATTGCCGTCAATTGCGGTTTTACCTGTATTATAAATTTGCAGAATGTTTGCTGTTCATAGTATGTTGGGCTCAAGCCCAGTAGTAAATGAAGTACAATCTTGTCGCAATGCTGTCCCTTATTCTAAAACTTGGTACATGTAGTTTCCACACGCAGATATGCCAAGCATTGCTATGATTCCGACTCACGACTCGACGCCATCAATGTCAACCCACGAGATAGTTTGCCATCGTCGCCAGCCAGCTCCAAATACCGGCTCATGTCCCCTCGAAACGTTGCGTACACGTCCGGATCTGTTTCTGGGGACGGTGACAGGGATGCAGGGAGTTCCAACGTCTCCTCATGCGCTACGGCAATATTCGATCCTTTTTTTGAATCATAATGGATGAGTACATGGAGTTTGTTTATCACCGTTCCGAAAAAGTACTCACCCCAATCCTGCTCCTGCTCATCCCCAAGTTCAGACTCTTCCGCAACACTCTCATCATCACTACCCGCCACATCGCATAAACTTTCCATGCTCACACTAGCGTCCAAATTCGCAACCTGCCTACAAAGAGGACATAAAAACATGTCACCCTCACTCAACATCCCTTTCACGCATTTAAAGTGGTAGCAATGCGAACAAGGAGCGAGGAAAAGTGCTTGGTAAGGACCTATCCCTGAGAGACAGATGCAGCAATCTTGGAGTTGGGCAGTGGGAGAGGGATCGCTTGTGGTGGAGTAGGGGTTGGCGAGTGTAAGGAGAGTGTGAAGGGTCTTTCGGAAACGGGTTGTGAGGTGGTTCTTTTTGAGAGTTGCACAGTGTGTTGGTGGGTGGATAATGGACAGTCTGAAAATCGGTGCTTTGTAAACTTCTGCTCATGGGGAACATAATAATAAGTTTCCAATGGTAAAAAACACCAAACCAGACTCCTTGACACCATTTTTACCTTCACTCCTCCCTTGATAGTCCACTCCCATTTGAATCACATCCCCACTCTTGACCGGATAAGGCCGACTTTCCTTCCCACTCGGACTCAACCTCAACCGATTCAAAAACGTTCCAGAACTACTTGCAGTGTCCTTTAAATACACCTGCCCATCCCTCCCGATCCAAAATTCGGCATGATGGCGGGAGACGACCTTTGATTTAAAGTAAATGTAATCGGTTTGTCGAGACGAGGGCGAGGATGGGAGGAGCACGCCTGCGGCCGTTGTTGCTTGTTTGTGGGGGGTTGTGGTGGGTTCGCGAACTTGTCGGCCAAGTCTGATAGGAACATTGTCCTGCAGCTCACGTTCGATGGGATCCGTGCCCGTTGTCGGGGATGTTGGTTGTGGTGTAAGAAGGATACGAATGCTCTCAGAAGGGGTTGGTGTATCGGGTGGTGACCTGCATCCAAGTGCAACGGTGCGTAGAAAGCGGAGGGGATTCCGACTCTCGTTGCTTCCTTGGAGAAATGGCGGCGATAATACTGATGGCATGGCGAGAAATTGGAGGCAGTAAGTGATTAATCTACCTAATTGATGTCCACTTTATTATTGTTTTTAAAAAAAAAAATACCCCCGACACGCAGCAGCAAAAGCAACACGCTGTGCGCAATCCCTCAGTGTAAACTTCACGATCGGGCCAAAAAAATGGGCAACGAAACCCTCAATGACGACGACCAAGGGCACGGGTACAAACACCCCGATCCCATCGGACATTTAATCTGTAGATACTTGCCCATGTGTTATGAGCAGGTGTTTGCGACTTGATACCACTGGACGAGATGTCAAAAGTTAAAATGTAGACTACAGTTCGTGGACCCTAATCCACACTTGGAATCTCAAGTTACATAGCGGAACATACACGGATGTGATATCACAACCTTAGTCTTCGACTGCAAAACGGCTCTAGTCTGATTGTCCATCACCCCTATTATCTACCAATGTACAACGTTTTCTGTTTGTTCCTGACCGATTCGACTCGTCTCTGATTCAAGAATCAGCAAAGGACGTTCGCGCGAAATCCGGCCGGATTTCGCCAACGTGTACCAAACTTTGTCCTGAGTGCAGGCATTCCGGATGACCACGACGACGATTTTAAGCATTTCCTGTCATGTCAGGTTGAGGTTGGATGGAGCTGCGTTCCCGTAATCATTCTGGAAGGAATAACGAATAGAAACGCAAGAAGGAGATGCTTACTATAAGAACATTAAGGGCGCTCTTCAGTGCACTGGTGTGTGCGGTCCGTTACACTTGGCTCCCACTCTGGTAGACATCTAGAGTATCCGGGACATAGGTTATTAGCCTACACCAGCAAAGCGCCCACAAAATATGCAAACTCGGAGGTTCGGAATCGCATATCGTAGCGGAGTTGACCTCAATTGAAAAGTAAATAAAAGCCATTTTGTCGAACGCCTCAAATAAATTCACACAGTTATCTTAATTTTACATAAACCATCAAGAAATACTACATCTCCTTGCCAATGATATAAACTATCTATAATAAATAACCAACAAACTACTAAAACTAATGTGGTTACTCTACTTGAAAATGATTTTTCTATTTAGATACTCCAGCATCCTATTATCCAGGCTAAATCTAGAATTCATCCTCGGAATTGAACCCCCAAGTTACCGCATTCAACAATAGTATTTGGTCCAGAGAAATCATGGTCTGGGCATCTCGCCAGTAGACTCTGATGAGCCTGTTTTCGGGCCGACCGGACGCTCCTAAAAGGGGACCCCCTCGGTCCCATTTCCTCCTTCTTTCCTCTCTCCCCATCCTCTTTCCTACAACACAACCCCTCGTTTCTACAAAGACTCACTCGAACTTCAAACCTGCTTCAAAATACATTTGCTTATTATCATATATCGGCACCCGATCGTCTCAACGGATTTGCCCCGGGCCACTTTTTCCGTTTCTGTCGAGTTCCCCACCCGCTAGTGTGTCGCACCGATGGGCATGCGGTCAATACTTTTGCTCATGCTAATGTCGTGGGCCAATGCCTCTTCAACTCCTCAAGTTTGCACTTTTGCTTCGCTCAGCGATTGCAATTCCTACTCGGGATCCAACTGTACGGGGATTGACCAGTTGCCCTCTGGTATAGGAGGAACATGTGCAAAGAATGATCCACCACGGCTTTTCTTGTCGAGTGATAAAGTGTGCAGCACATACCCAGAATGCAATGCGACGACACAGGCAACATCCAGTGGAGATCCGTTGACTATCAATGGCCAAGCATACGTGGTTTCAGCGGGCACTACTCTCACTCAATGTCCCAATGATGGGTGCACGCAAGTGTTGTCGGCAGGAATGTCTCCGGGGAAAACAAAAGTAGGGGGAAGCATCCAGACCTTGACAGCTACCTCCCTGACTGGGGTATCATATGTTGTGGTGGGGCCTGATGCGTATATTACCTCTGACAATGGTGCAACATTCTACAAGTCGACTTCCAACCCACCGTCTCTCAGCGGCTTCACAATTGATACAGGCAAAGAAATCATTTCAAGCACCGCTACTCAATCCCAAGCTAGCTACAACTACGCTCCTTCAAACGCAGACGACTTTGTCCGGGACCAAAACACTTGCAATTTCGCCATTCGCTTCACTCAGGGAGGTTTCAGTACGTTCGCTGGGACCACCATATTGGTTTGGAGAGGATCAAATACTCAGTGGTTGGTCTCAAGTAGCGACTGCCCAAGTGCTCTGGCAAATAGCAATTGGAGCAGCCGCTATGTGCAGACTTTTAGGGTCTTCATCGACTCCAACAATAACGGCATAGCCTACCTGACCGACACGGGCATTCTTTACAAAATGACCGGTGGGTCGTGGACTTTGGTCACCGATACGGCCGGCTGTCTGGCCAACGGCAGGACATACTTTAAGATCTCGGGTACCTACAAGGTATACAACTCTGGGACTTGCCTCTTGGATACCGCTTCCACCCTAACGGGGACTCCCGCATACGACTTCACTTACGGCTCCCTTACCCTTTCGCCACAGCAGCCGACATCAGCAATCAGACTTGTCTCCAAAATGGAACGACCTATGGGAAGCTCAGTGGCACTGTGGCGAACCCCCACTCTGAACTTGTTCTCCTCCCCCTCGTGCGCTCCCAATCCGACAGTCAATGCCACCACTATTCTCAGCGATTTGATCTCCACTTGTGACACTCTGAATGCAGGCGACTACGCGATCAGCGGGAATGCGATTGTAAAGTTTGTAAACTCCAGCTTCGCCTGCAGCAGCCCTGACTGCATCGACATTGGGGACTGTCAGACGGATTCGTGTCTTTACCGTGAAGGTCAAATGGCCGGCAATGTGAGCTGCTCGGCAGGAGGTGGCATCGTGAAGGGTATGATCTACGTCGAAGACCCACCTACCCCTGACCCAACAAGTACCCCTGACCCAACGTCTACCGCTAACCCAACAAGTACCGCTAACCCAACTGCCACACCTACTCCTCTAATCACAACAAAACTCAGTGGAGGAAAAATTGCAGCAGCTACCGTAACGCCAATCGTAGGACTATCGGCAGCTATGGGTGCAATGTTTTATATGAAAGCCGTTAAGGCGAAAGCTGTAAAGACTAATACTAAACAGGAGGGAAAAAGTACTGAAGAGGAGGGCAAAAATACTGAACGGGTGCCAGAGATCAGTGAAACTCCTGTTTAAAAAGTAATAATATGCGACTTTTTTTGCAATACAGAGTGTCACTTTGTTAAGCATTGATTCAGAAATGCTTCATTTGCTACATGGCTGGCATTTTAACATTTGCATTGTCGTGGTCGATGCGTCTCTGATAATGAAATGCTGTTAACCGATAGTCCCGATGAATCATAAAGTCAGATTATCAGGAACAAGCACCTCATTCCTTGTAACATGAACAAATTGGCGATGTTTTCCAACAAAAATAAACAGGGAAGTACTTTTTCTGAAAAAAGGAGGATATCCAGGCGCGATGATTCAAAGTGAACGTTTCAAGGAACCCCGGAAGCCTTAAAGAGCGACATAATTTTAAGCTCATTCCTGCATATCGAGATGAGAAACGTCCCATTTGGAAAGTGGGCAGGTAACAGTTACCATTTTCATACCGACTTCCCAGAAAAGGGAGAACGCTAGCAGATTATACTCCGAACCTAGGACTTCCTTCCACAGGACGACCTGTTCGTAATCGATGTTGATGCCAAACCGCCAGCGCAAAGATGCATGTCTGGTCATTACTCTACTTGAACGGGAATTGAGGATTTTGGCACTGCATGATTCCACCTTCCAAAAAGGCTGGCCGGAACGAAATACCAATGGCAAACTGACTTGCATGTCCACGATATTGCAAATCTGCCAGAATGGATTCTAGACAATATTTTGGCAACAATGGCAAAAGACAAGCAACATTTTCTTGAATCAAGTGGATGGCTTTCACCGCCGACCCTGCTAAACAACCACGAAATTGAAAACAAAGTGGTCGCTCTGTTGAAAAAAAAAAGTGAATGGTGGCAAGACTGCTTTAGCCTGTCCAAACCAGATGAGAACAATATCGTTTGTATTGCGGCAACAGCGCCGTATAATGCAAGTTGTGTGTGGCGGACGACATGTTAAGAACAGTAATCATCCATTTTTTAGTCAACAACGGCGGCATTCTGAAATTCATCTGTCGTTCTGGCAGAGATTCTGAGGGAAACCCGTTTCTCCGGCATATTTCCACTCATGTCTTTTCTGATGAAATCCAGAATAATTGGCTAATTGCGTGTGGAAGTGAAAAGGGTGCGAGCGATTATTTCCAATGGTTTGTATCCTGACTATGTGAAATACGATTTGATGTTGGTTACGATGAAAACAACTTGGCGTGTTGAAACAAAGGTAGAGGAGACCGCCTGCGGGAATTACGTTTTGCAACATCCTGCGGAAACATATTGCAGTCAATCGCAAAGCAATTGAAGCATGCCTTGAGTCCTCTTTAAAAGAATATGTCTTTGAGACTTTCACAATTTGGGAATACCAAAACATAAGATAGGAATAACTTGTCAAGATCGACATGTATCCTTACTTTTATGATTCGCTTGGCAGCTCAACCGATTTATACCTCGAGAGACTAACTACTTCACAACGCGTAGGAACAGAACATGGAGCTGCATTCAAGTACAACCTACATAGTGTGGAGGCGATTGAAAAGGGCACTAGGACCCATTATTATCCGGATTAATCCGGTTAATCATATCGCATAATCAGAACCCCCCTCTATCGCTCAGATTGGTGTGGCATGTATTGTAATGTTTTTTTTTAAACTGCGGTGAGGCGCATGCCAAAGGTCTATAAAAGGGGAGCCTTTTCCCTCTTTCCTCTTTACCCATCCTCGACTCGAAGCATCTGCGCAACGCTCATTGCGACCCACATTGCAACCTCATAGCGACCCACATTGCAACCTCATAGCGACCCACACAACCTCATCGCGACTCGGTCAACCATGAGAACGCCGATGTGGTGGTGTCGAGGACCTCGACCGCCCGACAGCAACCGTGATCAGAACCAGCGGCAACCAATCGGATCCGATAACAAAACCTACTATTATACTGCCACATTAGTTGAGCTTGGTTGGTATGTATCGATGGCATTTCTTGGATTTCTTGTCATCGGGTCACCTCGCTGACATGCAGTTTTTTTTAGTCTCCAAGCCTTGTCACTGAAAATCCACCAGCTTGTGACGCTGCCCAGTCGATTCGCTCCTGGTTGCAAGAGTCTGGCTTCAATGCCATCAAGAGTTCTGGATCAAGGCCTAGTAGGGACCGCGTGTGGTGGTGGGCAGTTATCCGGTTAGAACAACCGTTACGTATTGCGTGTATAATTGCCTAGTAGTAGTTAGTTAGGTTTTCCGAACCGGTTGTCGCGCGGTTTATTCCCTGGTGTAGTAGCTAGTGCCAGTTTCTGTCACCTCTACACTAAGAAAACTATACCAAGAGCTAGTTTCAATTTCATCACCCAATATGCAGATGGCGGGCGAGAGTTGAATAAAAGAATTCAAGACATGTGGGTACAAATACCCCATCAATCGTTAACTTTCAATAGCAGTAACGTCAGTTCTGAGTGACTACATTACATTGACTTTCAAAGCAGTATGTTCCCTTTCTAATCTAAAATCCATCCTGGTCGTATTGAACGTCGTTCGCACCCTAATCAGTTGCATCAGCAACCCACAACTTTTCGTTGTCAAACCTCGCATGTCTAGAATCATGTCTAGAATGACTCTAGTACCAGAATCTCCCCCTCAGTGTTGCCTATGCGACCCTGACGACGAGGGAGCGCCAATATTTGTCTGTCCATCCGGCCCCTTCCAACTAGGTAAATATTGCTTTGAGAAATTCAGGTTCAAAAAGCAAGTGCTCGATATTCTACCGGGCTAAAATGAGAAAAAATCTGTAGAACAATTGGACTAGAGTATCCTCGACATGTAACCACTTGCGAACAGGTTTCAAAGCCATCGAGTCCAGCCTTACTGAATGGCAGCCTTGAATCCGATCCCCGGGCAAACATAAAAAAACAGCCTTACTGAGCATACAGGATTCAAAGTTTGTGGTATTCGCGATTAGAAAGGAGATGAGGATACCCATCAACTACATAAAAGATGGTGGAATACATCAAAATCATTTTGACGAGGAAAACTGGTCATGGCCTCTTTGACCTCTTCGATGTTCTAGAAGTACGTAGTGTGAGATTGTGGACCATGTTTGGCACTCTTCAGGACACTCTCATTAGTCTGGACTGGGTTGTCGAAGGTGATGACGCCAAGTGGTCATGTTGTGCCATATTGATGGCATTCATATTGGAAAGACCAGCACATGCAACAAGCCATAATTGTCAGATATAATAATAAATTCGGGAAATCCTCTTGGAGAACCCGATCTAGGTAAATAATTTCGCTAGTTGAATTTGTTTTGGGAGGAAATCTCACAGACTATATTATCAAAGGCAGATATCCTTCTTTCGATGCTGCTATCAAGCTCATAGTCTGGATGCCCTCTATGTGCAGGATTTACTAGATATCCTAGTCGCTTCTTGCTGTAGACGCCGATGAACAGGCACCAACCGAACCATAACCCAAAATCCCCTTCCATCTGTTGACGTCGGTATATTGGGCACCACAAAACTAGCCATTATTTCCCTATGGATTTTGCATATTCTACTGAACTGAACAAATGGACAAATCACAAATTAATTAAAAAAGGTCCACACATTTCGTCGATATAAAGCCTCCTTTACGCCTAGATGCCATTGTGTCGCACCTTGCCGTCCTCAATGTGGATCAAGAGATGCTTCCGTCGTCTATCATCAGTGATGACCACAGAACCTTTATTGCTCCTGATATGATGGAACGAGTATACATGAAAGTAACTGGATTTTCCCAAAAAGATCCCGCCAAGCTACTAGTAATAGGTGGGGGGATGGCCCTTGTAAATATGACGAAACCTGTTTCTGTTCCAGCCGTCCTTTGATGCCTAGCATTCGCCATCCTGCCAATCGCTCTTTATTTCTCGCTATCTTTTACTCCCTTAATCCATAGACTATATTTACTTGATTGCAAAGTACAACCTTGGGAGAAAGGGTACAGAGCGCCCGATACTGCAGCCATTTGCGGATACTCGTGATGGACAGTGTGGAGGTATAGGACGACGCTGTGGGTTGACAAGAATATTGGGCGATTGCAAAAAATCGCAGGGAGACTATAGATGATATTCATCCTCGTAAAACTCTGAGGCTCTGTCACTGTAACGAGGGCCTATGGCCCAATGGATAAGGCGCCTGACTACGGATCAGGAGATTCCAGGTTCGAATCCTGGTAGGCTCGTGCATATGCTCCAAAGCGTCCAAATTTTTTTTAATAATCTCTGTTGGGTTCACACTTTTTGCCCGTTTCTGTACTTTGGTTTTCTGCGAGCCGGCGCATCAGATGGGAACGAAAAGAAAGCCAAGTGTTGTGATGGATGAGTTTTTTCATGGATATGCATATGTGTAGATGCGGATGCTTCGTAGTTTTATTTCTCAATACATGTAGAGAAGGATTTATTGGCATTGCTACCTATCCAAACTCGTGCGTTTTAGAGAGCGGTTTGAATGATTCTTTTTGATGAACCTTTGACGAAAAAGTCAATTCAAACATGGCAGTGAATAGGAACAAAACAAGTACGGTAAAGCTATTCAACTTTTTCAACTCTTTGTTTTTGTGATTAGAGTTTGCGATGAGATGCAGTGCAGTTAGGGCAGTAACTAGTTGGCTACAACGACAACAAGAGTTTAGAAGTAGTTTACAAGAAAAATTGGAATTCTGAATTGTAAGAATTGTAAATGGACGGAGAGGAATATACTTGTTAAACTTGATCTGAACGGATAGAGTGTTTTTCTTTTTGTTTCTGCCGGTCATTTTACAGAGTGTCGAGTTTCCAAAAATGCTTTTTTTGCAATGAACCTTTGAAATCGACCAAGGTAGCCCCCCCCCCCCCCCCCCCCTCATCCGCCATCCCATCCAAACCCTATTTGATATCCTTATTTAATAATTAGAAAAAGGATATCCCTTAATCTCTCCGTTGGTCAACAGTTTAAAGTTTACCTATCCAACAAAACCGAATCTGCGTAATATATTTGGACTGTACGAAAATCCAACCCCTGTCCCAACCTGCTTAAAAAGACTTTCGTACTTTTTGCCCATACATGGTCTCCTATTCAACTGTACCTATGCATAGCAAAAGGAAAAATAATGACCAAGAAACTTTTGAGAAATAATAATAGAAAAAGACCATTCAGTTTCAAAACTGAGTTGCCTATCACATACAGCCTAGATTTGATTATAACCTAGATTCGTAAGACGATACCTTTCATTATTGCAAAAGACTATTTGGGCATTAACAGAGTCGACTAGTGATCACCAAAACAAAACTACGTTATTCAAAACTGTGCAAACACAAAAAACTTGGGTTTTAAAAAAGTATAGTCTATAAAGAACCAAGAACGGTTTTCCTTCTTCCCTAATGCTTCGTGTTTCTTCAAGACTAGACGATTTGCGAATACGGTCAACCAAGAGAAAAAAGTACATGCGGACATCCTCCTTCAGGTAAAGAACAAGACACTGGTTGACGGACGGCGGGTTCTGCAGTCACTAGAGGGGTAGGAGGCGGGGGCTTCTTTGAATTACATGGCTGTTTATAGAGAGAGAGAATGTGTGAAGGTGAGTTCCGTCTTTTGTAGGTTTGCCTGGCGCACTAAAATAAACCAAATGTTAATGTTGTTTAAAAGATATTGATCGACCAGGCTGGAATAACAATGAACGAACAGTACAACCTGAGGTGACAGTTAGCGATACATAGTTTATTTTTTTTTTTAGAACATGGTGAGTTTAACTCGATCAGAGCAGACATTTTATTTACAACTTACAACAACAAGAAAACTCTCGACGTCAAATCGACACCGGATGACTATTTCATCGGAGCATTGGTAGGCATACCCAATGAATAGAATGCAGTCAGCGTCAAAATACGAACGTAAGTGTACTTGTAAAGACATGTCTGTTTCCACATTTGCAATATAAAGCACAGAACACTCAAATACGCACACAATATAATGGTAAAAAAACATGATAATAAAATAAGATACAAGAATTATAAATCAAGAGTCTGTAAAACACCAAAGTAAAACAAGGAAAAAAAAAAAAGAATCATGTCCATGCTCATGTAAAGCCCCACTACACAAACTATCCATGCAAACGCCCGAAAAGCGAATGATAAAACACACTATTTGGAACAAAAAGTGTCCAAAAAAGAAAAAATTGCCCGTACCAGCCGGTCAAAAAAGTGAGAAAACACCGTCCCAATTTCCTCCCTCCTACATGGAGCTAAGGGTGTCGCAACAGAAAGTGTCCATTTAAATAATATATAGATAAACCCAAATGTTGCCGTGTTCATGTGCATCACTGCTCCGCGTCAAACGCTGGCAACGCATTCGGTGTACCCCGCACCATGCCCACAAACCCGTAAATATCCGGGCTGCTCATGCTCCTCCGCATCCAGCTGTTGCTCCGTTTGTGTCCGGGCATGGGATTTGGGGCTGGTGAAGAGATATCCGCCGCAGGAGGTAGAGACGCCATGTCCAGAATGGATGCGGGATGCTGCGAAAAGGTGCTGTATCCATTGAACAGTTCATCTTCGGTGATGGTCGTCAATTGGAGTTGTTCGAGCGAGTTTGTGGTAGAATTGAGGAGCTCATGGTCCAGGTTGAGCGGAGTAGAAAGAGTCAATTGGGTTTGCTGCTGGGTCTCCCATGTTGGGTGAGAGTAGGACGGGTTGGACAGCATGTCGGCCGGTGCGTCGGTAGACGTTACATACTCATCCATATGGAGCGGCTGGCAAAGAGTCGGAGCAGATTGGTTCGGATCGCTTTGAGCTTGTCCGTTAAAGTACTCGTTGGAATCACCAGGGAGAACAGACTGGATCAACGGCGGTGATTGTTGTTGCTGTTGTTGGATGTGGAGGAGATGAAGGTCCAAAGCGCCAGGGTTTACGGCATCTTGCATGATGGTGCCCTCATGAATGTCTGATAGAGGAGATCCTGGAATTCTTCCTTCGCCATTTGGGTATATGACGCGACCGGAAGGTACCTGCTCAAACACAGAGTGTCTTCTGCTCACCATCCGCGAAGGAAAGTACGGATGATGTGCATGCTTGACAGACGGACTCGATGTTCGAGGGGCGGCAAAGTAGGTTGTTTGCAGAGCCGGGGACGCATTTGGAGTTCGTAGTAAACTGGGACGGCGGGTAAAGGATGGAGAGGGCGGATTGGAAAACGTGGGACTGGGCGGTATGGGAGGAACGTCCGTGATGCAGTCACCGCAGTCGATCGAGTTGTGGCGTGACATCATGTGCGGGAGCGGTAGCGACACATGAGAGGAAGCTGGCGACGGATATCCCGGAGTCGCGGTGTCGGGATGATGAATATTTGGTAGGGAATTGTGTCGGGCAAGGTTGGGATTAGCAGCCACGTTTTGCGGGCCAAGGTATCCGTTGTTGCTCGTCGTACGGAGCCGTTGCACTGACCGCGGCGCCTTTGTGCTGAGTGGGCTGCTAGCAACGATCGCAGCCTGCGAAGCCGGATCGTCGGATTCATCGTGCAGAGGGGCGTCGTTTGTTGGCGCCAGTTCCATTTTGACGGAAGCATCATCCGCGCTGTTCAAGACAGCAGAGGATAGAGGCGGGCTCTGCAAGAATGCAGTGCGTTCAAGCAAGCCAGCGGCCGAACCTCGCTTTTGGTCCAACTTCATCTTTGCACGACGATTCTGAAACCAAACCTGGACAGCCCTGCTTGTCATTCCAAGCTTTTCTGCAAGGGCCGTACGCACAGCGGCGCTTGGCATGGGATCCTGAGCAAACGCCTGTTGCAAAACGTTGAGCTGAGTCGTTGATGTCCGCACTCGTTTCTTTTTGGGCATTGTCTCTTCCCTAATGATTTGCTCTTTGACAGACTCGACAGTTGCATTAATGAAGCGCATGCCGCCGCCTTCTTCAGCACCAGACTCGGGTGACGTGCTCTGAGGACGAACGATGCCTTCACGCCCATCCATATAGTATGCTACGCCATGGAGGGCCGGGTCCATTCCATACTCTGTCACCGCCGATAGAGGTGAGAGGAGATTGGGCGAGAGGGGCGATTGCACTGGCGAGTAAGCAACAGGAGCACTCATGGGACCTGGCCCTTGGTTGACATTGTATGCAGGCAGGGCCAGGGTCATGGCGGGCCTATGGCGGCGCTCGTGGAGGTAGGCCATGGTTTTTGTGTGTATCAATAATCCACCACTACGGGAAATGAAAGCAGCCTAGGGACCGTTGATAATGCAAAGAGAAATGTTGCGTTTTGCGTGCGTGTAGCGTGTGTGTGTGTGTGTGCGTGCGTACACAATGCGTGCTTTTCCTGGAGGCGTTCCTTGATGCGTGAAGAAAACAAAAAAACCCAATCTCGAAAAAGGGGAGCCCAGCAGTGCAAAACGGCGGGAGGGGACGGCAAGCGGCGGCAGCGTGTGTGAGTGTGCAAAAGCGACCAGCGCTAAAAAAAATTGAACAAGCCGTGAACAAGACTAGGATGAAAAGGACGATGCGTGCGGGGGTTGATGCTGTGACGACGACAAACGACAAACGACGAACGACGACGACAAGAAAACGAGGGGGAAGGAGGCAGAAAGCTGTTCTAAAATAAAAAACAGGCGGAAACGACGACGAAAAAGACGCAAGGCGAGCCGTGGCTAAAGGTTGCACTTTACATTGCATTCCATTCCATTGTGTGATTCGAGTCATAGTACTGCAAGTGTAGAATGGTGTGAATGCATGAGTACCATTAGAATGCAATAGAATGCAATGTGATGAAACCTCTGCAGCCAAAATCTACAACAAAAGAGCCAAATTTGAATGTCCATCAAATCACAAGACGAGACAAAAAAAAGTTGGAAATCTGTTCAACTTGCCGTTTGCGTTAAAATGTTTTTTTTTCACTTTTGGACAGAGCTTTGGGGGTAAGATATGAGCATTTGGGATATTTGAGATATGCGAATATAATGCATGGAATGGATATGCGAATGGAATTAATGTTGATGTGTCGTATGGCTGCCATATGGGCTGCCATATGGATGTCGTATTGCGTATTATATGGATTAATGTTATTCTTCTTGGTGATGGTCTCATCCGCATCAAAGGGCGGTTGTAATTGGTTGGATAGACTGTTTGTAGTCGTTTCTGAATCTGTCGATACGTTCAACCCATTTTGACCACTCGCTCCGTCTCTCTGCATCCTCTCCAATGGCATTACTCGCTATTGCATGCACCATTTGCAATGCATCATGTCTTTTATCGCATATTTCATCCATATTTTTTTGCATCCAAAATATCCCTTTTTATTATTCCCTCCTTGTTTTTGCCGTGTGGATGAGCGGCGCGGCAAGGCTTGTCGCTGAGGAGGTTTTGGGCGCACAAAACGGAACTTTTCCCTCCCCCCAGCCGGGCCACAGGCGGGGCCACAGGCTGCCACGTGTTTATCAATACTCACGTGGATCTGCTTACGCAAAAGCGGAGGTTTGGTTCTTTTGAACAAGGCTCCGCAGATATCCCGCGGGACAGGTTTTTAACAAGGTTAACACTCGTCAAAGGCATCCTTTGTTCCTTGGAAATCTTTTGTTGAGAACGGTTTGGGACGAGGTCCAACGTTCAATTGGCTGCACCTTTCCAGAAATGAAAAGTCATCCTTTTTTTCCTTGCTCATCCGCAGAGGAAAAATAAACAAAAACATACATGACAACAAAATGTCACCTAGAATAGATGTCCGATCATCATAAAATCCAATGGCTCAATTCCAAGAATAGAAACATCGAGTCATCAACTACCAACACGATCCATCTGTCGCGACTATAAATACGCGCAACAACGCGTTCATAATAAACAATAGCGATCGCTTAGAAGGGGGCTTTCCAGATGGCACATCCAATCGCCTTTCTTCGTTTACCCAAACAATGAGCGTCCAGACAAACATCCTATTGGTCAGAATGGTTAGAAACGCAACGAAACCCGCAAGCAGACGAGGCCCAACAATGCGACGAAAATAACAACAATTATGTTTTTGCCACTCTTGTTTTTCTGCTTGGCCCCTCCCATGACAATAGACCTATATAAGCTCTTGGCCCACCATCCCTGTCCCTCTTTTGGTTTCGCGCTCGTGTTGTTTCGTAAGTTTTACGGGGAATAACCTTCTATAGAGAGAGAGAGAGAGAAAGCCCAATACCCCATACCATACCGGGCTGTTCTTTAACGCAAAAATGCCGTCCTTCCGCACTGGCTGGGGGTTGGCCCTCACCGCCCTCCTAGCCCTTCAAACAGTAACAACCACAGTCAATGCCGCTAGTACTACTTCCACCAAGGCTGCCGCCACGACCACTGCCGCCGCCTCTGGCTGTACCACCCGTGAGGTGCAGCGATATACCTCGACCGACTTTCTCTTTTTGATCGATGCTAGTGGTTCCATGTGTCCCTACATTGACCAAATCACGGGTCGCATGCAAAGCTTTGTGACTGCTCTTAAAAACAAAAACGTTACCGACGCACGGTTTGCCGTTGCAGCTTTTGGTGATCAGCCTATCCTGTTGCAACCTTTTACGGTATGTTATCTAGTCTGATGTTTTTGAGAATACGCTGCATCAAATTGCTCACTCTTCTTGTTTTCAACTGACAGTCTGATACCGCCGCAACAACAGCCACGCTGGGCAACATTGGTTGTAAGCGTGGTGGTCAGGAAGCCAGTTTCGAAGCGTTGCGTATGGCGTTTGCTGGCAACGATGGTGCAGACTTTTTGTCGGGATGTGCATCCGGTACAACATGCAAACTGACCTGGCGATCCGGCGTGACCAAATCCGTCATCATGGCTACGGACGAAGACAGTGACCTTCCGACTCTGGCCAAATACCGGATGACGGGCCAGTCAAGCTCCAACTCGCTTTGTGCTAACGGATACTGGTGGTACATGTGCGGTGCTCAATTTGAGCCCAACTTTAGTCCCAAGAGTTTCTGGACTCGGTACAGTCAGTACTACCGTACATCGAACGCTTCAATCACCATGGAAGACACATACCAGGCTGAAATTGATGCAACTGCCGACCTCCTTCTCGCGAACCAGGTCCAGCTGAACGTGCTGATAAAGTCTGATGCCAACGCCAACACTCAGGGATCCATGTCCAGCTACGACAGCAACAGCTTGTACTACACCGAGAACAACAAAAAGGACTTTGACCCCCTTCACACCCACACGACCATCATGCAATTCGGTCACCCCGACCTGAACATTCAAAACAAAACTACTTTCCAAAACTTTGACCAACAAGCTACCTACGCTTCCCTCGTTGCAAACGGAATGCGCCAGACGCTTCAGGCTCAGATTTTGGAAGGGAACGGTATGATGCGATTGTACAAGCTCCAAGATATCATTGACCCTATCTTGGGGAACAAGGTTACGGACAGTTTCTTCCAGGCTACAGTAGACATGGTTCAATATTGTCCTCCTGTTGTGTCGGTCATTCCTAGTACTACTTCCAGTGTCAGCACGTCGACTTCAGTTGTCCCTGTGGCTACCACCACGACCACGAAGGTGCCTACAACTACCACTACGACAACGACCACAAAGGTGCCCACTACTACCACGACAACGACCACAGTTGCTACCACTACTACTACTACGACCAAGGTTCCTACCACGACCACTACTACGACAACGGTCCCAACGACTACTACGACAACCAAGGTTCCTACCACGACCACTACTACGACAACGGTCCCAACGACTACTACGACAACCAAGGTTCCTACCACGACCACTACTACGACAACGGTCCCAACGACTACTACGACAACCAAGGTTCCTACCACGACCACTACTACGACAACGGTCCCAACGACTACTACGACAACCAAGGTTCCTACCACGACCACTACTACGACAACGGTCCCAACGACTACTACGACAACCAAGGTTCCTACCACGACCACTACCACAACAACGGTTCCTACCACAACAACGACTACTACTACAACAACGGTTCCTACCATGACAACCACCACTACAACAACGGTTCCCACAACAACTACAACGACGACCACAGTAGAAACCACTACAACGGTGCCCACAACAACAACTACTACTACCACTACAGTAGAGCCCACCACAACTGTTGAGACCACCACAACGACTCTGGAGACAACAACAACCACAACAACCGTTCCAGAAACGACAACCACAACCACAACAGTTGAGGAAACGACCACTACGACCACTGTGGAGGAGACTACCACTACTACTACTACCGTTGAGCCCACTACAACCGTCGAGGAAACTACCACGACTACTACTGTTGAGCCCACTACCACTGTTGAAGAGACTACCACTACTACAACAGTTGAGGAGACCACTACTACAGTTGAACCTACCACGACCGTTGAGGAGACCACTACTACCACTACAGTTGAACCCACCACAACCGTTGAAGAGACCACCACAACAACCACTGTGGAGGAGACAACTACTACTACCGTTGAGCCAACCACAACCGTAGCTGAGACCACAACTGTTGAACCTACAACGACTGTCGAAGAGACCACCACTACCACAGTTGAGCCAACAACAACCGTGGAGGATACTACCACTACTGTCGAGGAGACCACGACGAAACGGTTGAACCTACTACAACTGTCGAGGAGACACTACCACATCGTTGAACCTACACCACTGAGAAGAGACCACTACTACAACGTTGAGGAGACACTACACAGTGTGAACCTACTACAACCGTTGAGGAGACGCTACACGACTGTTGAACCTACGACATCGTCGAATAGACTACCACACTACGTGCGAGGCTGACAACACTGTCGA